TCTCTCTGATCCTGTAAGACAGGGACCATGCTACCACAGGGCTCACAGAGGAAACAACTAAGTTTATTTAAAGTGATAAAAAGTGATCCCTACCCAAACTTTCCCCTTTCAATTATTCCTTTGGGAACACCAGCAATTTACTTAACATGTATGTGCAAAGCACTGACTACTGTGGAAGGTGTTATCACTGGACACTGCAGAAGATAAGCAGAAGATACAGTTGCCATTCTCCTGGAAGTCATAGTTTTTGACTTCTGACTAAAGGTACAGACTTACATAGGAACTTATCACTCAAATCTTCCTCAAGTTATTATGAAGTTACATCCTAACAAATCCATTCTAAGGTGAAAATATTAAGTTAAAATGCACTGAAGAGGCCAGGGAGATAGCTCAAATGGTTAGAGCACATAACTTGCATGCATGAGACCTAAATTCAATCCCCAGCACTGTATGGCCCCCAAGAAACACTAGATGTAGACCTGGAGGCACCAAGCACCACCACTGAGACCCAAGTGACCCCCAGCAATTCTGGGCCTGAGCAATGGAAACTGTCCAACCTGACTGGTCTATTATTCCTGGGAATGATCCACTGATGCCCTAAGCATTGTTTGGGAGATCACCAAAGTAAGTTCATTTAGAGGTTGAAGAGACAGGGCTGACTCAGACTCAATAGCCCTGGGCACCCCATATGATCCCCAAAGCCTTGCCAGGAATGATCCCTAACCAGAGACTCTTAAGCAAGCCCTGAGCACAATTTGGTACAGAGCACAACTGGGTATAACCTCCTGGCCCCCCAAAAATGCATTTAATACTCAGGCCCCCCAAAAATGCATTTAATACTCAAACCTATCATTAAAGCATAGCTTTGGAGGTGGGGGTAAGCCACTCCCAGTGACACTTGGGGGCTACTCCCAGCAAAGGCCTCAAGGATCTCTCCCAGCAGTTCTCAGGGGATATGGTGAGCCTGGTATCAAACTCCTCCATGGAAATCATGTCCTCCAGCCCTTGACTCACGCCCCCAGCAGCCTAGCCTACCCTGCATATGTTCAAGAACACTCACATTAGCCTAGAGCTGAGTGAGATCTTCTAAGGCAAAGCCTATTCTGAGATGAAGTGTTGAACAGCTCATTTAACTGAACGCTGAAAGTCAGAGTCTGTAGGGTATTGGCTGTTTATTCTTGTGAGTTCATCTCTGATGCCGACCCAGCACCGCCGGGTGCCACTCAGAAACAAAAAATAAAAATAAAAAGTGATACCTTGGTGGTTAGTTAGATACTTCAATGGGCTGATTGTATGTTTTGCACGCAGGAGACCTGGGTTTGAGCCCTGGTCTCACATGGTCCCTTTAACACTGCCAGGAGCAACCTCTGAGCAGAGCTGGAAGTGGATCCTGAGCATAGTCATAAAGCCCCAAGACAAAAAATGAATAAAAAGCAACATCTTCACATTTCAATCATGTAAGCTAATTTAAAGTAAAAACATAACACAGACCTAAATAAAACACTGCTAACATGATGCTCTACTTCAGAGGCTGGCAAACTACACTCTGAAGTCTTTTTTTATACACTGGCAACATTTTACAATTTCCAAAAACTATAAAAACAATGAAGAATATGGAACTGAGTGTGTGTGGTTATACTCTCTGCCCCTTGACAGAAAAAGATTGCCAACTCCTGATCTAGTTTGTTGGTTTGGAGGCCACACCTGATGGTGCTCAGGGCTTATTCCTTGCACAGCTTATTCCGTGAAAAAAAATTTTTTTTCTCAAATAACAAAACAGTCTAAATTGAAATATATATACTTTATAGCAGTGGTCTTCAACCACTGGTTCATGGACCAGTTTGCAAGTGTAGAGCGGTTGAAAACCACTGTGTCTAGTAGTCTCTTTGTTCCGCCGGTCCAGAATGCAGGACAGGTACAAGTCAGTAGGTGTAAGAGGCTGAAGAACAATCTTAGGAGATGGCCAGAGCAATAGTACTGCAGGTACGGTGCTTGCCTTGCACACAGCTGACCCAAGTTCAATTCCTGGCATCCCATATTGTTCCCCGAGCCCTCCAGAAGTGATTCTTGAGTTCAGAGCCAGACAAGTAATCCCTGAGCTCTGCCAGGTGTGACCTCCGACACACACAAAAAAATTTTTTTAATTAAAAAATAGATGAGAGAGCTGGGCCAGAAAGGTAGTGAAGGGTTAAGTTACCTGTCTTGCATGTAACTAACCCCAACTCAATCCCCAGCACCATCAAAATGTTCAACTGCACCCCCCCTACCAAGAGATGAAGAAGACCTTCTTATCTGCATAATTTCACAGCAAATCAAAGTTTGATGAAATGTTTGGATTCGGGGGCTTCCTTAAAATAGAGGTTTCTAAGGGCTGAGAAGTTAGCTCAAGGGGATTGAATGCTGGAATTAATGCTCTGCATGCAAGAGGTTCAGGATCAATACCAGCAAGTCGGGAGGGTCCCCGGAGTACTACTGAGCACCCAAACACTGAATCGGGGCCAGAGAGATAGTACAGTAGGTAAGGATAAGGTACTAGTCTTGCATGTTATCAACCTGGGTTCAATCCCTGGCATCCTATATGGTCCTCTGAGCACCACCAGGAGTGATCCGAGTGCAGCCAAGAGTAAGGACTGTGCATCTCTGGGTGTGGCCCACAAATAAACAAAAAGAAGAGACTCCTAGGACCTCACAAGAGAATGAAAGTATATGCCTGGCATGTACAAGATATCAAATTCAATGCCTAGCACCACTAGGTGTAATCTTGGTGGCCCCCAGCATCACAGGGGAGGGTTCCCCCGCAAATGGCAGGGGACATGGCCAACCCAGGTTCAATCCTCAGGAGTGATCCTTGAGCACAGAGTCAGGAGCAAGTCTGAACATAGACACTTGTGGCACAAAAACCAAAAAAAAAAAAGTCACAAAATTTCTAATTTCAATAGTATTTAAGAGCTTTTTAGTCCTTTGTTGCAAATTAAAAAAAAAAAAGTATACCGGGGCTGGAGCAATAGCACAGCGGGTAGGGCAGTAGAGCACTTGCCTTGTTTCAGAGGCTTGGGGTGGATTCCTGACACTGCCAAAAACTCAAGTTTTTTTCGTATGCCTAAGTTTCTCATGATGATTGCTGGAGAGATAGTACAGTACTTGCCTGCACGTGGCTGATCCAGGTTCAATCCCTGGCATCCCATTTGGTGCCCTGAGACCCATAAGGAGATATTTCTAAATGCAGACCAAGCATAAGCCCTGAGCATGCTGGGTATGGCCCCAAAAGAACTTCCCCCCAAAATAAAAGTTTCTCATAATGGTTTTATCAGTTTTGAACAAGAAAACTACAACCATACTACCAACATAACCAATATACAAATACAAGGCGTATTTATATCATCAATCACAATACCAACCATTTAGCATAAGAAAAAAGAGTCCTAAAATGGGGAAATGGGGGCTTGGGCTGGAGCAATAGCACAGCGGGTAGGGCACTTGCCATGCACGCAGGCAACCTGGGTTCGATTCCCAGCATCCCATATGGTCCTCTGAGCATCGCCAGGGGTAATTCCTGAGTGCAGAGCCTGGAGTAACCCCTGTGAATCGCCAGGTGTGACCCAAAAAGCAAAAAATAATAATAATAAAATGAGGAAATGGGGGCTCTAACCCCTTCAGGAGGGACATCAGGCCCAAACCTCTCACATGAGATTTCCTAAGCAGTTCTCTGGCAAACTGAAATAAGCCCAGCACTTCATGATTATTTTTAAGAGCTGATTAGAGTACAAACAATCCATGAAAAACTTTACAAAAGAGAAACCTAGGCCTAGAAAGAAAACCAATTTCACCCAGGAGGAAATAACCAGTCTTTCACACGATGCCTTAGGGGAAAAAGAAAAAAGTGATGTGATCCTTAGAATCACGGGGGAGGGGGGGAGGGGTTGGGCAAGCGCCCTACGGCTCTACTACTCTCCTGGCTTTTCGAATCCTTCTCCATCCCCACTAAGAATTGGGCAGAATTACGTTATTCACTGAGTGTGGAAAAAAATGTAAGGCAACATTGTATTGAATTCTCTGAAACCCACAAGAGCGCTTAAACACCTCGAAGTAACGGAGAGTAACTACTCTATTTAGCCTCATGGACTTGACTGGATAAAGGAAGTACAATTCTCCCAAGTGCCAACTTTCAAGCGGATAAATGCATAGGCGTCATTTTCCAGCTCGCTTTTGTAAGAAAAGCGGTTATCGGTTACCGAAGAAGCCCACTCAACCGGCTGAACGTGGGATCCCCGTGAAGAGAGTCAGGACCACGGCAGGGGGTTGCAGGGTGGAGTGGGGGGAAGCAGACCCCGGGGCCCGGCTGCAGCGCAAGAAGAGCGTGCGTGCCCAGGGAGAAGTTCTGGGACAAGTCGGAATCTGTCGCCTGGCAGACTCGGCCAATGCATCTTTCAGAAGATAAATGGTTCGAAGCAGAACTTGTGGTTTAATCAGTGCCTATCTCAGCACTGGCTATGGATCCCATCCAGTATTTTGGAAGGGGAAGAAAAAAAAACACCCCAAACGAGACCCGGCGCCGTGGAGGGAAGTTGGTGCTCGGGCCCATTTAAACACCCCCGTGTCTTCTCTTCCCGGGGTGGGGGCGGAAACAGGACACCTAAAGAGCTCTCGGGGGCCGAAGCGCCGCGGACCGGGGGTCCGGGCGCCCCTGGACCTGGGTCCCTGCTCGGTCCGCGCTCCCGTCCGGCTCCCCGCACCGACCCCTGGACCCACAGCCCCGAGCCCGCCGGGGGCCCCGAGCGGCGCCCGCAGCCCTCGGCACTTCCGCCCCGGCCACTTCCCCGTTCCCCTTCGCCCCGGCCCCCGACCCCCCTCCGCGGCCCGGCCCCGCCGCGCCTCGCCCGCCGCGCCGGACCGTCCCCTCCCCCGCCCCCCCCCCCCGCTTCCTCCGGCCCTTCCTGCCCCTGGCCCCGGCCCGCCGCCCACGCCCACCCGGCTCCCGCCGCTCCCCGCCGGCCCGTCACCTTGTCCATGAGCTTCCAGCACTTCTCCACCATCTTCTTGTCCACGGTGCCCGGCGGGTGCGGGCTGAGGTGGTGGTGGTGGTGGTGCGGCTGGAAGGCGTCCTTCATGAGCCCGATGAGGCCGCCCGCGCCCGAGCCCCCCGAGCCGCCGCCGCCCCCGGCCCCCGAGCTCTTCTTCACGTTGCCGGCCATGGCCCGGCGCGCGGCGCAGGGCCCGGCCGCGACTCGGCTCGGCTCGGCTCGGCTGCGAGCGAGCGAGAGGAGGAGGAGGAGGAGGAGGGCGTGAAGGAGGGGCCTCTCGGCCGCCTCAGCCGCCTCAGCCGCCGCCGCCGCCGGCCGTCCCCGCCGAGGCGCTGAGGCGCTGAGGCGCTGAGGCGCTGAGGCGCTGAGGGGGCCGCGGGGGCCGAGGGCGCGGCGCGCGCCCGGGGCCGGCAGGAGCGCGCGGCGCTCGCGGACCACGGCGGCCTCGGCGTCCCCGCGCTGGCAGCGACCGCTCCGGCGCCTCCCCCGCCTCGCGAGCCGCGGCTCCCGGAAAGCGGCGGCCGACCGTCCGCGCCGCCTCCTCCCCGCCGCCCCGCACTCCGGGCGGGCCGGGGCGGGGCCAAGGCGGCACCTTTGCGCCTGCGCCCTCTGCTGGAGAAGCGGGGAAGGAAGGGGCGGGCCGAACGGCCAGCGGAGTCTGCGCGCTGGGTCGAAGCGGGGTCGGCCATGTTGCTTGTGGGCAAGAAGGCTGGGCCCCTCCCCCCACCGCCACCGCACCCCACCCCACCCCCGCCGCCGGCAGCGGTGGGGGTCGCGAAGCTAGGAGGGGCGTCATTGTAATGTCTCGCTTCGGGCCGGGAGCGGAAGGATCCCTAACGCCGGGTGTCTTCCCGCTCTTGACAAATGAGGGAACTGAATTTACTGCCCAGCTTTTTCTCGTGTGGGAGTAAAGGGAAGTCATTGAAGCGCCCCTTGGGGTTATCTCCTTGTTAAACCGGGATCCCGGACTAGAATGCTGCAGGTTGTTGGGCCCGGATTAGACACCCCCTCCCCCACAAGATATACAACTGAGCTCTTCTTCCGGGCCCCTTCACCTCCTGGAATTCTCTCAACTCTTTTTTCCCCCCTTCGAAACACTAGTTCCTTTTCTGGGAACTGAGTATGCACTTAAGATTCTCCCTGCTCAGCGCATTTCACCGCCAGCACCAGGCGCAGACACTCCAGTGCTTCACTTCGCCCTTGGAACAGGAAGACGTTTCCCAGGCACCTTCCACTTCTCTATTCTAATCTCTGGGAGAACTTTGAAAAAAAAAAAAAGGGAACTTCACTCCAAAAGAAGGAAGTGCTCTGTTCTAACAGGTTCGTTCTGAGCATTTTTCAGAAGCTGGTGTGGCAGCTCACCCGTCAGTTACAGCTCTGGCAGAAAGCACCTGACCGGCTCCAGCAAACACTATCAAAAACATCTGGAAAGGGGGTGCACAGCCTGACCCCCAAAAGCCCCCTTTCCAAACAAGTTCAATATCTTTCTTTTTCATTTCCGTTGCCTTTATTAAAGAGTGATTATATATGAAGTCACCATTATCATTTCCTACATGTAGAATTTCTTTGTCCTAACTAGAGAGTCCTTTGTCCCAACTAGAGAGTCCCTAACTAGAATGTCCCAAGGGAACTTTAAGCAATGCTCTGAGATAATTATCTGAACTTTCCCTCCCAAATCCCACCTTGCTAGTTGCAGGTCGGCTTATGTTTCTTTGGGGCTTGGGGGGCACACTCAGCAATGCTCAGAGGACCCATATGTGATGCCCAAGTTGACCATGTGCAAAGCAAGCACCCTACCCACTGTACTATCTCTCCAGCCTGATATGTCTTTTAATACCCAAATATCCTTTTCTGGCTCAATGGCTGAATGCATGCTTTGCATGCAGGAGGAACCTGTGTTTAATTCCTAACCACATGGTCCCCAGAGTCTCACTGGGAGTGACCCTTAAGCATAGAGCCTAGAGTATCCTCCAGACACCTGCCAGCTATGTCCCAGAAAAACAAAAACAAAAACAAAACTAAGGTCAAGTGACCTGCCTTAGGCCCAAGAGAAAGCATGCTTTGCATGCCAGAGACCCAGAGTTTATCCCAGACACAGCATGGTCCTCCAAACACTGCCCAGAGCACCACCCTGAGCACAGAGCTGGGTATAACCTGAGTATGGCCAGGTGCAGCCCCCAAAACAGAACCATTTCACATTTATTTTGGAGACCATGCCTGGCAATGCTCAGGGGTGACTCCTGGGTCTATATACTGGAATCACTCTTGGTAGTACTTGGGGAACCATATGGGATACTGGGGATCGATCTGGGTCAGCCAGGTACAAGGCAAGTGTCCTACCCACTGTACTATCTCTCCGGCCCTCATGACTTCAAAGTTTAATAAAGGTGAGCGATCCTTCTCTCCTCCGTTTTTCTTTAGATTCCTCCATGATGGGTAATGGGGTTCACCTCAAGAGATTACAGGGATTACAGGCTACAGGGGTCAAAGTGCTTGCCTTATGGGGCTGAAGCAATAGTACGACATGTAGGGAATTTGCTTTGCAAGTGGCCAACCAGGGTTCGATCCCTTATAGTTCACAAGAAGCAATCCCTGGGCACAGAAACAGGACTACGCCCTAAACACCACTGGGTGTGGCCCCTACTGAGAAAGAATGATGTGAATGGGGGAGATAGGGAGAAGCATTTGTTCAAGAGAAAACACAGGCTTCTCCAGAGAGGAAATAGTCAAGCTAATAAAGAGACAAGCAAGCAAGATACGAGTAAGAACACAGAAGAGCCAGCCCTGAATCAGGCTTTCGGAAGGAGTTTTGATATAGTTCTTCCAAATGGGTTTTACCCTGGACTTTTGCCTACATAAAAATTAATCTGGGTGTTATCACAGGAAAGTCTTGCATTGTTGATGATCTTGTAATCTGGGTCATTTGGTCCCTTGCACTGCTAATGATCTCTCTTCATCTTGTAGATTCTCCTGTAGCTTCTTCTCTGAGAGGTCTACTCTTCTCTGGGTGAGGCCTTGAGTTTCTGCATCTGGCTGGTGCCTCAGTTTCTTCTCTTCAAAGAGCTCAGAGTTTTTTGGGGTTGTTTTTTGTTGTTGTTGTTTTGGGGTTTTTTTGGGGGGGGTTGTTTGTTTGTTTGCGTTTGGGTCACACCAGCAATGTTTAGAGGTTACTCCTGCCTCTGCACTCAGGAATTTACCCTGGTGGTGCTCAGGGGACCATATGAGATGCTGGGAATCAAACCCGGGTCAGCCAAGTGCAAGACAAACACCCAGTGCTTTGTATGATAACTCAGGCCCCAGGATTTGTATTTTCAAAGATGTCTTCATGGGGGCTGGGGCAATAGCACAACGGATAGGGCGTTTGCCTTGCACATGGCCGACCCAGGTTCGATTCCCAGCATCCCATATGGTCCCCCGAGCACCGCCAGGAGTAATTCCTGAGTGCATGAGCCAGGAGTAACCCCTGTGTATTGCTGGGTGTGATCAAAAAGAAAGAAAAAAAGTCTTCATGCCCTTGGGCTACTTCAGGGCTAGGTAATCTCTTCTCAAATTTTATTTATTTCCCAAATATACATAACCAACCTGCCTACAACAAACAGGAAACAGGTCTGCTGCCATGATCCTTCCTAGGGCCACTTCTAATCTGAGGTTGGTAACGAGAGGAAGAAAGATCATTTTATTTCATGGCTCTCATTTGCCTTCTTTTGCAAATGTACTAGAGATGGGTTTGGACTTTTGACCAGTATGTCATTACCACCGCTGGGTGAAGCTGAGGTTGACGTCTGACATGGGTCACTTTCCTATTCTACTTCACCTAACCCAAACCACATCCTCATTCTGCGCCTGAAAGGCGGTTGGGTGAGACTGTGTGAACAGTGAACACTCCTCTGAGGCATGGCAGGCTGCCTGCCTCTGTGACCGCCTCCCCCAACTCACACTCCACGCAGAGCACAGCAGACATGCCACATCTGCCCTGGGGTGCCCCTCAGCCAGCTTCTAGAATAGGAGTACCATGGCACCGGGGCTCTCCTCAGCCCTAGTCCGGGAGACAATGTTCCAAAGGGAGCCGATGAGAATTCTGCCTCCAGATGAGTTGAAAAGGCTGTCCAGAGGTGGGCTAGCTGACCTCCCAGCTCAGGAAAAGGAGCCATAAGCATATGGAAGGACAAACAAACCTATTTGCTTCTCTCTCGAGGGCTGGAAGGTTCAAGAGGGAAGGGCACAGGCACCACTAACAGCAGAGGGACACAGGAACCGGAACTGGCCGTTGCCTGAAATTGCCTGTTCCCCAGGGAAGGGATTGTTTTTATTCATGGATCTCATGGCAGGCAAGTGACCAAAAGAGAGAAAGAGAGACAGGAAGTAAGGAAAGAGAGAAAGAGTGAGAGAAAGAGAGAAGAGAGAAAATGAAAAAAAAAGAAACAAAAGGAAGGAAGGAGGGAAAAAAGGAAGGTTGGTCTAACTTTGTAACTGTGTCTCACGATGATTCAATTTTTTTTTTAAAAGGGAAGGAAGGAAGGAAGGAAGGAAGGAAAAGAGAGCCAAAGAGAAAGTACAGGAAGTAGGGCAATTGAACACCCGGGTTTGATCCCCAGAACCCTCATATGGTCCCTTAAGCCCCTCCAGAAGTGATCCCTGAGCACAGAGCCAGGACTAAGTACTGAGCACCTTGAGTGTGACCTCCCCCTTAAAAAAAAGAGAAAAGAATGAAGGATGAGTCTTGGGCTTGGAAAAACAGCACAGGATTCAAGGTGCTTGCCTTACACTCAGTCAACCCCAGTTAGACCCCTGGGACCCCCTTTAGTCCCCCACACTGCAGGAGCGATCCCTGAGCAGAACCAGGAATAGCTCCTGAGCAAGTGGGTAGGGCCTCAAAACAAACAAACAAATAAATAAAGGGAGAAAAAGTCTTCAAGGAGCCAAAGGGCTGGGGCACAGGTTTGATCCAGCACCATGTGGTCCTCCAAGCTCTGCCAGGAGCAATACTGAGCACTGTGCCCGGAGTAGTTACTGAGTACACTGGGTGTGGCTCAAAAACCAATACAGGAAGAGTCAACAGTGCTCCTCACCCAGGATTCACAAACCCTTCAGTGGCCACTGCTCTCACTCCAGCCAGTGATGCCCAGAGACTCAGGTGGCAGACACACAAGTTTGTGAACTAGCAGGGGTCTGAGGGGAAACTGTTACCCTCACCCCGCACCTCCCAGAACTGCAGCCAGCGTCCCCCAGAGGGAGACGCATTAGGAGAGTAGGAAGCAAGACAAACAAGACCACCAGAGGGCGCCCCAGGCAGCTCCTTGCCACGGGGAGCCCGGAGGAGGCATTTCTGGGCACCTGTTTGGGTGAGTCGCCAAGCAGAGGAAGGACAGAGCTTGGGAAAGGGCTGTGCATGGTCTCTGTGAGAGAAGACCGGATTCAACCTGGCCCTAATGGTTGGAGAGATGATATTGGCCTTCCTTGCAGGGGCCTGAGTCCAGTTTGATTCCCAAAGTTCCCCTTAGAGACCAGAAGCTGAGAGGCAAGCCCCTCTCCCCCCACACCCCCCAGCTCAGAAGCCTTGTCTCTAACCAGCGCTGCTCCCTCCATCTGCACCTGGGAGCCCGGTGTCACCCCTCCAGTCCCCTACATCCGAAATGGGACACTCCAGCCACTGCCTTCTCCCTCTCTGGGCTCCCGTGGAATACCTTGCGGAAGGGGTGCTTAACCAGTGGGTCTGTTGATGTGATTTTGGGGTGTGAATGGCCCCCAGTGGGGTCATGAGGGAGGATTCCCCCCACCCTGCATGGCACCAGGGCATCATGGTAGGTAGCTGTATGAATGCACTGTGCGGGTTACACTGCAAAACCTTTCCAAAAAGACAGTTCAGATTGGGGGTGACATTGCAGCCCCCAGGCACCTTGCTCATTGATCCATCTTGCTGTGGTTTTACTATTTGGTGTGTGTGTGTGTGCATGTGTGTGTGTGTGCATGTGTGTGTGTGTGTGTGTGTGTGTGTGTGTGTGTTTAAGGGGAATGCCCAGTGGTGCTGGGGAAACTAACCAACCCCACGCAAAGCTCTGCATTCTTCTCCCCTCCACCTTGCTGTATGACTTGTTTCCAGGTTACCTGGGCAACCAAGCCCCACAAAGCCAGCAAGTCCTGCCCCCACACCCAGATGTGCCTGGGGATTGGCTCCCTGCACCTTCTCCTCTTCAGGCCCTTACCTGATTGGCTCTTACCCTGTACCTCACTCCCTAAAGGACTGGACCAAGCAGAAAAGAGTCAATAAGTGGGAAGCAAGCCTGTAATGAAAGTGAGCCAGGGTCAAGACCAGGAACTGACCTCTCCTTCCTCCAGGACAGAGTTCTGTACGGACAGCCTGCCTTGCAGAGGAAAGGAACCCCAGAGACCCCAACCTTCCCGACGGCTCCCAGGAGACCAAGCATAGCTTCAGGTAATTGTCTGGAACGGACTGGAGACTCCTGGTTCAGCCTGGGGTCAGGCCAGCACCCCTAGATCGAGACTTCAGCACAAACCCCATTTATGCACCAGGACAGCCAAGAGATGCCACCTAAGACCAAAGATAAAAGGGTGAAACGGGGTTCACAGAAGAAGAAAAAGGAAGCAGGTGTTGGTGAGTCCTGGCAAGTTTCGGAAGCTCCCGTTTCCCCATGTCCTAGCTCAATACCCCTTAAATATTTCCCAGCAACTCCCCACACCCCAAGCTGGCTTGGAGTTTTGGGGGAGCTGGGAGGTAGGGGAGCAGCTCCATCCCTCCGGCTCTTCCTCTGAGGATCCACTAAGTCCCTGCCAGATGGACACGGTGAGGACGGGGACACTGCAGTCAGGGCCCCTTATTTCTAAGGCCCGGGCATCCTGCGGGGGTGCAGGGAAGCCCCAGGGTGGATCGGGGAAGGGCAGCAAAGACTTGGCTGCTGAGACACTGCCCTCTGGCCAGGACAGAGGTGGAGGCCGAGGCCAGGCTCAGGCGGGCAGTGCTGGAGCAGGAGCTGCTGCGGGACCAGCTGGGTAAGGAGGATGCAAATTCTGGGGGCTGTAGGAGGGGCAGGGGCTTCTGGGGGAGAGGACAGTGCAGGACAGCGAAGCCAGCCGCACAGTCCCGTGGGAAAACGGCATGCTCGGGGTAACACCAGGGCAGGCCTGTGCAGAAAGGGTAGCTCAGGAGGGCAGAGCGTGGAGCCGGGTCCTGGCCAGGACTTAGCGACAGGGCCAGCTTCTGATCCAGAGTCGGAGGGTTCCGGAAAGCAAAGGTAAGCCAAGCCAGAAGAGCGCGCGAGGCTGCCATTCTCCCACGGAGGGTGCAGGGCGTCCTTCAAGTCCAGTGGGGCTGACGGGGTGGGATCCCCAGCTGGCTCTCAGGGTGACTCGGGGACCCTTCCCAGCTTTGCGGAGGGATGAAGCCCGCAGGGCCAAGGCTTCCGAAGAGCAGCTGAAGCAACGGCTGCACAGGCTGGAGGCAGAGCTGGACCAGGCCCGGAGCGAAGGGAAGGCCGTCTATGCAGGTGGGTAGAGTGAAGGGAAGGTGTCTACACCGTTTTTTTTTTTGTTGTTGTTGTTTTGCTTTTTGGGTCACACCGGCAATGCACAGGGGTTACTCCTGGCTCTGCACTTGGGAATTACTCCTGGCGGTGCTCAGGGGACCATATGGGATGCTGGGAATCAAACCCGGGTCGGCCGCATGCAAGGCAAATGCCCTATCTGCTGTGCTATTGCTCCAGCCCCTCTACACCATTTAAGAGTCCCCAGCTCACTACCAACTGCCTCTTGGGCAGGATCCTGAGGAAACCAAAGCAGGTCACTAGGTTCCCGGACAAGCAGGGGCTACTTCCAGCTCAGGGCTTTGGGGACACTGCCAGGCAGGGGCTGGAGCCCAGGCCCTCTCAGACGATGTTGGGCTACCTCCAGGGCCCCCAGCACGCCTGTCCTAGACCCATGTGATGAGTGAGTGGGAGAAGGGTGAGCACCCCAGCATGGTGCCGGGGGGTTCTACGTCCCACCCCAGCTTTACAGAATCATCTCAAGGAGAACCCAGAAGGTCCATCATTGTGTTGTGCCAGGCATAATCCTTCCCCACACAGCCTTTCCTTCCTGTCTCCATCACCCCACCCCCACCCCACCCTGCTGCCCGCAGAGATGAGCCGCCAGCGCCGGGCCCTACAGGAAAAGCTGGACACCCGCAGTGGGCAGCTGGAGGAGCAAGTGCGGGGCCTCCGGGAGCAGCTAGGTAGGGCTCCGTGGTCTGAGCGGAGGGCAGTGAGGCCCGGCCTCGGCGGATACCTGGACACAGGTCTTCGCTGGGCCAGGCATACCCTCTACCCTGAGCCCCCCCCCCCGGAGACTATTTCAGGGTACAGCCACCATCCTGTCCTTTCTCATCTTCTGCCTCCCAGAGACATGCCAGAGGGAGGCGGAAGCTGCACGGAAGGAGGCCGAGCAGGCCCTGGGAGAGCGGGAGCGGGCGCTGGCGCAGCTGCAGGCCCATGTGGAGGACATGGAGGCCAAGTACGAAGAGGTCCTGCAGGTGGGGCCCCCCGCTCCCCTCCCCGCCATCTCCCTCCACCAGGGTCCAGTGCTGGCGAGGGTCAGGCACAGCCAGGGGGCTCAGCAGAGTGCCCCAGCCCCGCCTCTCCACTTAGAGCTTCCAGAAACTCGGGGCCTGAGAGGTAGTACAGTGGGTAGGGCACCTTGTATGCAGCCAATCCGGGTTGGGCCCTGAAACCCCATCTAGTCCCCTGGGCGCCCCTAGGAGTGACTCCCAAGCACAGAGTCTTGAGAAACACCAGGTGTCGGGCTGGAGCAATGGCACAGCAGGTAGGGCATTTGCCTTGCTTGCGGCCTACCCGGGTTCGATTCCCAGCATCCTATATGGTCCCCCCGAGCACCGCCAGGGGTAACTTTTGAGTGCAGAGCCAGGAGGAACCCCTGAGCATCGCCGGGTGTGACCCAAAAAGAAAAAAAAAAACACCAGGTGTGGCCCAAAAGCCAAAAGAAGAAAATAACATCGGGAATCCCTGGGGCACCCCTCACACAACTATTTCTTTCTCTTTCTCTTTTTTTTGTTCTTTTTGGGTCACACCCAGTAATGCTCAGGGGTTACTCCGGCCTCATGCACTCAGGAATTACTCCTGGCAGTGCTCGGGGGACCATATGGGATGCTGGGAACCGAACCTGGGTTGGCCGCATGCAAGGCAAACGCCCTACCCACTGTACTATTGCTCCAGCCCCAACATACACCTATTTCTGTCTGGGCCTGACCCCCCCATGTCTGCAGGGAAACCTGGACCGGCTGCTGGCCAAGATGCGTGCAGTCAGGCCTGAGTGGGACGGGGTCGCACAGAGGCTCCATGCGCACCACAAGGAGCAGCTCCGCCAGTTTGGACTCAACCCCCTGGATCTCTGAGGCTGAAGAGTCCCGGGTTCCTGGGGTTCCCCAAGCAATAAAACCCGCGCAGACCAACAGAACGGTGGTAGTTGGAAATGCCACCCTCTTGGGGACAGCCGGGCTCTGTGCTGGTCCCTGGTCCCAAGGGGTGAATGTTAGGAAATCTGACAAGGTCTTACCCTCGCTCCTATGAGAAACTGGGGTCACCCCGGATCCTTCAAACCACAGCCCCCTTCTGGTCACACAGACACCAGACACCCAATTTGTGGGCAGGTTTGTCAGACACCAGTGACCAGCACCCGATCTGAAGGGGAACGGGGTGCCTGGAATGTACCCCAGAGAAGGCCCGCCCCATAGCCCATCGAGCAGGTACCCCTTCCTTCCACCACACCTCTCAGTTCCCTTCAGCTCTTCCACCAAGTGGGGTGCAGGCTCTTACCCTATGTTCCGCTTCCTCTGTGCACCCCAGTTGAGTCCTATACCATTTTAAAAAATCCTGACGTGGCCTGGAGCCCGCAGAGGAAGACTCAGTCCCACAAGGCTAAGTCCCTTAGCCCCCCAAATCATTTCACACACGGGGCTTCTGGGTTTTATCTCTGTAGTGCATGGTGCCCAGAGCACTGCAGGGTGTGACCAAAAAGAGTCTCCCCGCTTCAGGTGCCAATCTGCAGTGCCAGAGACTGAGAGATAGGAGGGCAGGTAGGGTATGTGCTCTGCACACAGCCAACCTGGTTTTGACCCCTGGCACCCTATATGCCCCCCTGAGCCACTTCTAGGAGTGATCCCTGAGCACAGAGCCAGAAGTAAACACTGAGCGCTGCTAGGTATGGCAAAAAGAAAAGAAAAGAAAACAAAACAAAACAAAAAACCTGGGGTTGGAGCAATAGCACAGCGGGTAGGGCGTTTCCCTTGCACACAGTTGACCTGGGTTCAATTCCCAGCATCCCATATGGTCCCCTAAGCACCACCAGGCGCAATTCCTGAGTGCATGAGCCAGGAGCAACCCCTGTGCATTACCGGGTGTGACCCAAAAAGCAAATAAATAAATAAATATTTAGAGGCACAGTGCCCCCTGTCAGCACAGTCCACCAGCTAGCTCTAAACCAGAGGCTCCGTGTCCCACCCCACCCCCATCATTTGCTGGAGCAGCCCCCAAAAGTCAGAACACCAATTTAGCAGCAATTTATTTTGAAGTTGCCACTTAAGAGCAGCCAGGTGCAAGAGCTGCCCAGGGAGAGGTGTCGAAACTGAGAGGCCCTGACAGTATCCCCACAACTTCAGCGTCCCAGAAGTCCTCAGAACTCCATCCACTGGGACTTAGAAGGGCTTCTTTTATGAGTGCATGATCGTTGGACCAGTGTCATTGGTGATTGTTCCAGCCTCCAGCCCCTCTCTTCCCAGGAGGTTTGGGGCCAAGGACGAAAGCTCCAACCCTCTCATCGTTGTAGGGCTGGTTACTTGGCAGCCCGTGTCCCATCCTTCGGTAATGTCGAAAAGTCACTCATTTACCAGTCTGGTATGGACGGAGGAAGCTCATTCTAAGGACAAAAGACATCTCCAATGCTGGTGGCTCAGGAAATTTCAAGGGTTTGGGGACTCCAGGCCAGCCCCTCAGTGTGACCTTTTTTCAGCCAGAACTCTTCCTCGGTGGCACAGCTCCCAAAGCACCCATGCTCCCCAGCAAATCTCCCATGCCCTTAATTCTGGGAGGTGCGGTCTGGGAAGCAGGAGATCCGGGACAGGGTCCTATTTTTGGAGAGGTTTAGGGTCCGTAGTCCAGCTTCCGGCTGAGAGAGACATGGCCCCATGGGAGCATGCCAGGCTACACTCGGGGATGTGCTGAGCGGGAAGGGCTATTTCTGCACCAGCTCTGAGGAGTAGGTCCATTCCTGAGTAGAGAGAGGAGAGGAGCCATGAGGACCAGCAGGGTGCTTGAGCTTCAGTCCTTCCTTCCCATAGCTGAGGGTCCCCATATACCCCCACCCTGCTTCTCCTGATCCCCAGTCCTGCCTCTCAGTTTCCTCGCCACCACCTTCTCAGGTTATTCACAGCATCTTTAAAAGTCACACGTGGGCTGGAGTGATGGCACAGCGGGTAGGGCGTTTGCCTTGCACGCGGCCGACCTGGGTTCGATTCCCAGCATCCCATATGGTCTCCTGAGCACCGCCAGGGGTAGTTCCTGAGTGCAAAACCATGAGTAACCCCTGTGCATCGCCAGGTGTGACCCAAAAAGACAAAAAAAATTAAAATAAAATGAAAGAGTCACACATGGCAATGCTCAAGGGTTATTCCTGACTCTGAGCTCAGAAATCACTCCTGGCAGTGTTCAGGGGACCAGTGGGGATGCCGGGGATTGAGCCCCCGTCAGTCACTTAAAAGGCAAGCATCTTACCCACGTGCTATCTCTCTAGCTCCAGCACCTCTTTTTGTTTGGCTTTTGGGGCCGCACCTGGGGGTGCTCAGGGCTCACTCCTGATGGTACTTAGTTCCCATATGGGGTGCTGGGGATCAAACTCAGGTCAGCCATAGATAAGGCCAGTGCCCTCCCTGCTGTGCTCACTCTCTGGCCCTCACAGTGCCTCTTGGTGGCTTCCTCACATTATCCTCCTTCTGGAACTCCCTTGAGTCCTGGCCGGGCATGGCCGCCGCCAGCTTCAGGGACAGGGGCGGATCGGCCTCAAGGAGCAGGTTCAGAATGTCCATCTCGTTCTCGTCGTCGATGGCACACCCGTTCACTTCCAGAACCACGTCTCCCTGCCTCAGGCCTGCTTGGTCCGCGGCCCCTCCTGGGATCACCTGGCCATGGGGGGGAAGGACAGATGACATACGTCTTCCCGGGGAACTGGGCTGTGTACTGGGGGGTGGGGGGGACACGGAGAGAACTGAGGAGGCAAATGACGGACAGGGGTCTGGAGCCTCCATCACCTGGGAGATGTACAGTCGTGGCCAGCTGGTCACGCAGGAGAGCCAGAATCCATAGCCACCACCAGGCCCGGGGTGCAGGATACACAGGCGGGTGGACCCTGGGACCGGGGCCCTGGAGGTTGGAGCATCTGCACTGGGCAGAGCCTCAGTCTGGTCCTGAGATGCTCCGTCCTGAGCGGCAGGTGGCTCGGCAGGTTCCATGAAGAGGAGGGGGGACAGGCGGGCCTGGGGGAGACAGAAGAGGAGGGGGCTGCTTGCCCTGCCCACAGCCCTGCACCTGATCCTCCCCAACCCCTGCCCAACCACACACTGTGTTGAAGAAGCGGTCAGCCTCAGGGTCCACCACAGTGAGCTCCACGCGGGGTCCCTGCGCCCGGATCCGGGACACCGTTTCCTTGTGGCTCAGCCCCTCCACGCTGTCCCCAGCCACAGCCACCAGCCGGTCCCCATCACGCATCCCCGCCTTCTCGGCTGGCTGTCCCGGGTCTACTTCCCGCAGGAACTGCCCTGGAACAAGGATAGTCTCGTTGCTTCTCCACTTTTGAGCGCAGCCCCGTCCACTGCCCTGGGCGGGTGTGGACAGAACAGGAAAGAGAGCCCAGGAGGAGGACCCAGGGTGGGGTGCGGTTTATTTGTTCGGGAGCCACACCTGGGTGACTCCCGGCCCTGCACTCAGGAACGGTTCCGAGGGGGTGCACAGGAGATCCGAGCAGATGCCGGGTCAGTACTATCGCTCTGGGTCCCCCCTCTTTTTTTTCTTTTTGGTTTCGGTTTTGGGGCCACATCCGGTGACGCTCAGGGCTTACTCCTGGCTCTGTTTCCAGGGATCACCCTCAGGGAATCATATGCCAGCATGAACCCAGGTCAGCCTCCCTCCGGTCGCTGCCCGCCACCTCCCCATTCCCGTGTGCTGAGCAGAGCTAGGGGGCTGCTGTCTGTGCCCTCCCCCCACCCCTGACTCACCGAAGGTGCCATCGGGCCCCTTTTCCTCCTTCAGCAGAAAGCCGAAGCCCTGGGGCCCCTTCTCCAAGTTCAGGCAGCGGGGCCTGCCAGGCAGTGTCCAGCCCACTGCCAGCGGGGCAGCCAGCGGCACGCCCAGCCGGCGGCACTGTTCCTCCACCTCGGTTGCTGCCACCAGCAGGGTCACTTGCTGTCCACTCTGCGAGAGCTGTCAGGACCCAAAGGGCATCAGCTACCGGGATGGGGCAGGCCCAGGGCGGCCCCTTCTCCCAGTCCCGCCCCCCGCTTGCAGGGGCGCTGCCCAGGAGGACCCGGTGGAAAGGGACATGTCAGGGGGCGCCCAGGGTGGGACCAGGTCGGAGGCTGGAGGAGGAGCCGGCTTCAGGCTGAGACGGGGTGGGAATGGGGGGACAGGGGTGGGCAGTGGGGGGGAGGGCGGGGCAAAGGCGGAAGAGGGCCGGGGGCGGAGTCTGCGTGCCTGGCCCAAGGGCGGAGGCTGCAGGTCCTCACCTTCTTGTTGACTTTCCTCTGGGTGAGCTTCTCCACGCTCGCCCCATTCACCTCCAGCAGCCGGGCCCCGGCGGGGACCCCTGCCCGCTCAGCTGCTCCTCCGGAACTCAGCACCAACCAGAAAGAACCCCCGTATCCTGCAAGCCGCAAAGCGCCTCGTTTTCGTCTCCAGTCTGCCGCGGACCCGAGCCAGGGGGCTCCCGCCCTGTCCACCCTCGCCGCGCCCACCGTCTCCGCGCCCACCCTCGCTCCCGGGCCGCGGAGCTCACCCGAGGTGACGCTGAAGCCGAAGCCGCCTTCATCTTTCACGACGTGGCACAGCCGGGGCCGGACCCCTGGGCCAAGTGTGGGATAGAGGGGGGCCTTGTCCCCCTGCCGCTCGCGGGCCACGTCGTACACGTGCTGGGCCACCACCATCAGCAGCACGCGCGGGCCGCTGGCGCGGATGTGGCGGACCACCTGGGGGCGGGGGAGCGGGCGGTGACGTCGGGACCACCCTTAGTTAGGGGCTGGCTCAGCCCTGCTGGAACCCGCTCCCCGGGGTGCCTTGGCACGACCTTCACTGCCCAGACACCCCTACATCACTGGGAGGTGCGGGTTGGGACTTAGGGGGTCCCCGTACCTGGAGGTGACCCCCCCACCGGGCTTCTCTTCCCTCAGCCCCCGCCCCCAGGGGTCCCTGTCCAATCTCACCACCGCAAAGTTTTCTTGTTCCAGTAGGTTGAGGTTCACCCCCAGAATCAAGTCTCCTTCCCGGAGCCCCTGGCGCTGGGCGGAGCTGCCGGGGTCCACCTTGCTCACCACGGGCTGCGTCCGGGCCAGGTGATGCTGGAGGTGGAAACCGAAACTCCCGCTCTCGTCTTTGCTCAGCAGGCAGAAGCGGGGTGACTCCAACTTCCCCGTGTCTGCAAGGGGCGGCAGGGAATGGGGAGACGGGTCACCTGCGGGTTCTCCCCGTCCGGCGCGGGGCAGGAGCAGAGTGGGCGGGACAGGGCGCCCCATCACCTCCTCTGTCCCTTCCAGCGCAGAGAGCAAGGAGTGGCCACCAGGGGGGCAGTGTGGAGCCCAGGCGGCTAGGAGGGGCGGCGGGCTGGCTGGGGAATGGGTGGGGCGGAGGATTACCTGAGGGGTCCAAGTCTTCAGTCAGGCAGAGCGCAGGATTATCAATGCCCACTTTGGGGTTGAACTCAAACTTCCTGTGAGGAGGCAAGGGACCCAGGAAGAAGACGCTGACATCAGGGTTGGGGTGCGGGGGGGTCTCGGCCCTCCTTGAAGTGCTAATGACAGGCTCAGTGCTCCCTGCGTCCCAGCCCCCAACCCTCCCCAGCAGGCACTTACAGGGTTAACGAGGCCGTGTCCTGCAGCTCTATCGGGCAAAGAAAGGGCTGGTGAGCTTTCCTGGCCCCCACAAGCAATCTGTCCATGGCTCCTAGCTCCTGACCTGCTCCTGGCTCTTGGCAGGTCTGCGAGAAGCCCCCTGCTTACCCCTATGTGCGGCACCCGAGTCCCACCTTACTTCCCCACCCAGCTCCGGGCTCAGACATCTAAACCAATCACTCCAGGGCGGGGCTGGGAAGAGAGATCCACTCACCTCTTCTCCCCTCACTTCCAGCTTCTGCCCCAAGGCTTCAGACCCCACCCAGCCCCCGTTGGTGCTCCAGGCTGACCTCCACCTCCCACTGCCCTTCTCTTCCCACCCTGGGCTTCTCCCAGCCTCGGACCTGCGACAGTCTCCATGGTTGGCCCCGCGACCCAGGACTCCCGCAGGCCAAGGTCCACAAAACCAGCTGACCTTCCTACACCTTCCCTCTCTGCCCGCCTCCTTGAAGTCGCTGCTCCCTCCTGAGCAGCGGGTAATGGTTAACTGCAGCATGGTCATCCTCGGAGAAGCCTGTGTGCCTCCTGCCCCCCACCCCTGTCCCTGACCCCCCCCCCACTTTTTTCTTTTGGGCTTATACTCCTTGGTGCTCAGGGTTACCCGTGCTGTGGGATCATTCCTGACAGCACTCAGGGGACCACATGGGGTGTCGGAATCAAACCTAGGCGTGCAGGACCAACGCCCAGCTCGCTGCACTATCGCTCTGGCCCCTGGGCCCCTACTTTCTCTGAAACTCTGTAACCGCTCCAGCTCCCTGAAGCATGGAGAAAGCAGCCCGCAGGGCACTTGTGGGCCCACCCCGGGGACATGCACTTCTGAAAGGGTGACAGGAGTCCAACAGCCTAGAGTGGCCAACCCCTCCTTGATTTCTGGTTCCTGGGGCCCACCCCCAGCCCTCTCTGATTCTGAGCCTAGAGTCTGACTTCCAACTGCAATAGGAGGTGTTGGGTAGTTAAACGGAAAGACAGAATTTGGGTGGAAGGTGCAGGCAGAGACAAAATGATGGTAAGGCACGCAGCCAACCTGAGTTCAATTCCTGACATCCAGTATGGTCCCCCAAGCCTGCCAGGGGTGATTCTTGAGTGTAGGGCCAGGAGTTGCCCCTGAGCACCCCCAGATGTGGCCCCCCCAAAAAAAACAAACAAAAAGACTGAGAATAGGGGCCGGATATGACCCGAGTGGTTGGGCACATCCCTGGCACAAGGAGAAGCCCCGGATTCAACACTCAACACGATACCTCATCCCCATGCTGGCATCCTTTAGGGTAGCCCTGGTGGACCCCCTCCCCAAGCACTGCAGGAGCATCCTCCTGCCCTGGGCCCCTGAGCACAGCCAGGAGTGCCCCTCACCACGCGCCCCCCTCCCCCACCATCAAATGACCAAGAACAATTGAGTGACCTTTCCTGAAAGCCCCAGGCAAGTGACCCAGTCGGTTTTTATTTAAAGAGGCCAGGTTTTATTGGAGACAATCAGTGTAAGTGCCCCTTGGGGCACAGAGCCTAAGTACCACTGTGGTGAAGGGGGGTTGGGGCGAGGGGAGAGCACCAAAGTGAGGAGAATGCCATCCTGGGGTGTGCGCTTGGCCACACTTCCGGCACTGCGGGCGGGAGACGCGCGCCCCCTGGCGGTGCGATCAGGAGCTCCAGATGGGAGGGTGGGGCGAGGCTGGGACTGGGGCTGCGCGACGATTTGGTCGCTAAAGCGCCACATCCTTCGCTCCCTGGAGCATAAGGGAGGGGCATGTTCCGTGACCCTGGACGAACCCGACCGGGCTGTCCGGCACTGGTCCGACGTGCCCCGGGCCGGGAACGGCAGCATTGTTTATAAATGCCCTTTCCTTTCCCTCCAGTACAAGCCGGAGGCGGCGGGAGCACAGGGCTGGAGCAGGAGGGGTCGCGCGGCGAGGTGTCAGCCGTCGTCAACTCAGGTGCCACGACCTGCCAGCTGCTCCAGGAGTGCCCGGAACTCGCTCTCCACGCGCAGCAGCTGGGCCTTGCGCAAGGGGTTCAGCGTGGCGCCCCGGCTGTCTTCCAAATCCTGCAGCAGCAGCTCCAGGTGCCGCTGCACGCGGCCCCGGTCCCAGCTGTTGAGGTTCCGCTGGACTTCGCTGAGGATCACCGACCAGTACTCGGACACGGCCGTCCCCTCCGTCAGCGACACCACCACCCGCGCTCCGCCTTCGGGGCTGCCGGCCAGATCCCGCAGGACCCGGCGGCCCTCGGAGCTCAGCTCATTGAAGTAGAGGCTGGCCGGAGAAAGAGGGGGGAGCTTTTAGGGCGGGAGGACCCCCTGAAGGGGTCTTGCAAAGTAGCCCGGGCTGGGGAAAGCGTTGCAGGTCAGCCAGGGACGCCAGGGAGGACGCCAACAGCAGGAAGCCGGCCCCCAGCATATGCCGCGGAAGAGCCAATCAAAAGCGGAGTACAAGCAGACACGGACCAATCAGAAGCGGGGGGGCGGGGTGAGGCCGGGCTCAGGCGCGCCCTCTAGGGTACGAAAAGCGCGGTGCAGAGCGGGGCGAGCTGCGGGGACCGCGGGTTCAAGACTCACTGCAGCAGCTGTAGGGAAGGGTGGCTGCGGGCAGCCTGGGCCAGCGCCAGGGCCGCCGTGTCGCCGGCGCCGTTGTAGGCCACGTTCAGCTCCTGCAGTCCCTGGTTCCGGTGTAGCTGGGCCGCAAGCAGCTCCAGGCCCTCGTCGCCGAGGTCCGTGTGCAGCAGGGAGAGGTGAGTGAGGGAGCGGTTTCCCGCCAGCCCCTCGAGCAGCAGCTCCGCGCCCTCCGCTGTCAGCGGGTTGTTGGACAGCCTGTGGCCACAAGCGGCGCCCCAAGGTCACGCAGGCCCAAGGGGTGCCCTTCTGGGGAGCCCGCCCGGGAGAAGGAAAGACAGAGAAATGGCGATCTCTGCAGTCAAAGCCAGCTTCTCTTTTCCTCTCCTCCCTCCTCGACCCTCCTCTTCCTCCTTTTCTCAACTCCTCCCCAGAACCCTAGCCCCATCCCTCTTTTCCCCCTTTTCCTCCTTCCCTTCCCCTGACTTCTGTCAGAAATGGGGGCCTGTCCCTGCAAGGCAAGGTGACAGAGAAGCTTCTGGAAGAGAGGTGACAGTTGGCTCTGCTTGGTTGTTCTTTTTCTCCCCTCCGCCTCTCCCCCTCCCCACACATTCTCTTCTCCAGCCTGGGGGAGCTGGGGGGTGAGGGGAGGCTGCACCCGACAAGTCCAGAGGCCTGTCCATAGGGACAGGGGGCCCCTCCGGCAACTCACCGCAGGGAGGTGATCTGACACTGGTCATGAAGTAACAGGTCCTGGAGATCTCTGCAAGCCTCGGGGCCCAGGCTGTTGAGCTGCAAGCTGGAGCAGAGGAGTCAGAGCAGAGACAAGCAGCAGACCAGTTAGCATGGAGAAGCCGGAGAGATAGTGCAGGGCAGACGGCGCTTGCATCACACGCGGCTGACCCATTCCATTCCCCAGCACAGCATGCAGAGGGTCCCCTCTGCACGAGCATCGCCGGGAGCGGTCCCTGAGCACAGAGCCAGGAGTCAGCCCAAACCCCTCCCCTCAAAGCAAAACAAGCAATCATGGAGCGCTCCCGTTCCTCCTCCACCCACACCAGACTTCATCACCTGCCCTCCCAGGCCTTCCTTCCCTTCCCTTTCTCCAGACTTCGTCCCTCTGTGTCCCATGGGGACGGGTCCTCACCCCAGCTTCCGGGCACGCAGGAGGACCGGCATGAGCGTGCGCAGCCCGGCAGGGTCCAGCTGGCAGGAGGCCAAGTTCACCTCGTCCAGGGCGTGTCTCCCACTGCCCAGCACGGTGGCCACCACGGTGCACTTGAGGGGCGTCATGCGCAAGCCAGCCAGGTTGAGCCAGCGCAGGGAGCCCAGCACCTCGGCCGAGAAGCGCTGGTTCTGGAACTCGTAGTGGAAGAACAGGTTGTCCATGAGCTCTGTGGGCGGCAGCACCCGGCGGCCCGCCTTCCCCAGCCGCTTCTTGATGGCCTGCGTGTTCTCCAGCGCCTCCTGGTGCCTGATGCGGCAGCCCAGCTGCGCCAGCACCGCCCTGTTGGGGGCCGAGAGAAGCCCCCCCACGAACATGGGAAAGAGCTCGAAGACCTCATCATCGGGGGGCTCATCGGGGTGGCGCCGAGGGCCCTCCACACCCAGGATGCTGGCGTCCATCTGTTCCAGGACGTCTTCGTTGTAGAAGTCTTCCTCTCGGAACATCTCCAGCACCATGGCCTGGGCCACGGCCTCCCGGCTCTTACCCACCACGCGCCCAAACACTGTGGGGACCACCTGGGGAAGGGAGCAGGATACAGGGTCAGAACCACCCCGCCTCCTCGTCACCACGACACCCACTGATCCAACTTCTCCCTTCCAGCAGGGTCCTTTGTGGCTCCTACAGCATGTGAACTGCATGTGAAGAAACCCAACCGGCCCTGATCTGAAATGGCCAGCTTTGTCTCTCCTGCATGCCTGAGGCTGGGAAATTATTTTTTGGGGGGGAAAGGGAGAAATCTGTGGGTGTGGGTGTGGGTGTGAGAGAGAGAGAGAGCGATGCCGGGGATGGAACCCAGAGCCCTACACTTAAAAGACAAGTGCTCCACCACTAAACCATATCCCTGGATCCAGGAAACCCGTTTTCACTCTGGAAAGGCCAACCAACAGGATCATGGAGAAACTGACGGGACTTGTCTGCTGTGAGCAGCTCCCCTCTAACAGGACTTAGGGGTGCTAAGGGTGCTAGCACTTCTAGTACATTCTCAAATAACTGAGGGGCTTTCTGAATCCCCTTAGGAGATTCCGCCTTCCTCTCTAACTCAGGGGAGGAAGTGCCTCCCCTGAGGGTTGGGCTGGCAGTTGGGTGGTGGGTGGAGGGATGAGTGGACTGTCTGTGCCGGCTTTTAAGGTTTTTTTGTTTGGTTGTTCTGGGGGTCCTACCCAGTGGTGCCTGGTGCTGAGGGGACCATGTGGTACTGGTGATTGGAACCAGAGGCCTCCAACAAGTACAACTCAGCCCACTGTTCTCTCGCTAGCCCTGGATTTAGGCTAACAAACAACTTACTAGCACTCACTAAGCTCCAGACACCCATGATTAACTCTTTTAATCCTCATAATAGTCAGTGATATCGTTTCTACCATGATTCCATATAGGAGGAAAGAACTCGCAGTACAGGGGCTGGAGCAATAGTGCAGCGGGGAGAGCGCCCGCCTTGCACTCGGCTGGCCCGGGTTCGATCCCTGGCACCACATATGGTGTTCTGAGTCCCGAAAGAAGTGATTCCTGGGGCTGGAGCAATAGCACAGTGGGTAGGGCATTTGCCTTACACGCAGCCAACATGGCCGATCCAGGTTCGATTCCCAGCATCCCATATGGTCCCCTGAGCACCGCCAGGAGTAATTCCTGAGTGCATGAGCCAGGAGTAACCCCTGAGCATCGCTGGGTGTGACCCAAAATGCAAAAAAAAAAAAAAAGTGATCCCTGAGCACTGTCAGGAGTGAGTCCGGATCTCCAAAACAAACAAAAGAACTTGTGGCAGAGAGGTTAAGTGGTTTCTTTATGGACACAAAGCTAGTGAGTGGTGGAACTGAGATGTAAATCAAGGTAGTTGGATTACTGAATTACTGTTCTATTTTGGGGGGTTGGGGGAGGCTGTTTCTGAGCCACACCTAGTGGTGCTCTGTGCTCTGGGGTGACTACTGAGTGGGGCTAGGCATCGACCAGGGTGGGCCATGTTCAAGGCAAGTGCATCTATCCCTGTACTATCTTTCCAGCCCTGAATTCTTTTTTTGTTTTGCTTGCTTTGTAGAATTTTTTGACTATTTAAAAAAATTTTTTAAAGAACCATGATTTACAAAGTTAGTGGCAGTTGAGTTTTAGGTATGTAATATTTCAACACCAATCCACCACCACTGTCAACTTCCCTCCACCAGTGTCCCATACTCCGTCCCCACCGTCCTGCCAGCCTGCCACCTTGATTACAAAGTTCGGTGGTTGTACCTTCGATCTCATAATTGCATTGTTGTTGAGTCTGTGCTCTAGACATAAAATTACACAACTCTCCACATCATCCATGTTACTGAAGCTCTGACCCCTACTCCCCAGTACTTCCCTTTCTCATCTTCTTCCTTACCCTCTTGAATTATCTCCTTTTCTGTCCTCTTTCCTAAGCACTGGGGTCAGGGGTGATCTGGGTATCCTCCTTTTACTACATGTACTTGTCCAGTTACTCCTCATACGTCAGATCAGATCATCCTGTGTGTGCCCTGTTCTTTTCTCTGCCCAGCTCTGTGCCCAGCCATTCTAGTGGTGCTCAGGAGACCATGTGCTGCCGGGGACTAAGCCAAAATCTGAGCATGCAAAGCATATGCTCAGCCCATTGACCTCTCTCCCTGATCCTTTGAACTCCTGTTCTTAACCTTTATGGTCTGTGACCTATAAAACGGAAAACCTGCAGGGGGCCAGAAAGGTAGCAGAGTGGGTAGGGTAGGGTGCTTGACTGGTACATGCTGACTCAGACCCAATCCCTAGCATGCCATATAGTCCCCTGGGTCCTTCCAAGAGTGATCCCTGAGCACAGAGCCAGGAGTAAACCCTGAGCACTGCACCCTCCCCCCCCAAATAAAAGAGAATTTGGGGTCAGGGAGATGGTTCAAAGGGCTGAGGCACATGCAGGAACCCCAGGTTCCATCTCCAGAACCATTGGGTGCTCAAACACTGAGTGAGGTAAGCTCTGAGTACTGCCAGACCCAGCGGGTAGGGCGTTTGCCTTGCATGAGGCCGACACGGCCGACCCGAGTTCGATTCCTCTGTCCCTCTCGGAGAGCCCGGCAAGCTACCGAGAGTATCTCGCCTGCATGGCAAAGCTTGGCAAGCTACCCGTGACGTATTCGATATGCCAAACACAGTAACAATTCTCACAATGTGACTGGGCCCACTCGAGCAAATCGATAAACAATGGGAGGACAGTGACAGTGACAGTGACAGCCCTCTCCACAATCCCCCTCCCCCAAAAAAGGGCTGGAAAGGGTTAACACACTGGATGACAGACCCCGGTTAGAATCCTCATCACCACCTCATCACCACATATCCACCACATATCTCCTGGGACATCAGCTGGGGTCAGTCCTTAGGTCTGAGGAAGGGACAGTTCCTGAGCCCTACTGGGTGAGCCACCCCCCTTGCCTCCCCCACCCCGTCTACCCTCCCCACCTCCTGCACATTCCCCCCCCCCCCAAAGGAAACACTTAATGAGATTTTGCCATCACTGCAAAGGGATGGGTGTCTTCAGGACCAGCTACTGAGACCCATTCCCAGGACAGCTCCAGGATTACCTGGCAGGCAGCAGTGCGGAAAGATTCATTGTATGTGGGTGATGCTTGGCACGCAAGGCCCAAGACTCCAGAGCACAAAGTCTGAGTTCAAATACCAGCTACTGTGCTCACCGGCTGAGTGAGCCGGGACCAGTCACGGACCAGGGAGCCTGCTTTCCTGTCCCCACAGGGGATCATAAAAGTATTTCATTTGTGATGGCAGGGCTGCACCCCACCACTCCTTCAAGAACTGAGCCCAGGGGCCAGAGCGATAGTACAGTAGGTCGGGCATTTACCTTGCACGTGGCCCACCTACCCCTGACATCTCATTTGGTCCCCCAAGCACCGCCAGGAGTGATCTCTGAAGACCTAAACAGCACTGGGAATACCCACTCCCCCCACCCCCCAAACTTGAACTCAACTCAAAAAATAACTGAGCCTCATCTGGGCCGGGTAGTTCAGTGAGCTGAGTGCATGCTTTGCTTGCTGGAGTCCCGGGTCCAAGAGCTGGCACTGCATGGTCTCCTGAGCCCTGCTGGAAGCGACCCCCAAGCAGGGAGCAGCCAGAGGAGGCCCAAAACACAAACCAAAAAAATACAACTGAGCACATCCGGCCTGTGGCGGTGCAGTCCTCAGGCCTGTAATCTGGTTTCTGGAGCGAAGCGCTCAGGCGGGCAGAGCCAATCACCAAGGCCATTGCTCCTCCCGGGGTAAGTGAATAAAGCGGCATCTGCTTTAGAAACTCGTGTCTGGTGCTTCATCAGGATGAGTCATCACTCCTCGAGTCTGGTCTCCTCTGGGGGGGACAGGGCAGCAGGCCACACAAGCAGGACCAGGAAAGCTGCCCTTGGAGGTGCGGGGTGCGTGACCCCAACCCTAGGACCCTCACATTCCCCTGCAGACTGCGGAGCCTTCCCCACCCAGCTTCAGGATTTCTTTGCCCCCTACTCTTGTGCCCCAGTTCCACTGGGATGGCCCAGAGCCAAGGGGAGAATTTGCACTTACACCGGAAGTGGCCGCTTCTTTCTGGGAGAGGAGTGGGGGGTGTAGGGGAGCTCAGGACTGACTGACGGGGGGGGGGGGGGGGGGGGGGGAGGCGGGGCAACTGCTGTTACCTTGAGCAGATTAAAGACCAGCGGCAGGATCCGTAGGGGCAGCAGCTTGGCCACGACGCCCAGGACCAGGCTAACGTCCTCGCCAACACGGCCCGCAAAATCAGCCACCTCCTTACCCACGCGCTCCAGAGTCGTCTTCCGCAAGCCCAGGACAATGTAGAGGGCAGCCAGGTACTCCTGCATGGAGGGCACGGTGAACACGAAGGTGCCCCGGTGGCCTGGCTCCACACACGGGGTCAGGAAGAACCTCAGGGCATCGCGGCGAAAGACGTGCAGCAACTGGAATTCTTCCTCTGTCCTGATACCCGCCTCCAGACAGCCCCGCACGTCCTCCTCGGAGAAGTAGGTCTTCCGGGAGGACACCCCCTCGTAGGCCAGCTTCCCCATGGTCCGGGCGGCATAGGCCATCAGGGACAGCTTGGCGGGGTCAGTGCTGTCCAGCATCTCCCCGCTAAAGTTGAGGCGCAGGAAGCTGGTGTAGATGCTTGTGAGGGTCTGGCCGGCCGGCGTGGGCGCGTGCAGGAAGTGCAAGGTGGCGCAGACCAGCCAGCAGTAGGAGGGCAGGAAGCAGGCAGCGGCGATCTGGTGGTGGCCCTCCAGGTTCCGCGACAGCATCTGCACCAGTGTGTCGCGCTGCACCGGCGAGGGGGAGACCCCTGCGCCCCCCGCGCCGTAGCCGCAGTCGGGCTGGTTGAGACGGAGCTGGAAGTAGAGCTTCTGCAGGTTGGTGTCGGAGAAGCCGCAGATCTCCCCGTAGCGGCCCACGTACTTGCTGGGGATGCCAGCGACAGCAGAGGGCCGGGTGGTCACCAGGATGCTGGCCTGGGGTGACAAGATGTGGGGTTAAAGGCACTGGGGGCCAGAGTTACAGCACCGGGGCCAAGGTACTTGCCTTGCTGACCCCTGCTGACCCCAGTTCAAGTCCTCAGCACTGCATATGGTCACTCCTTTGGACAGAGCCAGGAACAGCCCCTGAGTACCACCAGGTGTGGCCCAACACCCCTGCCCCCCAGCCCCTGGCAGAGGGACTTATTCTGCATGTGTACGGCTCTGAGTTTTTTGTTGTTTGTTCTTTTTTTTTTCTTTTTGGGTCACACTCGGCGATGCGCAGGGGTTACTCCTGGTTCTGCACTCAGGAATTACCCCTGGCAGTGCCCAGGGGACCATATGGGATGCTGGGAATTGAACTCGGATCGGCCGCGTGCAAGGCAAACGCCCTACCCGCTATGTTATCACTCCAGCCCATACAGCTCTGAGTTTGATCCCCAAAATAAGAAATAAATATATAAGTTCCTCTCTCTCTATATATATATGTATATATATATAAATACATATATACATATACATACGGGTTGGAGCGATAGCACAGTGTTAGGGCGTTTGCCTTGCATGCAGCCAACATGGCCAAGCCAAGTTCGATTCCTCCGCCCCTCTCAGAGAGCCCGGCAAGCTACTGAGAGTATCTCGCTCGCACGACAGAGCCTGGCAAGTTACCCGTGACATATTCGATATGCCAAACACAGTAACAATTGTCACAATGGAGACGCTACTGGGCCCACTTGAGCAAATCGATGAACGACGGGAGGACAGTAACAGTGATGTGTATATTATATATAATGATATATATTATATAATATACATTATATGTGTGTGTATATTATAACATATATATGTGTGTGTGTGTGTGTGTATATATATATATATATATAAATAACAGCCCTGAACCGGCTCTGAATCCCAAGCACCACATATGGTCCTGTGAACACCGCCAGGGGTCACTCTTGAGCTCAGAAGTAAGGCTAGCCCCAGAGCACAACCACAGCCTCCCTCCCCCGGGAGCCTCTAAGTCCAAGGACGAAGATGACAACTGTGACCTTTAGAACGAGCCACTTCTGTGCCCGGGCTCTGCTCCAGGCCTCTGCAGGCTTAGGAGGGACCCATGGCTCACAGCAGCGTGGCAGGTTGTGAATCCCACCAGAGCGTGCGCTAAGACCTCATAAGCCCCGACCTGGGGATGCTTCAGGGCAAGTGGGGGCCACTCACCTCAGGCAACATGTACTTGCGCAGTAGGTTGACGACAATGGCTGCTGGTGGCATCGGCTCCTTGGGGTCGCTGCACAGCCCGGTGCCCGCCAGCCGGAAGTCGAGGTTGAGCCGTTCCAGGCCGTGGAGCACGAAGAGCAGGCGGGACCCGGCAGCCGACATGAGCGGCAGAATCTCCTTGAGGGGCGTGTAGCGCTGGGCCACCAGGTGGCACAAAGAGATGGGGGCAGGCCCCAGGGATGACAGGTCCTCGCAGGAGAAGGGGATGAGCAGCTCGAAGGCGGGCAGCCGCCCGTAGCACCAGTCCAGGACCATCTTGCGCACCAGCGTGCTCTTGCCGGTGCCCACTGTCCCATAGAGCACCACCGTCTGCACGCGGTGCCCGCAGGCATCAGGGTCAAACAGCTGGGAGAGTGCCAATGGGGGGAGGCCAGTAGAGGGTGGCTGACGGTCCAGGGACAGTTCTGCAGGCGGGCGAAGCAGCTCATCGGGGGCGCTCTCGCGGATCACGGGGTCCACGTGGACTGTGTCCAGCGCAAACGTGGGGCCGAACTGGCGCTCTTCCCTGGGCAGCCGGCTGAACCAGTCGATTAGGTTCCTGCGATGCTGCTGGATGGCTTCTGTGTGGGAAGGGGCAGGGGTCAGGGGAGGCGCTGGGGGACCATGGCATAGGGCTTGTCTGGCGTGGCCAGCACAGGGACAGGCTGTGGATGCAGATGGCACCAGGAGAGGCTGGTGTCCCTCACGGTACTGGAACTCGTTTCCATCAGAAAACGGACTGCACCGGAAAGCACAGTGGATAGGGCATTGGCCTTGCATGCGGCTGAACCAGGTTCAATCCCTGGAATCACACAAGGTTCCCCAAGACCGCCAGGAGTCATCCCTGAGCACAGAGCCAGAGTAAGCCTTGAGCACCTCTGGGTGCGGCCCAAAAACCAAACTAAGAAAATAGAGCAGGCCGAACAGACAGCACAACAGGTAAGGTGCTTATTTTGCATATGGCTGACCCAGGTTCAATTCTCGGCACCCTACAGGGAACCCAGAGCCCACCAGGAGTAATCCCTGAGCAGAGAGTCAGGAATAAGCCCTAATCACTGTCAGATGTGCACCTCCCCAAAAAAAGTATATTGTATCCCTCCCAATGCTGAGTAGAGCACTTGTGCATAGCCCGAAAATTGTAGGAAGATGTACATGGACAGATGGATGATGTGGAGAGTGGGGGGCCCAGGTCCGCAATGCCTCTCCTTCCAGGCTTCTCTTCCTACCCCCATCAGGATCCCAATGGGTCCCTTACCCGTTGCAGCAACGCTCCGGAACAACTGTCCTTGCCTCCCCATGGGGGGACCAGTATCCGCTGAGTTTCCATAGTGGCGAACAGAAGCCCTGGGAACAAGGAATTGAGCAGGTGTGGGTGGTGGCCGGGTCCAGGCCTGCTGCCTGGTCTCCTGGGCTCTGGCTTCCTAAGGCCCAGGCTCCTCCCTGGACAGCCAAGAGAGCCCAGCGGGCTCTGGCACAGCCCTCCCTGTGACGTCATCTTGCCCCCACCCTTGACCGCTGCCTGGAATAAAGGCTGGTCCCCGTCACATTCCACTTCTCCTGGGTCCTCTCTTGGCTGGCCCTGACCACAGTGGATGACTCAGCTGACTTCTCTCCAGTCCAGGAGCTGGTTCTGGACCCTCCCTACCCCCAGGGGATCAAGCTTTCTCCAAGCTCTCACCCTTCCAGGCTACCTAGCTGGGCCCAGGTGTGTCTTAGGGGGTTAACACTCAGGACTCACCTGCGGGTCCCAAGAGGACTCTCCTCCCCTCTGAAGAGCCAATGCCAGCGGACCAGGAAAGGGCTCTTTTCATCTGAGAGAGACAGACAGACAGACATCAGGCCCCAGCCTCATCTCCTCGCCAGCCTAAAGACCCCCATCTACATCAACCCCCATTATTGTATACAATCTGATATGCATTGTGTGGCTCTGCAAACTGAAGTCAGACCAGTCCCAGGACCAAGGTGGCTCCGAGACACTGAGAGATCATCTAGCTCAACTTCCTTATCTCCAGGGGGTAAAGGGAGCTCAGTGGAGTGTGAGGACTCACCCACAGCCCCACAACATAAATCACAGAGCTGGGCCCACACCCGGGACCCGACTCCCTCCTCTCTCCCAGGCACCCCAGACTCAAAAGAGAAGGGGGAAGGAAAAGAACCGCATTGCCTGCTCACCTGCCGGTTGGAGCACTCTTCCCAGTCCAGGGCCCCAGGAGGCCCTGGGCAAATGGTGGCCCCATCTCATGGTAGGGCAGCCAGGGCCCAGGAGCCTCAGCGACCACCTCTGATCCTGCTTCCCTGCGAAGGCAAGAATGTGAAAGAGTGTCTCTCTCACACACACACCACACACAAAGACCACACACACCACACACATACCGCACACACTACACACATACTACACACATGTCACACACATATCACACAAACCATACACACCACATACATATCAATACATACACCATACACACCCCACACCACACACACATCACACATCACATACATATCACACGCTTACACATCCCACACACACATACATACACATCGCACATACCACACATATCATACACATGCCATACACCACAAACACACCATACACATACATATACATCACACACATATCACACACCATACACCACACATACATACACACAAACCACCATATATACCACAGATATACCACACATATGCACATCCCACAAACACACCACACACATCTTACACGCCGCCACATCCCACACACTACATACATACCAAATGTACCACACACACCACACCTTCACATCCTACACTACCACACCCACCTCCAACATACCACACACACCACAGCATGCACCACACACCACATATACCTCATACTTACAACACATATACATGCATACCACACAACCACATACCAGACACATACTTCAACACTAACACACATACCAAAGATACCACATATCCCATACACAACACTATGGTACACATCACACACCCACCCCCTGTGAGGCCGACAGGTCTTCCTCCCCAGGAGATTATCAGCTTTCCTTCAATCTCTTAGGTACAGGCAAGCCCTGGCCTGACCCATTTCCCCATTCCCCAGACACCCCTGACCTGAGTCTCCCATTTTGTGTGTGTGTGTGGGGGGGGGGGTTGGTGCCACACTCGACACTGCTCAGGGGTTACTCCTGGCTCTGCACTCAGGAATCACTCCTGGCGGTGCTCAGGGGACCATATGGGTTGCTGGGAACCGAACCCCGGTCGGCCGCGTGCAAGGCAAGTGCCCTCCCCACTCTACTCCCGCGCCAGCCCGAGTCTCCCATTTTAGGTTCTGTCACCTACTGCCTCACCCCTGAGGTATCACACGCGTCTTTCTCCTGGTGAACTGCTGTCATCAGGTGTCCCTTTGGCTTGGCTGCCAGCAAACTCAGCAAAGAGTCCTGGGCTCTTCAGCTGTGGCTTTCCTGAGCCTCCTGCAAAATGAGACGGCACAGTTGGCTGCCAGTAGCCCTCACCCGCTCCCCTTTGCTCCCTCGCTAGCGCGTCCTTCTCCTTCCTGCTGACTTTAAACGGTTTCATCACTGTCTCTTCAGGACGCTGCCTCTGAGGTAGGCATAAAGAATGAATGAATTTATGAATGAATGAGCCGCCTACTCCATATTTCTACCCACATGGTCTCCTGCAGGGGCTGCAGGCTTCACCGAGCAGAACCAAGGGCTCCCCTGGCTGAGACTAATGCAGGTCCTCTCGCACACCATTCATCAGGGAACCCCAACTGAGTTTAAATGCGCCCAGGCCCCCGGGCCCAACAGCGCTGCTCACGTCTGCTCCCTGGGCTCGGTCAGCCTTTCCCCCTCCCTGCCCCCACCTCCCCTGTGACCACTTGGACCCTCTTAACTACCGGGAACCCCTTTCTCTCCACTCACCTTATTCCAATCCCCACCCCGCCCACTAAAACCGCAGTTACTGTGGAGTGCTATGCTTGCCAGTTCTGGCGCCCACTTTGCCAACTTGGATGGCATAGTGTCTCCCTCTAGCCCGCCCAGAGTCCCGCCTAGTCCTGAAGACTCCCAGGCTCCCCCTGAGTTCCCAGAAACAGGGCCGGTCTCCCTGGCACCTGGGCACGGCTGAGGCAGGACTGCTGTCAGCCCCGCCAACCTACCAGCAGAAATACAGGCTGGGGCTGCCAGCAGGGGCCTCCACAGGACGCCTGAGGTCACTGGGGGTAGGGGGGATTCTGGCTCAGACTGAGAGTTTGGGGTTTGGCGGTGGAGAGATAGCACAGCAGGTCCCAAGTGCCACCCAGGATCGGATCCTTGGCACGCATGGCCAGGATGTGGAAAAAAAAAAAAAGCCAGAGGGGGTCACTGAGTGGAGACGGGCTCTGGGGCGGGGCTATGGGTGGTGAGGGCAGTGATCAGGGTCACCCCCAGCTCACCAGCGGCCCTGCAAGATCAGGGCTTGTGCTCCCTAACTCCTGATCCCCGCCACGCAGCAAAGAAACGCGGCCGCCCGCAGCCTTCCGCTGAGATCCACGCGGCTTCAGGGCCCCACGGTCGCCACTGCGGCCTGGGCCAGCGCCACCCCGCCGGTGCCACCCTGGCCGTGAACTTGCCCAGCGCGTCCCTCGGCTGCCCGCGGCCCCGCGGTCGCCCCGCGCCGAAGGCAAGGCGGGCGGCGGGCCCGGCTCGGCCTTCACCCGCGGCGGCCCGGGCCCGGGAGCTGGTCGCCGGCGAGTCTCCCGCCGGCTCGCAGAGGCCGTTGCCCGGCGCTTCCTGCCCGCTGTGCCGCCTGCGCGGAGCCCGGCCCGGCTTGGCACCTCGCCCTGCAGCCGGCCCGAGCGTCGGAGCGCGCTGCGCGCCGCCGGGGCGGAGCCGTGCGGTTGGCCCTTCGCTCGGATGAGGAAACTGTGCCTCCCCTGGGGAAGTGACTTGCACAGACAGGCTGACCCAGTTAGGAAGAGGAAGAGCCCGAACCGGACTCTCCGGCCTGGGTCCCTAACCCCTCCCCTTCCCCGAGGCACGCTTCCAGCTCTGTGGGGGTTTTGTCCCTCTGTGCCTGGCTCTCTTCCCACCCCAGATTCTGGGTGTCCCTTTGGTCAAGGAAGGGGAGGGTGAGGGGGCTGAGGGGCAGTCCCCACCCCTGCCTGCTCTAAGCCCGGGATGTCCTGGACCCTCTCCCTCATCCCTGTGCTTCCAGGCAAGGCACGCCCAGTCCCCACGGAAGAGCTGTCCACACCCATGGCCCCAGGACAGGCCCACATGCAAATACAGACATTCAGGCCCACCGAGGCTGGGGCGGGGCAGAGGAAAGGCAATGGGGGACTTTTTATCTGACGTGGGGGCCACACCCAGTAGTGCTCAGGGCCACTGCCAGCATTTCTCAGGGGCCATGTGGTGCTGCTGATCAAACCCAGGCATCCTACATGCAAAGTATGAAGGCTGTTCTTGGAGTCTTTCCTAATAGGGCAGCACTGCCAGTCAGAACTCAGGGCCTGCATGGCAGCCACTCCCCTCAGGGGCCCCTATGGTGGTACGTTTCACAAGGAAATTTTTGTGTTTGCTTCGTTTTGGGGACTACTCCTAACAGTGCTCAGGGACGATTCCCAGCTCTGTACTTTGGGGTGGCTTGGGGTGCTCAGAGGAATCCGCAGTGCCTGCCATGGAACCTCAGCATGCAAAACATGTGCTCAGACCACTGAGCAATCTTTCCGGTCTGAGGATGGGACTTCTGAACTTCTGAGGCTTCTGGAAGTCTTTTTTTTTTATTATTGACATCTAGGGATGCTTTGGAGGGGGGGCGGGTTGAGTTTCCCTCCCCACCCCGACCAGAGCTCCGGCAGCCAAAGACCTCCAGAACCAGCCACCACCATGCTGAGACCACTCTCCACACGCATGAAGGAACTGGCAGAGGAACAAAGGTATGCGGGTCCCAGGGCTGAGATCTCCAAGCCTGCTCGGATTGGGGCTGGGCATCCTCCACCCAGATCCTCCAAATTCCAGTAGGCGGGGGTCACACCTACCAACTGGCCCCCTGGCGCCGTGTAATCCCATCAATGGCCAAAACCCAGAGACTCTAAAACCCAGCTCCCAGAAGCGCGCCATTCGTGGCTATGCGACATCTTATTATCTCATTCTTACTTTGGACAACCTGGCAGGCTACCGAATGTAACCTGCCCACACGGCAGAATCTGGCAAACTCCCCGTGGCGTACCCAATATGCCAAATACCAGTAACAAGGATGGGTCTCATTCTCCTGACCCTGAAAGAGCCTTGAATATGGCACTTTTTCAAATCTCAAGGGTAGGACGAAGGAGACATTACTGGTGCCTGCTCAAGGCAATTGACGAACAACAGGATGATCGTGATCGTGATCGTGATTGACATTTTGATTCTCCTGCCCCCGTGCCTGGCTGTCCTTGCCAGGGCCCCTTGGAGGGGGGCGGGTTGAGTTTCCCTCCCTGCCCCGAGCAGAGCTCCAGCAGCCGTAGACCTCCAGAACCAGCCACAACCATGCTGAGACCTCACTCTCCACACGCATGAAGGTACTGGCAGAGGAACAAAGGCATGCAGGTCCTGGGGCTGAGATCTCCAAGCCTGCTCGGATTGAGGCTGAGCATCCTCCACCCAGATCCTCCATTTTCCAGTAGGCAGGGGTCACACCCACCAACTGGCCCCCCAGCGCCATGTAATCCCATCAACGGCCAAGACCCAGAGACTATAAAACCCAGCTCCCGGAAGCGCACCATTCGTGGCTGTGCGACATCTTATTATCTCATTCTTACTTTGGACAACCTGGCAGGCTACTGAATGTAACCTGCCCACACGGCAGAGTCTGGCAAACTCCCTGTGGCGTACCCGATATGCCAAATACCAGTAACAATGATGGGTCTCATTCTCCTAACCCTGAAAGAGCCTTGAATATGGCACTTTTTCAAATCTCAGGGCTAGGATGAAGGAGATGTTTTTGATGCCTGTTCGAGGCAATCGGCGAACAACAAGATGATCGTGATTGTGATTTTGATTCACATCTAGGGATGCTCAAGGGTTACTCCTGGCTCTGCACTCAGGAATTACCCACATTATGTGCTTGGAGTAAGCCAGACACAGTAACAACAAAGTCTCCAATGGAGACGTTACTGGGCCTGCTCGAGCAAATCGACGATGTGCTTGGAGAACCAAATGGGATGCCGGGGGATCGAACCCGGGTCAGCCACATGCAAGGCAATGCTCTATCCGCTGTGCTATGGCTCCAGCCTCCAGGCTACTGGAAGTCTTAGGAAAGACTGGGAAAGGAAGTTTCTGTCGACCTCAGGCAGAAATGGTAGTGTTTGGATGAGTTCTTAAAAACCAAGTTAGAGCAGAACAGAGAAGAAAGTAAGGAATTTGCTTTGCGTGTGTATGCTTCCATCATAACCACTGTACCTCCCCACAGACTTCCCATGCCCACCAGCACTGGGAATAGTAGCTTGTGAGCACTCCCAGTGTGAGTCCAAAGCAAGATGAATGAAAGTAAGCAGGAGAAGGGAATGGCATTCCAGGAAGCAGGGGCAACAGCCCACTTACTTGTATTTGCATTTTGTCATTGTCACTGTCCTCCCATTGCTCATCGATTTGCTTGAGCGGGCCCAGTAACGTCTCCATTTTGAGACTTGTTGTTACTGTGTTTGGCATATTGAATACGTCACAGGGAGCTTGCCAGGCTTTGCCGTGCAGGAGAGATACTCTAGGTAGCTTGCCAGGTTCTCAGAGACGGGTGGAGGAATCGAACCCAGCTCAGCCGGATTGGCTTCAAGCAAGGCAAAAGCCCTACCGCTGTGCTATCACTCCAGCCCATTTGCATATTAAGAGTTCTGTTTCAGGGGACCAGAGTGATAGGGTGCTTGCCTTGCATGTGGCCCACCTGGGTTCGATCCCCAGCACTGTATATTGTCTCCCAAGCCTCACCAGGGTGATCCTTGAGTACAGAGCCAGGAGTAAGCCCTGTGTCTGGTCCAAAAGCCAAGAGGGAGAGAAAGAGTTCTTAGCATTCTGCAGAGCGGTTGATTAAAAGTGAAGGTGGAGAAACCTTAAGAATAGGATTTCAGGGGGCTGGAGAGATAGCACAGTGGGTAGGGCATTTGCCTTGCACGTGGTCAACCGGGGTTCGATTCCCAGCATCCCATATGGTCCACTGAACACCGTCAGGAGTAACTCCTGAGTACAGAGCCAGGAGTAACCCCTGTGCCTCGCCAGGTGTGACCCAAAACGAAAAAAAATAAAAAAAGGAAAAAAAAGAATAGGGTTTCAGGAAGCCAGAAAGATAGTCCAGTGGATAAGGTGCTTGCTGAGCACATGGCCAAGCCAGGGTCGATCACTGGCATCACATATGGTCCCCTGAGCCCCACCAGGAGTAATCTCTGAGCATCAGTAGGCATGGCCCAAAAACAAAAACCAAAAAAAAATAAGAAAAGAAGAATCAATTCTCAGGGCCTTGGGACATCCCAGGCTTCATGCCATTTGCTCAGCAGATGAGGTACCGGCTGCAGTTCCTGGACACAGCCCGAGGCCAGCTTTTCCCCCCTCACCCCAAGTGTGTCAGCCACGGAGGTGCTATTAATAACTAAATTTGATGCCCTTTTATGGACGGAAGTGCTGAGTCTTGCTGTGAGCATGTACTCTGCTGGCCAACCTCAGGATGGGGTCTGGGGCCTTTGAGCCCTGCAAAACCTCCAGGTCAGCCCAGAGAAAGAGAGAGAGAGGTCAGGAAACTCCCCGGGGTCAAAGGCCAGGACCTGTCTGGCACCCAGATCATTCTCCAAGTCTCGGTTCTCTGTGACTGGAGAACAGGAAGGTCCCCATTCCAGCAGCCTCGAGGGAGGTTGGAAGAAGCAAAAGTGCTTTCTTCACCATTTGTGAGAGGTGCTCTCAATGTCCTCTGTGCCTGGAAGGCCCTGGCTGGCTCCCGACTGACCAGCTGAGTCTTCTCCCAAGGGAAGGGCATGAATGCATAAGCGTTTGCTCTTCCTGGAGGAACTCGTTTGGAAAGAGAAAGCAGCATTGGAGAGAGTTCAGTGCACTGAGCAACGCTTCTGTAGGTGGGGGCCTAGTTCCCAATCCCTGAGCACTGTTGGGAGCCACCCCCAAGCACGGAGCCAGGAATAGCCCCTGAGCATGATTGGGTATAGCACCCCCCCAAAAAAAAAAAACAGAGAGAGAGGAGCATGAAAGAATAATCTTCTGTCTTTGTTTTTTAAAATTTTTATTCTGTTTTTGTGCCACATACAGTGATGCTCAGGGCTCTGTGCTCAGGGGACAATATGGGATGCCAGGAATTGAACCCAGGTCAGCCACGTGCAAGGCAAGTGTTTTACCTGCTTTATTATCTCTCCAGTCCCAAAGATAAAGAATCTTAAGAAAGACTAGGACGGGCCTCAGAGATGGCTCAATAGGGCGGAGAGATGTTTTGCATGCAGGAAATCCGGCTTTGGTTCCCAGAGCACTGAACGGCTCCCAGGTAACATTAGAGCACCACCAGGGATGGCCCCCCAAATGAAAACCAAAGGCTAGAAAGATAGTTCAGCAGGTAAGGTCCTTGCGTTGAGCTTAATCATCCTAGGTTCAATCCCCAGCACCATATATGGTCCCCCAAGCCACACCAGGAGTGATCCTTGAATGCAGAGGAAGGAATGAGCTTTGAGCACTGCTGGGTGTGACCCCAAAATAAATAAAGCAATAACAAAAAAACGAAACAAAACAAAATCCTCTCCAGATAAGCAAAGGTTAATATTTAGTGAGGTATTGGTGCCTTTAGATTTCTAGACGATTCCAGCATTTGTCCAGGGAAGTGAGCAGCAGGGTACCCCTAGTATAGACTTGACCTCAGGGAGCTAGGGCTCAGATTTCCTCCCCTGACCTCTCCACCTCACCCCTAACCCCCCAAAGTGGAAATAAGACAAAGCCCCAGGGCAGCCACAGCTTGGACTGACATAACCAGGCCTCAGATCAGCGGGCTGCATCACTTGTGTGTTCTGGGGCAGCTGGCAGGGTGGGGACCAGGCCCTTCCTCCAGGCCAGGAAAGAGAGGGAGATAATTGCTCCTTAGGTTTTCCTGCCACCAGCCGTCCTGGCCTTCTGGACATCTGCCTATTTCCAGCCTCATCCCCACCCCCACCCCAATCTGCAGTCCTGGACAGTTGGGGCCCGGAAGTGTGGCTGGTGGAAAGGAAGAGAAGATGCAAGGCTGGGATCACACTGAGCATGACGTGGGCATTTCCCAAGAGACTCAGCCACCAACTGAACACGCATCTCAGACCCTGCCTGGCCCCTGGCCTGGGGGCCCCCAAAGCTCACGCCCTCTTGTTAAATGCTGGGAAGGTCCTGCCAAGCCAGGCACCGGTGGCCAGACACCCCCTGCGGCCCCCCAAAAAAGCACATTGCATACTGTATAAATATAGGTTTTATTAATAATGGGTGAAATTCCACAAATACAACTGGCCTCTCTGAGTGAGGGGGAGACTCTGTGGCAGGGGGAAGGGAGGACGAGAGGGGTGGGCAGCAAGAAGGTGGGGGAAGGAGCCTTGGAGGAGGGACATGAGAAGAGAAAGGAGCCACCAGGACCACTGGACCAACTCTTGGTGGCCTGCCGGGTGTCCGGCTCTGTTCCTGGGCCCGTCGAGGCTGATTGGAAGGGGCGGGAGTGGGGAATTCTGCATGAGAGGCAGGTGGCTGAGAAAGGGCTGGGGGGGCAGGGGTTGAGTGGCATCTGGGGACACAAGGGCCGCGGGGTGGCAGTGGCCCAGGCCAACTCTGCCCAGGCGTGTGCTTGTGTCGGGTCCTGAACTCTGGGGACCCAGTGGCCCGGGCCGCCCCTGGCTTGGGAGGGAGGGAAGGGGGGGTGACACCTGCAGATCCCAGAGATCCTGGGCGGCGCCAGCCTTTGTCAAGTCATGGGGGAGCCCCAGGAGGAGGTTGGCACTGTCCCCCCCCCCTTGCACCGTGGCCTCCCCCACTGTGTCACCAAGGTCCCTCTGAGCTGGAGAGGACAGCGAGGATGTACAGGGCAGGGAGGGTGGGTGAGTGCTTTGTAGGATGGAGGGGGTAGGAGGAACAGTGAGGATGGGGAAAGGGGTGTGGCCTACTCCCACCCCCATCCCAGTAAAGTGCAGTCTCCTGTTAGGGTGGAGGTGGGAGAGAGGCAAGTTATTGCGGAGCTGCCCTGGTCCCACTCCCACACAGGATGGGGGAAGGGACAGGGGCACCCCATTGCCCAGGCCTCCCCAATCCCCGGGACTGGGGAGGGATGATCCCGACAGAAAACCCAGCTTCTGTCCAAACCAGTTAGGGTCTGGGGGCGGGGTGCAGAGGAGGGAGGCGGAACAGGAAGAGACTTCCAGAGCCCTTCCCTGCTCTATTCCAACTTCCAAATGAGACTTCCAGGGGACCCTACCAGGGCCAGCCCTGGAACCCCGACCTTGCAAACACCTGTGTGGTGGGAGCCCCGGAGGGGGCCACTTTGGTCAGTTGTTGGGGGAGGGGTGCCTGGAGAGCCAAGCAGACGGCGGGGAGGAAGGTGCTGAGGATGGGGTGCGGGCGGCCTCCTAATGGGGTTCGCATGCAGATGTGAGAGAGAAGAGAGAGGAAGCTACAAACTGCACAGGGGCCTGGCTTGGTGGGGAGGGCTGGCGCCCCAGCGCCAGGATTGAGGCTGGGTGGGCACCCAGTCCAGCTGGCAGCCTGTGGAGGAACCAGAGCAAGGTGGTGCCGGCCCCAGCTGCCGGGGTCCGAGTCTACCACATTAAAACAGTCCCAAAGGGCTGGAGCTGGGGGCTTTCCTGCTGGGAGGCTGCGGTGGGCCAGGGCGGGGGGGCAGGCTCTATCTCTCCGACTTGACCCGGTAACGAAGCACAAGGTAGGCCAGCAGCCGCAGGGCCAGAAAGAAGATGCCCAAGACCAGGAAGTCCATGTAGAGCTTGGCATCCTCCACGTCCAGCTCCCGGAGGATGCTCTGCGGGTTCTGGAAGGGGCAGTGCTCCTCCAGACACGTCAGGTTGCCGCGGTCCATGCCGTAGATGGTCAGAATCACCCCCTCGAAGCCATACCTGGTGGGCAGGGGCCGCAGGGAAAGAGGTGGAGGTTAGTGTCCCACTGTCCTGCCCCCCTCCCCCCCGCAGCCCAGGGCTGTGCCCCGCGTGCCACCGACCTGACATAGGAGAGGTAGGAGCTCCACTGCAGATATGTGGGGATGGTCTTGAAACTCACAAAGAACCCAGAGAACAAGAGGACGGGGATGGCGGTCACGGGGCCCACGAAGGTTGCCACCTGGACAGAAGGGAAGGGGACCGGCCGTGCCATCACAGAGCGGTTCGGGAGCCTGCCGACCTCTCCGACTCCATCTGCCAGTCCCTGTTTCCTCTTACCATCCCCCATCCCGTCTCGGGGGGCTCCCACCTGCCGGCGCTCCCACCTGGAGGGAGTTCGAGGCGGCTCCGATCAGCAGCCCCAGAGACTGGGCCACCAAGGCTGTGGCGGTGGCGAGGGTGGAGAAGAGCAGGAAGCGGCTGGTCTCGGAGGGCTGGCCCGTCATCCAGTACACAATGCTGCAGTACACGGCCGGGCACAGCACCTAGGGATGGGCACAGGGCTGGGCAGCAGGTGGCAAGTCAGGGGCTCGGGCCCAGTGCCTCCCCTCACGTTACTCTCCCCCCAGCTAGGCCTGCCGCCACACTTGCTCATGAGGGACCCCCTGTGCTCCCCCTTCTATTTTTTTTTTTTTTTTTGCTTTTTGGGTCATACCCGGCGATGCATAGGGGTTACTCTTGGCTCACGCACTCAGGAATTACTCCTGGCAGTGCTCAGGGGAATCATATGGGATGCTGGGAATCGAACCCGGGTTGGCCGCATGAAAGGCAAACACCCTACCCGCTGTGCTATCACTCCAGCCCTAACTCTCCCTTCTACTTGAACCTTACCAGTCCCCAGCTCTCCCTCTCGCTCTCACGGTCCTGCAGGGGCACTTACCCACTGCTGAGCTCCACAAGTCCATGCCATCCACCTGGCTTGTCCTGTCCCTTGTCCTACAAAGAACTCTCAGCGGAGCATGTTCCCACCCCCAACCCGCCCGGCCCCCAGCTGCCAACTCTGGGCTGAACCCATCACAGGAGGACTCTCTTTCCCTGAACTAGAGAGTTCACCCAAGTGGCGAGCGAGGCTCAGTCCAGCAGTGCTCTTCTCTCCAAGCCCCTGGACCACACAGGGTTCACCTAGGGAACAAGCCTTTCTACCCTGCCATGAGCGCTCCAGGCCTTTCAGTGACCTGAGCTGGGCACAGCCTGCTGCTGCGGTCACACTCAAAGCAGCTGACATTTCCTGGGATTTCCAAGTATGCGCTATGCATTTCTCACTGAATTCTCTCTCTTTTTTCCCCCCCTTTTTGGCTCACACCCAGCGATGCTCAGGGGTTACTCCTGGCTCTGCACTCAAGAATTACTCATGGCAGTGCTTGGGGGACCATATGGGATGCCGGGGATTGAACCTGGGTCAGCTGCATGCAAGGCAAAGGCCCTACCTGCTATGCTATCACTCAGGCCCTGAATTCTCTTTTTTACAAGGAGGGGGCCAGGGGGGCCGTGCAGTGCTGAGGGTCAAATCTGGGGCTCTGGCATGTGGAGCAGGTGCTGCAGCCCTTTGAGCTATCTTCCTGGCCTCTCAGTTAATTTTTTGGATTTTGGACCACACCCAGTGGTGCTCAGGGCTTACTCCTGGCTCTGTGCCTAAAGACCACTGCTGATAATGCTCAGGGGTGCCATATGGGGTGCTAGGGATTGAACCCAGGGCATCCGTGTACCAGGCAAACACTTTACCCATTGTATTATTTCTCCAGACCCCCTTACTTATTTCTTACAAGTGACAGATCCTGAGACCGATATTTTCATCATTCCATTTATGTTTTATTCTTCTTTTGTGGGGGAGGGCCATACCTCGCAGCACTCAGGGGCTACTCCCAGCTCAATGTTCCTGGGAGACTCTGGGGAGTCCTGTGGGCTGGACCCTGGTCACCTGCATGCAATACCTACTTGCCAGTTCCTTGAATTACCTCTCTGGCCCTTAAATTTTATTCATATGATTCCTTTTCAGGAGGCCACTCCAGGTGGTGCACCAGGGCCACGCGATGCCAGGGATCGCGCTCAGGGCCTCATACATGCCTGTTCTCTACGTCTTGAAGAGAGGGCATTTCAGACAGGGCATCTGACAAATGCCACATCCAAGACAGGGCATTTCATCTGCAGATAGGGGCACTGAGGCAGACAGAGATGGGGTGGCCTTCCAGTGGACTGCAGCTAGTAAGCCACTAGGAAGACTACCTAGCCACCTATGAGGCTGGTCATCACATCCCACTAGAATGTGAATTCCAGAGTCCTCAGGCTAGAGGGTATAGTGGATGAGTTGCTCTGCTTGCATGCTCCTCCCCCCACCCCCCTTTCCATCCTGGTACCACGTATGGTTACCTGAAGTACCGCCTGGGATCACTCCTGACCACAGAGCCAGGAACAGCCTGAGCACCACCAGGTGTGGTCCTTCTCCCAGTTCCCCCTAAAAGCCCTGCGGCTCCATCCCCACTTATTCAGTCATAACCGGGTGCTTGGTATTCGGCAGGACCTCAGTAGTTGGTCGTTGAGAAGGCAGGTGAGGTGGGCAGGTGCCAGGGGGGAGAGGAGCCGGGAGAGTGAGAGCCTCACCTGAAAGGGCACGTCGGCCATGGTCTTCGCCAGATAGTAGGCCTTGAGGCTGTACCAGTAATTGAGGTGCTCCCTCATGAAGACGGCCATCTCTAAGGGGACTGAGCATGCCACTCGTCAGGGGCAGCCGGTCCACCCACCGCCCTGGCCCTCTGCCCCGGCGCCCACCCACCCTGCCCGCAGCGGGCCCAGCAGCTCACAGGTGAGCACAGTGGGCATCAGGGCGGCGAACATGAGGAAGAGCATGGAGAAGAAGAGGCAGCCGGTGTTGTTGAAAACCTTGCTGGCGTCGTCACCGATGTGCAGGTAGAGCAGCCCGATGAGCACGCCGATGAGCACGTGGGACATGAAGCGCAAGTGGGTCAGGACCTGCGGGTCCAGACGGAGGCAGGAATGGGGGGTGGCACTGTGGGTCAGGGCCAACCTAAGGTGGGCAGGGCCAAGACAGAGTGGGCAGGGCAGGCCTGTGGGTGGGCGTGTCAAGGGGCGGGTCCAAACGAGTGGGCGGGGCCGAGACGTGTGGGCGGGCCACACTGGACAAGGTTTCCCGACAGAGACCCTGAGCGCACTGTGAACTCTATTCCCAATGTAGCTACCCGGGCCTTTCTTTTTTTTCTTTCTATTTTTTTTTTATCACATCTGGCGATGCTCAGGGGTTACTCCTGGCTCTGCACTCAGGCATCACTCCTGGTGGTGCTTGGGGGACCATATGGGATGCTGGGGTTGGCCATGTGCAAGGCAAACGTCCTACCTGCTGTACTATTGCTCTGGCTCCTACATGGCCTTTTATGAGTTTATGTGTGGAAACACACACACAGACCCACACAGACCCACACAGACACACACACACACACATACACACACACACACACACAAAGAGCCAGTCCTCACCCACTGCCTCTTGGCGGCCTGGCACTCACCGTGTCCCTGAGGATGCACAGGAAGGTCCTCTTGAAGAGGATGCAGAACTGAGTGAGGGTGCTGGTGGCGAAGCTGTGCCTCTCAATGGTGTCCACTTCCTGGGAGAGGAAAGTGGGTCAGGCCAACCGCCTCCCGCACATACTCACCCAAGAATGGGAAGCCCCAAGCTCTCCCCAGGTCAGAGTGGGGAAGGAGTACCGCAGGAGGAGTCTGGAGGCCTGGAAGCCAGACAGGAGGTACAGGATGAGGGCGAGTCAGGAGGGGAAGGGTCTGGGGGTGGGGGTCAGTCATGGTCCTCATGCAGGGAAAAATCCTGTACCCTAGGGGGTCACACCCTGATGCCTCCAGACTCCCAGAATATTCTAGAACTGTGAGCACATGGCGACAAGAGTAAGAACTGCCCCTTCCTTAAGGATGGGTCACAGACAAGTGGCCTCTGGGCTCACAAGTTTCCACAGTCATCATGAGAAGGGTTCTGTGGTCCTGAACTGTCCCCCAGGGACCCAACTAGGGAGGGACAGCTCACCAGGGCCCAGGAGGCAGTGAGCTGCACAGGCCACCACATCAGAGCCAGAGCTGGGGCACCAAGCAGAAGCTCGTGCCAACCAAGAGCTCAGGAGTGATGGCGCCACAGCAGTTCAGAGGACAAGGAAGGGCTTCACGCGGGGCTTTGGGGAACAGGAAACCACTCACAGGGCAGGGAGGTCTGGGTTTGATCCCAGCACTGCACTCCTGAGCACTGAGCTGGGAGTAGCCCCTGAGCACCGCCAGTTGTGGCCACCCCACAGAAACAGCAGAAGGTCTGTCCAAGTCCTGACTCCCAGGAATGCCCAGTGGTACCCTACTGTCCATGGTCCTGGGGTCCCTCCCCTGCCTGGCACTGCTCACCGGAGGGCCTGGGGGGCTGGGGCCAGGCACCGCGTTCTTCTCGGGGCTGCTCTTCTTCTCGGCCATGGTGCATAGCCCGTTCTGCACCGCCCGGAACAGCACAGGGTTCAGGTCTCCGTACTCGCCCGAGGCCACCTCGATGACTGGGGTCAGAGGGCAGCGCTCAGCGAGCCCGAGATCAGCAGGCCGTGCCCTGCCCTGAACAGCTGGTCCCCCCTCCAGCACCCCCCGCAGCCCCACTCACTGAAGTCAGCAGGGTTGTGGTAGGTGGGGCAGTGCAGGCCCAGCCCCTTCAGGTAGGGGATCAGGTTGGTGACCACGCCCTTGTAGATGCACTGTCCCTGGCTCAGGATGTAGAGCTGAGGCAGAGACACAGGCCGGGGACCACGTGACCGAGCACCCTGCCGGTCCCCTGCCCGGCACACCAACCTCCCCCACACACACCCACCTTGTCAAACATCTCAAAGAGCTTAGCGCTGGGCTGGTGGATGGTGCAGATGACCGTGCGGCCCCCGTGCGCCAGTGACTTCATGAGTGACACCACTTGGAAGCAGGAGGCACTGTCCAGACCACTGTCCAGAGAGGCCACCCGGGGCGGGGTGAGGAGGGGAGCCCGGAGAAGGGAGTGGGAAGGGCAGGGCAGCTGCCAGAAATGGGGCAGGGCTCACGGGAATAGGGCCACCCCAATATTCTGCACAACACAGCGTGATGCGGGCCTCCACTCAGCCCAACAAGCATGCATTGAGCACTTGCTGGATACAGGCACAGGGCTTTCCAAGGGGGTAACGGCAGAGCCTGGTCTGGAGAAGTGCTGAGATCACCCGAGGTTCTGTGCACTGAGCTGGAGAGAGTTGGGGGTGAGAGAAGGGGAGGAGAACGATCTGCGGGGCCAGGGAGGCAGTGAGAGAGGCTTCGGGAGGGAGTGTGGAGAAAAAAGCATGAAGCCAGGTGAAGGCCACGGAGTGGCTGGGTGGGGAAGGGCATTCCGAGCAGGCCAGCAGGTGCAATGCTTGGAGGTACTGAATACCTGGCTGACCTGGGAGTCATCAGCAGTTCCATGTTATTAGGACATAAAATATATGACAGCCTGTGGCAAGATGGGGGCTGGGGCTGCAGGCTCTATAAGTCCCTGGCTTTATTTTTTTTTCTTTTCGGGTCACACCTGGCGATGCACAGGGGTTACTCCTGGCTCTGCACTCAGGAGTTTCTCCTGGCGGTGCTCAGGAGACCATATGGGATGCTGGGAATTGAAGCCGGGTCGGCCGCGTGCAAGGCAAATGCCCTACCTGCTGTGCTATCGCTCCAGCCCCCCTGGCTTTATTCTGAAGGCAAACAGAGCCTTGTTTTTTTTGGGGGGAGGGGGGCGGGAACTACACCTAACTGTACTTAGGGCTCACTCCTGGCTCTGTGCTCAAAGATGACTCCTGGTGAACTCAAGGGACCAGATGGGGTGCCAGGGATCGAACCTGGGTCAAGTGTGTGCAAGGCCAGCGCCTTCCCTGCCGTACTATGCCTCTGGCACCCACTGCATGTCTTTTAAGCGGGGGACTGCCTATCACCAGACAGGTCTTCCAGAAAGTTCCCCGGACTGGGCCCCGGAGGCAGCGACCACCTCCAGCAGCAGGGTAGAGGCAGGCCCTGGGCACAGAGAGGAGAGGGGCACTACCTGGTGGGCTCGTCGAAGAACATGACCGGAGGGTTGTTGACCAGCTCCAGGGCGATAGCCAGACGCTTCCTCTGCCCACTGGAGAGCAAGGCTGTCCTCGTGTGTGAGCAGGCCATCAGGCCCAGCGCCGTCAGGATCTCGGTCACCTGGGCCGTGCCCCACCGCATCAGGCCAGCAACGTCATGCCAGCAACGGAGCCTCCCCTCCTGGGCCCTGGCACCCTCTTTGGGAAGTGTCAGCCCCGAACCACCCCACGGGAGCCCCCTGACCCTCAAAGGGGCAGGCGCGCCTCCCACCCCCACCCTGCGCCGCTCACCAGCTCCTTCTTCACCTCCTGCTTCTCGCTCAATTTCAGGTTAGCAGAGACCTGGGACCCAGAGGACGTGATTCAGAGGCGAGCCAGAGGGGGCCACAGCCTTGAGGCCCCCCCGGGACCCCTAGAGAGGAGAACAGGCTGGCAGGGGCGCCTCACCATCATAGCCTCCAGCACCGTGAGGTGTGGCAGCAGCATGTCATCCTGCATGATGTAGCAGGACATCTTCCGGAAGGTCCGCAGGTCCCGCGGCCGCCCGTTGACCAGGACTTGCCCCTTCATCCCAGACTCCCTGCGGGAATACGGCTTTTGGGGACGGTGCTCCAGGCCATTCCAGAACCATCTGGGCTCTCCCAGGACCCTCTTTCCCAGGCCCCGACGACTCCCACACGCCCTCCGCCATCTGCTCCTCACCTGTATCCTGCCAAGATGTTCATGAATGTGGACTTGCCCGCCCCCGACGGGCCCATGATGCCGATCAGCTCGCGGCGGCAGAACTTCCCCGACAGGCACTTGAGCAGCGTCTTGTAGCCTATGGCGGGGAAGGCACTTTGCAGCTGGTGCTGGTGAGCGAGACCCCAGGGCCCTCTGTGCGGCTGCCTGGGGGGCCTGCCCCAGGCAGTTAGGCTGGCAGGGCAGCCCTCAGAGCCCCCCTCATCCTGCTTCCCCCAGAAACCACCACTAAACACTGGAGGGGCCAGCCACCTTCGAAAGATCATGGGGAAAGGCTGGAGCAATACCACAGCGGGTAGGGCATTTGCCTTGCACACGGCCGACCCGGGTTCGATTCCCAGCATCCCATATGGTCCCCTGAGCATCGCCAGGGGTAATTCCTGAGTGCAGAGCCAAGAGCAGGAGTAACCCCTGTGCATCGCTGGGTGTGACCCAAAAAGCCAAAAATAAAAAAGAAAGGTCATGGGGAAACCCACACCTCCCATGGACAGGCACAGAGGGGATTGCAGAGAGAAGATCCTGACACACAGTGCTCCCTGGGCCCCCTCCAGGAAGCTTCCCCCGGGAGCCATCCAGTGCTGGCTGCAGTCCTCTGTGTTCCCACGGCGTCTATCTGCCAGCATGTTTGTGCCCGACTGTGCCTGGCCCTCAGCCCACTCCCCCCCTCTCTGTCAGGGAGCCCCATCCTCGAGCATGCCCTACATCTTACTCTGGCACCCAGCAGACACTCTGGCCTGTCTGAGATGCTCAGAGAGGGTTTGTGCCAAGGCTCGGGGCTGGCTGTTGCCGCCTTTGGAAAAAGCTCTGCAGCCCCTCACATGGCCCAGGAAGAGCTCAGCTTCCTGTCACTTGCTGGGGGTCAGCCTTGGCATACAGTGCCCTGATTTGGAGGCAGGCAGATCTAGATTTAAATTCTGGCTCCGTCCTTACCAGCTGTGTGACCCTGAGCAAGTTGCTTAACCTCTCTGAGCCCCAGGTTCCATGTCAGTGAAATGAGGATGACTGGACCCCCTCATGGGATGGCTACAAAGAGTCAGTGAGATGCTATACGTAAGCATGTGACACAGCGCTTGGAACAGAGTGAAGGATGAGACATGACATTTTGACGTTCTTAATTCCATTTGATAAATGGTACTGATCTCTTCCACAACTCTGAGCTCTGTACGGATACCGGACCCCCCAAATGAGGAAGACACAGTTTCTGCATTCACAAAGGGCATAGACTCGGGGAAAGAGGTGGACAGGAGGACCTGGAAGGACTGGGGTGGGGTTCAAGGGTCAAGTACATGCCTGCATGCATGAGGCCTGGGTTTGGTCCCAGAAACCACACCAAAAAATCAAGGGAGGCAAAGGTCAGCTTTGGAGAGCCTCAATGGAAGCCGTGGGGTGGGGGGCAGAGGGCAGAGACCCAAGGAGGTGCCTGGGCTGAGGTAGGGTGGGAAGAAGGGGGGGGGTGGGCAGGGCCTTGGCTGACCAGCATGCAGACCTACTGGGGCTGGAGGGGAGGGGACAGAGCACAGCCCCCCTGGACACATCCCGCCAGAACACAGACTTGTCCCTTACCCTGCAGAGGCCTTTTTGGACCCAATTCCTGGACACTGCTGTGTGCAGAGTTACCTCTGCGGCTGCTGGGGTGACAGGGATGAGGCAACTGAAGCTCAGGGTCATGCAGTGACTCACGCAAGGTCGCCCACAGCTCTTAACTGGGAGAGGGACCTCTCTGCCTCAGTTCTTGGGTAGGTCCTGCACTGGAAGTGATCTCTCTCTCTCTCTCTCTCTCTCTCTCTCTGGCAAGGCAAGACACTGGCTGCGTTGCACCTTCCCGCCCTGCATCCCAGCCAGCACTAGATTCAACTCGGACACCCAGACAAAGATCATCTTACACTTGTCTTCTGCAAGTGGCCTTACAGAGAGCATCGACCGCCTCCCAACAAGCCTGGAATTCTTCCTCACTCCTCAGGCCACCCCCGGCTATGCGTTCCAAGCTAGCATCCCTGTTTTTTGGGGAGCGGGGTGGGAATTGGAGACCCAGAAAGGCCAGCAGCCTGCCTCAGATCAGCAGCTGACAAGTGGCCAGGAAGCCCTGGGCTGTCTGGCACGGCAGGGGCCGGCTCGGCGTGCAGGGGATCAGGGCAAGTGGCGCTCCAGTCCTGTCTGCCCGCTATGTCCCTGCCTCTCTCAGGGCCTCAGGGTGCTTGTCCATAAACCTCGACTAGTCATAGCCCTTCTCAAGGACTCAATAGGGTTCTTGTGACAATGGAGTGAGCTAATGAACAATAATTACCAGGAAAGTGTTTTGTAAAAAGTCAAATATATGTGCAACCATAATGAGGGGCAGGGCTGACCTCTCCCTCCAGGCCCCATGTGTCTCCTCTCTGCCTCTCAGGCTGCTAAGGAGAGAGGGGCCTAAGAGAGAAACCAGAGGGGACAGAGGTCGGAGAAAGGGACAAGGGGCTCGGAGAGAGAGTACAATGGGTAAGGTGCTTGTCTTGCACGTGGCCAACCTGTGTTTGATTCCTGGTACCCCCATATGATCCCCCGAGCATGCCAGGAGTAAGCCCTGCACATGCCTGAGTGTGCTCCCGTGACCCCCTCCCGAACCCTCCATCAAGAAAGAAATCGACAAATAATAAAAGGGACAAGGACATGGGGGCTGGAGCAATAGCACAGCGGGTAGGGCATTTGCCTTGCACGCAGCTGACCCAGGTTTGATTCCCATAGGGTCCCCTGAGCACCGCCAGGGGTGAGTCCTCAGTGCAGAACCAGCAGTAACCCCTGTGCATCGCTGGGTATGACCCAAAAAGCAAAAAAAAAAAAAAAAGAGGGGACAAGGACAGAAGAGACAGCAAGAAAGCAAGAAGGGCCAGTAGAGCAGAATGGGGCAAGCCAGGGCAACAGGGCTTGGGGGGCAAAGGCTGGGAGGCACAGCAGGGCCAGTCTGCAACTGGTGAGCTGGTTGGTCCACCCAGAAAGCTGGTCCAGGGGGCTGGAGCAATAGCACAGCGGGTAGGGCGTTTGCCTTGCACGCGGCCGACCCAGGTTCAATTCCCAGCATCCCACATGGTCCCCTGAGCACTGCCAGGGGTAATTCCTGAGTGCAGAACCAGGAGTAACCCCTGTGCATCGCCAGGTGTGACCCCAAAAAGCAAAAAAAAAAAAAAACAAAACCCAGAAAGCTGGTCCACTGAGGCTAATTTCCTCTTATCTGCACTTCCTAAACCCGGGCGATGGAGGGCTAAGGAAGTCATCAGTCCCTCCTCATTCTGCTCAGAACTGGACAGAGAGAAACTTCCTAGAACTCAGGCCCTGAGCGGAAGCCAGCGCTCCCTGGGGCTGTTGGAGGCGGAAGGGGGGATGGGGGGAGGAGGAGGGAGAGCACAACTCAGACTCTGGGCACCCCATGCCCCAGTCCCACAACACTCCTAGGGATCCCAGAGGAGGTAAGGGTTCAGGGGAGCCCAGAGCCCCGTCTTCCCCACCTGCGCTGACCAGAATGCCAGCTCCAATCCCCCCTCCCCGAAAACCAACCAACATGAGCCAATGGGCTTCTGGGACCAGCTCTGCCACTTGCAAGTTTTGTGACTTGGACCCCATTACTCAGCTTCTCTGAGCCTCAGTTTCCTTGTTAGTAACCTGGGCTGTCATCTCCCCAACCGTCCCCTCCCTCTCTCTGAGAACCTGGGCAAGAATGCAGTCTGGTGACGGGCCAGAACATGCAACCGAGCTCGCTTTCTCGGGATCGCTAAACACTGGGCAGGCCTGTACCCTTGGCTCCCTCCCACTCTCCAGCCCTTGGCCAGCAGGGATTCGAGTGGGGCTGCCCAGAAGGAGAAGCAGCGGTGGCCAAGGGTCCTGGGTGTCCAGAGGTGAAGGCCAGCGCTGCACTGGTATGCTCACGGAGGTGAGGGCTCTGCAGCCCAGGTGTTGGCCCAGGACCACCGTAAGAGGGAAGTGGGGAGGGGCCCGCGGTGCCCCCCGTGGCTCCTACCCCGTTTGCGCCACCAGGGCCCCTCCCGGACAGAGTAGGACAGCTCCACAAACTCGATGTCCACGGCAGAGCGCTTGGGCAGGTGTGAGAAGCGCTGCGCTTCGGTGATGTGGTTCTCCACCTTCTTCAGGTGCGTGGTCAGCAGGGGGGGCTCCGCCCCGTCCTCCAGCGCCACGGCCATGGCCACAGGCCCGGGTCCTAGGCCACAGCCCACAGCCTCCAGCGCCTTCTCCGCCATCGCCCTGGCTGCAGCGGGGGAAGGGGGCGCTGCTCAGTTTCCCGTTGCCCCCCCCCTTCCCCTGGCTCCCGCAAGCTGCCCGCGCCCCCATACCCCGCCTCCTGCTCAAGCCAGATGGGCGCACCCCAATCGCCACCGCTGGAGCGGCAGCCCCCACGCACCCTTTCCCCCACCCCCAGCGAAGCCCATGCTCAGATCTGACCTCTCAGCCGGACCCCCCCTCCCCCGCGCTGCCCGCCTTCCCGGGGCGCCTCTAATCTCCTTACCCCGGGGCTGCACGGTGGGGGGCGGGGAGGCGGGTCGGGGCAGCCTGCGGGAGTCTGCGGGCCAGCAGGGCAGGGCAGCTGGGTGATCGCAGGGGGCCGGAGGGAGATGGGAGGAAGGGGCGCGGGCGCTCCCGCTGCGCCCCCCGCTCCTGCGCGCGCCCCGGGCCCTCCCCAAAGACAGGCGCCCGTTCCGGACTCCAAGCCTCACTGTCCACCAAGCACCCCCCTCCCCCCCCCCCCCCCCCCCCCCCCCGTCCCGACCCAGCGGGCTCCCCGCCGCGTGCCAGCGCCCGCCACCCAGTCACCTTGATGCGCCCGGGCCGGGATGCTCGGCGCGGCACGGCGGGGCTGGAGACGCGGGCACGGCCGGGACGGAGACGCGGGCACAGCCGGGGTGGGGACGCGGGCACGGCCGGGGTGGAGACGCGGGCACGGCCGGGGTGGAGATGCCTGGCACGGCCGGGATGGAGACGCGACGCAGTTACGGCCGGGATGGAGACGCGGATACGGCCGGGATGGAGACGCGGGCACGGCCGGGATGGAGACGCGGGCACGGCCGGGATGGAGATGCGGGCCCGGCCGGGATGTTGACGCGGGCACGGCCGGGACGGACACGCAGGGCCTCCCTACCTGCTCCGGCTGCCGCAGCGCTCCCGGCTCCCGGACCCGGCGGCCTGGGCCGGGGCGGGGCCGGGGCGGGGCGCACGGCAGAGACGAGCCCCCGCCTCAGGTCAGCGAAGATGACAAGGCTGGGGAGGGGCGACCGGGGCGCGCCCCGACTCCGCTTGGCTACGCACACGCGGTTCCCCGAGCCCCGCGCCCGCCGCCGCGTCCACCCGAGCCCGCCCGCCGCCGGGCGACTGCGCGCTCCGAGCTGCTGCCGGCCCGGCCCGGGGCTCTTAAAGGGCCCGTGACGCCCCGCAGCCCGTGGGGGGACGAGGATGCAGAGGAGGGAGGAGGGGCGCTCTGCGGAGGCTCCGGCAGGTGCAGCTGTGAGCTCCAGGACGGGCTTCCAGGGCGAGAGGATGGGAGAGCCGGCGCTATTCTGGGGAGGGGTCCGCGGATTGCAGACTAGACAAAGAGGGTGTCTGTCGGTGGGGCTGCGGGAGGGCGGGGTGCAGGTTCCCTCACTCTCAGGACTGTAAAGCCATCAGATCTCCCACACCGAAAATTGGGTTCTTGAGCTCAAATTTCACAGGGGGGAGCGGGAATCCTGGAGTTGGGGGAAAAGACTTTGAAAGCAACTTTTGGGGATACCTCTCCATCCAGCACACACAGGCACTTTCACTGTCAAAGGGTGGGGACACTAGTCCAGAAGGGTCAGGGCAGCTGCTCTGGGGGAGCTTGTAGGCAGCCCAGAGGTCCAACGGTGCCCGCCTGCAGGGGCAGATTCTGGCTTATCGGACAGCCACATGCCCAGGACCTGGAGCATGTGGCACTTGTGTGTGCCAGGGCACCACCAGACTCAGACACCGCCCCTGGCCTCTCCACGCATGTGCATTGGTGCCTTCACCCCACACACTGCAAACATGCCCCCCCGTAAACTCTGGGGCACACTCCAGCTGTTTCTCAGGCACTTCCTCTCAGCCCCTGGTCCCCCCTTCCATCTTCTAGAGGGTCAAACCACCCATCACGTGACCCGAGCTTTCCCGTTCCCACCTGTCAGGGGACAGGTCCGGCAGGGGAGGCTTCCCCATACTGTGGCATATCTATCCCCCCCAGACAGAACCCGCCCCTCCATTCAGGAAGCACCCCCACCCCATGTGCCCCCTAGGGCTCACCCTTCTCCAGATCCTGAGGAGCAGAGGTTCTCAAACCCCAGCTGTCAGAACCATCTGGAAGTTTTGTTAAAGCAGAGCTCGCTAAGTGTTTCTCCCAGTGCCAGGCTGCACCTGGGGCAGGGGCCCAGGGTTGGCATCTCTGACAAAACCCAGCCCAGTGAGTGATGCTCTGGAAACCCACTGCTGCCTAGACCTGGTCATTCCCAGAACAAACTCTCTTATTTCCTTTTTAAAAAGTTCCTCCCCCCTCCACTTCCCTTCGTTGTTGTTGTTGCCATGATTGGGGGTGGGGCCTGCACCCACATGTGCTCACGAGGAGTTGCACACCCAGCCACAGTGCTCCCACACTCAGTGCTCACAGAGGAGCTTCAACGGCAGAGCTGACATGGAGATCTGTTCATTGAGGTTCACAGGCTATGGCTGGGGTGCTCACCTGGGAGTGCTCCGGGGCAAACACATGCTCCCCAGAGCTCCACTTCGTGGCTGGGGTGCTTGCCCATTTTCAGTTGAGGTGCTCATATCCTTTTTAGTTAGTGCTTATATGCACCTGGCTGCCATGTGGCTAGAAATTATGATACTGGAGATCACAGATGACATAGTGGCCAGGACTGCCCTTGGCGCATGCAGGATACCAGGGATTTGAACCCTTGACCATATGCTTGAAAGCAGGTGCTCTAAGTCACTAAACTATTCCTCCCAGCCCAAACCCCCTATTTCTTCCCATGTACTCTTTCTCATTGCCCAGGAAGACCCTCCCCCATTTCCTCCCCCCCAAAAAAACTCTCCATTCCCTGAAATTGGCTTCTACTTTCTCTAGGACCCTTCCCAATTTCCACCCAGCAACACTCCTATACACACCTGCCACTAAGATAGTGCCCGTCCAGGGCAGGTTTTCTAGCCCCAGAAAGGTAAGGGTTGGTGATGATTAGCTTAAGAGGAGCAAGGCAGGAGGAGGGGGCGAATTCCCATCTCAGCTTAATGCCAGGAGCTAATCTTCCACACAGGCTGCTCTAAGCAGGAACCTGCAGGAACAACAACTGGGAAGGAGTTTTTGGAACCAATGGGGAAAGGAAGGCAGCAGAGTGCTCTGGGAGGTGGAAATGAACTGAACCATTGGCTTTGGAACTAATGGGGTCCCAAAGCTACCACCCCAGGCTCCTGGTCCACTGTGATAATCTCCCTTCCCTGGAGAGAATTTCAATTTGGCAGCGGAAGGTCCCTCTGCTGGCCACTAGGGGGGAATGCAGCTCAATAGTAGAAAGTGGTGCTAGAGAAAGGCTCAACTCAATAGCCAACTAGTTGTCAGTCCAATGGGGAAAAAATTAGGCAAAGAACCTGAGCAGGCATTTTCTCAAATATATATGAATGTCCAACGGGCACATACAGGTCCCTTTAAACATCATGGGTCGTTAGGAAAAAGCAAATAAGTCTCACACCTGTTAGAATGACTAGCATCAAAACAACCAAGAAAAGATCTCAAAAAGAATAAGCACCGGTGAGAATGCAAAGGAAGGAGACTTTGAGCACTGTGGTCAGGGCTGCAAACAGGTACAGCCAGCACAGATAACACGATGCAGGCGCCTCAAAAAATGAAAAACAAAACTACGGTATGAGTCAGCAATTCCACTGCGGAGGGTTTGGGGGGAGGGATATCTGAAGAAATCATCACAGCCTGTCAAAAAGCTGTCTTGCTGCGTTCTTCACAGTAGCCAGACAAGGGGAAGGACTTACATGCCTACGATGGACCAAGGATAAAGGAGGTAGGGGGTCCCGCTGAGCTGTAGAACCAACACAACCAATCCCCAATACAAGAAAATCCTGACGTTTGCTGTGACGTGGGTGAACCATAGGAGCATTCCACTAGTGAAAATAAGACAAAAACAGCATGATCTCACTTACTAAAACAATCCACAAATTCATAGAAAAGATCCAAAAGGGGGTTATCAGAGGGTAGAAGGTTGAAGGGAAGGGGAATTGGAAGAAGATGGTCAAGTCACAGACTTCTAACACAGGGATGTAGTTGAATAGTGGAGTGTATGTTTCATGTCTATGAGAACCTGTGTTGGATTCCAGCGCACACGCACAACCACACGTGCGCGCGCACGCATACACACACACACACACAGAGTTACAGAGTAGCAAACGCCCACTTAAAGACTCATCAATGTTGGGGGGGGGAGTAAAATATACTTGCTGTAGCTCTCAGCACTGTGAGCCATCACTGGTGTGTGCAGAACTTATTAGAACTCTCCTGTAAGCAGCACCATCCTAAGCCCTGACCCATGCCAACCATGTTCCAGGAATAAAGTCACCACATGTTGTAATTATTAACGAAATGCACAACCACGATCACTGCTTGAAAGAGCAAAAGGGTACGTGACCTGTTTCTGGGTTTTAGCTGCAATAATTCTTAGTGACTGTGTTACACACTCTATGGTAGTGAAGTCGGACTTTCCATGAGGCAGAACAAGCATATAATAAAAGGTACAAACATTTGGGTCTCCTGGACCACAGACTTGTCTACTAGCTCTGGGGCTGAGACCCCGTATGTAAGTGACCCTGACATTTCTGGGTTAACTTAGGGAAGGTGCCCGCTGCTTCCTTTGAACTGAGTTACTTTGGGGGGGACCTTCAACCTTTCTGCACCTAAACAAGTGGTGATTTCACAAAGATAGTATAGTGGGCCTTCACTGTTGGTGGGAATGTCAACTGGTTCAGCCCTTCTGGAAAACAGTATGGACGATTCTCAAAAAATTAGAAATTGAGCTCCCATTTGACCCAGCAATACCACTCCTGGGAATATATCCCAGAGAGGCAAAAATGTATAGTCGAAGTGACATCTGCACTTGTTTGTTCATTGCAGCACTCTTTACAATAGCCAGAAACTGGAAGAAACCTGAATGCCCACGAACAGATGACTGGTTAAAGAAACTTTGGTACATCTACACAATGGAGTACTATGTAGCTGTTAGAAAAGATGAAGTCATGAAATTTACATACAAGTGGTACAACATGGAAAGTATCATGCTAAGCGAAATGAGTCAGAAAGAGAGGGATAGACATAGAAAGATTGCATTCATCTGGGGGGTATAAAGTAACAAAATATGAGATTAATACCCAAGAATAGCTGAGATCAGCACCAGGAGGATTACTCCATAGCTTAGAGGCTAGCCAGGCATTCTAGGGGAAAGGGCAGCTCAGATAGAGAAGGGAGCACCAAATAAAGGGTGTTTGGAGGATCCTCCCAGGAGGGGAGATGCATGTCAAAAGTAGACTATGGACTGAACATGTTTGCCACTCAATGCCTCTTTTGCAGACCACAACACCCAAAAGGAGAGCGAGAACACAAGGGATTGCCCTGCCACAGAGGAAGGGGGGGATGGGGGATGGGGGTGAGGGGGGATATTATCCATGGTGGTGGAAAATGGGCACTGCTGGAGGGATGGGTATTTGACCACTGTATAATCGAAACTTAAGCACAAAAAATTGTAAATCTACAACTGTACCTCATGGTGTTTCACTAATAAAAAAAAAAAGATAGTATAGTGGGGAGGGCACTTGTCTTGAACGCAGCCCACCCGGGTTCCATCCCCGCCATCCCTATGGTCCCCTGAGCACTGCCAGGAGTGATTCCTGAGTACAGAGGCAGGTGTCACCCTTGAGCATCACTAGGTGTGGCCCCAAACAAACAAACAAAACCCCCCACAATTGATGAGCCAGACTGCGCAGGAGTGACTAAAATTGTCTTCTAAATGGCGCCATTCTAACGCCATGACCAAGGACAATAATCATCCAGAAACAAAGGCAGTGCGTTCTGACACTATTAATGGAACACACGTGTGTACAATCACAAGCCAATCATTAAGTTGGATAGAACAAAGGGGCACATGACCTGCTTCTGAGACTTCCGCATCAAATTTCTTGCACAAACCCATTATTAGTTAGTAAACAAGGACATCCTTTCCATGAGATTTACAAGGTTACAAGTTTACAAGGTTGGGGACCAAAGAGCTTCTGTTGGGCTGCAAACCTGTCCATCATCTCCCTTCATGTGATGAACCACCACCCCGCTTATAAGTTAGCCTTAATAATAAAGTGTGTGTGTGGGGGGAGCGGGGGGCGGGTGTTTAGGGCTTACTCTTGGCTCTGCATTCAAGGATCACTCCTGGTGGTGACCACTGGGCTGGCAGAAATTGGACCAGGTTTGACTGTGTGCAAGGGAAACACCTTGCCCAGTGTCCTATCTCTTCACCATGCCTGTAAGTTTTTGTCTTAGTGTCCTGGACGGGCCTATTTCTTGGGGCCCAAATTACCTTGTCCTGGACGGGCTTATTTCTTGGGGCCCAAATTACCTTGTCCTGGACGGGCTTATTTCTTGGGGCCCAAATTACCTTCTCAGTTGGAGGAATTCACTTATCTATTTTTGGAATTTTTATTTTTTTCAACCATATCCAGCAATGCTCAGGGATTACTCCTGGTGGTGCTCCAGGGATCATATGGGATACTGGGGATCAATCCCACGTTGGTCACGTGCAAGGCAAACGCCCTATCCTCTATATGATCGCTCTGGTCCAGTTTGGAGGACTTCAAATGCCTCCACAGCCAAATCATTGACAGTTTGGCCAGGAGTGGGAAGAAGATAACCATGCCGTGCAGTCGGGAAACAGTGGGGGTGGTGGTGAGAATGAGTCAGTCTGGGAAACGCTGCGAGGACCTCAGACCTCTCTGTGGGGAGAGGTTGCACCTTTGATCAAAGTGTGACTGAGTACAGAGAGGCACCCCCCAGCACCACCAAGAAGGCTTGAAATTCTCCCGGGGAATCTGGGAAGGTGTAAATGGAAAAAGGAAAGTGAAACTCTCGCTGTGACTGCGAGGCCATTAGTGGGCACACAAGCAGGCCACCGAGGCAGAGCCTGCAGTCCTGAGGGACCTCTGGGAGGCGCTGCACACTGCGGAGTCAGGGAAGGCATGAAGAACAACGTGGCCAGAGGACACGGCAGCAAGAACATCAGGGTTGCACCGCAAAGTAGCCCAGCGGGCAGGGACACCACACTTCGAAGGCAAGAAATATGGGTAAGGCTGTACTGACCTGGTTCAACCGTCAGCACCACATATGGTACCGAAGCCCTGCCAGGAACAAGTCCTGAGCACAGCCGGGTGTGGACCAAAAACCTAATAAAACCAGAAAGAATTAATAAAAAGGGGAGGGGACAATAGTCTAGTGGGTAGGTATCTGCCTTGCATATAGCCCACTGGGCTTCATCTCCAGCATCCCATAAGATCCCCTGAACAGCACGATGAGTGATTCCTGAGCATGACCAGGTGTGGCCCCAAAACCAAACCAAATAAAGAAAAATAGAGCAGTTATTGCTTGACCAGGTTGGTGTTCACGAGAAAGTGATGGTGAGCAAGATGGGGAAGTGGACAGAGGAGGAGGATGGATGTCACTGAGCCAGCTACTTGTTTGGTCTTGGGGCCAGACCTGGAGATGCTCAGGGCTTATTCCTGGCTCTGTGCTCAGGGCTCACTCCTGTGGTACTCAGATCAAACGTGGGTCAGTTATGTGCAAGGAAAGCGCCCTACCCTCTGTACTATCTCTTCTGCTACCCTCTGTATTCTCTCTCCTGCCCTCTTTCTTGATTTCTTCTGTTACAGGCACAGTTTGTATAAAAAAAAATTTAGTCCTTTAAAAAAAAATATCCCCTTTAGGGGATGATGAAAAACTTGGGTGATAAATGAAGCCAGAGAGGAAGTACATCAGGTAAGGTGATGGCCTCGCATGAGGCCAGTCTGAGTTTGCTCTATGGCACCCCACCAAAGCCTGCCAGGAGTGATCCCTGAGCACAGAGCCAGGAGTAAACCTGAGCAGCACCAGATGTGAGTCCTCCAAAACAAACTTTTGGAGATGGATAGTGAGGGTGACCGATCACATTAATGTAGTTAGTGACAATAAACGAGTCACTCAAAAATGGTTAAGGGGCTGGAAAGATGGTATAGCAGGTAGGATCCTTATCTTGCTTGCAGCCTAGCTGGGTTTGATTCTTGGCACCATATATGGTCCCCTGAGCACTGGCAGGAGTGATCTGTGAGTGCAGAGCTAGGAGCAGGTCTGGAGCACTGTCAGATATGGCCCCTCCAAAACCCAAACCCAAACCCAAAGATAAAACCAAACATGGTTATAGGGCTGGAGCAATAGCACAGCGGGTAGGGCGTTTGCCTTCCACGCGACTGACCCGGGTTCGATTCCCAGCATCCCATATGGTCCCCTGAGCACCGCCAGGGGTAATTCCTGAGCACAGAGCCAGGAGTAACCCCTGTGCATTGCCAGGTGTCACCCAAAAAGAAAACAAAAAAACAAACAAGAAAATGGTTAAAAGAGCAACTTTTATGTTATGCATATATATGTATATATTTTGTTTGAGGGGCATATCTGGTGATGCTCAGGGGTTACTCCTGGCTCTGTGTTCAGGAATCACTCCTGGCAGTGCTCAGGGATCACTCCTGATGGTGCTAAGGGGATCTTATGGGATACCAGGGATGGGACCTGGGTTGGCCGAGAACAAGGCAAGTCCCCTACTCTGCCTATGTTGCTAGTCACTGTTACATATATATTACAATAGAAGTCAAAATAATTTGGCCTTCCAGCATTTCAGGGGGAAAAGCTCTTTTGGGAGCAAACTCCTGCCTCTCCAAGACTCCTGAGAGGATTTCCTCATCCTGTCCTGAGTGGCAGAAACCCTAAGTAGCAGAGAGGGAGCAGAGACTCAGAGGGCCGAGGTGCATACACGTGGAAGTCCTGAGATTGATCCCTAGCACTGCATAGTCCCCTGGGCACCAGCTAGCACAACTCGGAGCACGAACTCAGGAGCCCCTAGCACGACCAGGTGTGGCTGGAGAGAAAAAAGGGTAGTTGTGACGGGGAAAGAGACTTATTCCAAGAAATCTCAACCTCTCCGAGAGTATCATGTGCAGTACTATACTAGTAAGCCCCACAGCTTCCTTGTGTGGGTCTTGCCATTCACGCCACCTGAATCCACCCGCCAGCCCAGCGTCCCTCCCAGTGCCACAGGGCGAGCCCTCTCCTACCCGAGAACTGGGATCCCATGAGAGCTGAGTGGGCCGGGGCAGCTTGACCGCTCCCCTGGCAGAGCCTGCGCAGGGCCTCAGTGGAGATGGGAGATGCTGGAAGAAAAGGAGGCATTTCACCCAGGCATCAAAAAAAAAAAAAAATCCCCCCCAAAATCCCCTGACCGGTCACTGAAAGGAGAGTCTGACTCCAAGGCTCCTCCCATGTCCTGGTCATCTAATTCACTGCCACTGCCACCAAACTAAGGAAGAAGAAAGGAGTAAGAGTCCAAGCAATGCTTTTATTACCAAAATGACCGCCACACCCCGACCCTGTCCCTGAGGCTAACTGGGTGAGTGGGTCGCAGGGGTGACAGAAGGGCTCCTTTCTTTACTGTCTGGCTTTGGAGTGGTGCTTGGGGCTTATTCCTGGCTCTGTGCTCAGGAATCACTCCTGGCCATGCTCCGGGTGACCTGATGGGATGCTGGGGATCGAATCCGGGTCGGCAAGGCAAAAGCCTTTCCTGCAGCACTAGTCCTCCGGCCCCTAAAGATCCCTGATTGGTTCACAGGGCCCAGCTGGCAATGACAAGGCTATGGGGGGGGGGGGGGGTCCGGAACAAATTCCCCTGGGCCTCAGGTCCCGGAAGGAGAGGAATGGACATGAGCTAAGGACTTGAATCACTGTCTGCCGGGCCCAGGGGTGGGGGTAAAATCTGGTCTGAGTCTCCTCCACAAAGACACACTGCAGGGTGGCCCCAAGAGCCCAACCTCAGGATGCCCACGACTATGGCTGGAGAAGGGCAAATCCCGGGGCGTCTGCCAGGCTACGGGCAGGTCGGGCACACCCGGGAGCGCTGAGTCTCGGCTCTTCCAGGGGCATCTGCTGCTGAGCCCGGGGCCTGAAGCAAGACCACCAGGTCTGTGCCTGTCACACCGTCTGGACTTCTGGCTCTTCGGCGATCCCCTGACGGCTTCCCGTGCCAACTGCTGTGGGGGGTTCCGGGCATGGGGGTGGCTTTCCCGGGGCCTCAGACAGCACGTAGTAGACAATCTCTCGCTCGCCCTGCGCATTGGTCTGATCCACCACGTGTATGATGGGGCTTGGGGAGTCCTGGGAGGCTGCGAGGGCCGACCCCTCCCCACCCTCTTCCTCCTCCTCCGCCTCTTCCTGGCAGCCCGACTCGCTGGGCACTGTCTCCAGAATGATGCCCTGCAGGCTGCTCTCATTCAGGGACGCGTCCAGGGCCGACTCCTCCTGTGGCTGCCGCAGCAGCTGCTGTGTCAGTTCCATGCTCTCGTAGCGAACCAGCTGCAGCCGCATGTAGCCATCCTCATGCTCCTTGTACCTGGGGAGAGCGGGCAGTAGCAGGGATGGCCAGGCGCACGGGGGCCCCGAAGGGTGGCCAGGGAAGGGATGAGCAGGTGGGCCTAAAGGGATGGGAGTGAGAGACCCACGGGGTTTGCACGTACAATGGAGGAAGACCAGGCTGGAGGGCAGGACCATGGGTGGGAACTGTTGGTTCAAGGAGAGACCAACTGGGAATGCTGAGACGGGAGTGGGAGAGAGTGGCTGTCTATGTGCAGGGCGTTGGGAAAGGGGGGCTGTTGGAAGGGACGAGCAACCCTGGGCAATGCCTGGAGTCACAGGCTCCAGCTCAGGCTGTGGGACCATTGATGGAGTTGGACTGAGTCAAGAACCAGAACTGTGGGTGGGGTTGTAGCCATAACACAGCGGGTAGGACATTTGCCTTGCATGCAGCCAACCCGGGTTGATTCCCAGCATCCCTTAGTGCTGCCAGGAGTAATTCCTGAGTAAAGAGCCAAGAGTAACTTCTGTGCATCACCAGGTATGCCCAAAACACGCGGAGGCGGGGAACCAGAAATGTGAAAAGTGGGCTGTAGCGATAGCACAGGGGTTAGGGCGTTTGCCTGGCACGCGGCTGACCTGGGTTAGATCCCCGGCATCCCATAGGGTCCTCCGAGTGCCACCAGGAGTAATTCCTGAGTGCAGAGCCAAGAGGAACCCTTTTGCATCGCTGGGTGTGACCCAAAAAGGAAGAAGAAAAAAAAAAGGACCAGAAATGTCACTTTGCTCATTGCTATTCTCTGACTCCTTCAAGCCTACGTAGAGATGGTGAACCTTAAGGCCTCATCAAATTCAAGGTGTTTTTTTTTTGGGGGGGGAGGGGGTCACACCCAGAGATTCTCAGGGCTCGGAGGACCATAGAGAGTGCTGGGAATCAAACTTGGGTCAGTCGCATGCAAGCAAGTGCCCTTCCCGCTGTTCTATGGCTCCAGCCCCCAATTTAAGGTTTCTCGAAGAACAGGGCTGGTGTAACATGTGAGACTGGGCCGAGAGGGCAGAGTCTTACCGGAAACGGGGGTGCCCTGAGGGCCACTTGAACTGGTGCTTCTTGCGCAGGTGCACGGTGAGATTGTTGCCCCTGGTGAAGCACTTGTCGCAGACGTGGCACTTGTACCTTGGTTCTGAGTCGCCCTGAAGAGGAGGGGTAAAGGAGTGAGCTCCCTCGGGGCACCCGTGCCTCGCCATCCCCTCCCGCTCCAGCTCACGCACCTCGTGCACCTTCCGGTAGTGGGCCTTGATGGACGAGAGGGAGCGCGCCGTGAAGCTGCACTTGTCCACGTCACACCTGTAGGCCGGCTCTCTGCTGTGTGTGTCCAGGTGCTTCCGGAGGTCGATCAGATTCTTGCAGCTGCCGAGAACACAGGTCAGGAGGGGTTGGAGGTGCGGGGGACCCTGGCCCGCCAGCTCGCTGGCTTCTGGCCGGGCGCCCCTTACCTGTAGTCACAATAGTCACATTTAAAGGGCCGGTCCTCGCTGTGGCGGAAGCGCATGTGGTTGCGGAGGGAGGACGGCAGTGGGCAGGTCATGTCGCACAGGGGGCACTTATAGTGATTCACTGAGGAACAGAGAGGACGCTGGGACCGGGGCCCGAGTCCAGGGGGGGCCCAGGGGGCGCGCAGCGCGGGCGGGGTGGCCTGGCCACTCACCGTGGTTGCGCATGTGGTCCCGCAGCAGGCGCTCCGTGGCGAACCTCTTGGAGCAGTGAGAGCACTGGAAACGCTGCTCTGGGGTGGGTGGGCAAAGAAAGGGGCGGGGCTGAGGAACAGGGTGGAGCCCAGGCGACCCAGGAGAGGGGGACCCTCCCGGGCAGAAGGGGACCACCCGCGGAGATGGGGGGACGCTTATGGGAGCTATGGCCGGGCAGAGCATCGTGGACAGAGCATGGGGCCGAGAGTCAAGAACCTGAGTTAGAATCCCGGCTTCACCACTTACTAGCTGTGTGATCTCAGGTAAGTGATTTAACCTCTCTGAGCCTCAGTTTCCTCATCTGCAAAAAGGGGGATAAGACGCCTACCTCATGGGGCTGTTGTGGGGAGTCACTGGGAACGAACAGGGTGCAGAGAGGGCACCCAGTCGTGATGGCTAAGGAAGCGGAGTGGGTAGAGGCAGGGAGGCAGGCGGCTGAGCCCTGTAGGCGTCACGTGGGCCCCTCCCCCGGGAGCATGTCCCCGCCCGACACCCATGCAGGACAGGACAACCCACACCCTCACCCCTGCGGCAGCTTACGGTCCAGTGCCGTCTGGCGTCGGATGTGATCCAAGAACTTGGTGTTGTTGGCGAACATGCCCCCACAGGTGGGGCAGGCCACCACCTTCTCCTGCGTGTGGCTGCGGAGGTGCTCCCGGAGCTTACAGCGGTCCTTGAAGGTACAGGTGCAGTCTGGGAGGGACGGCCCCATCAGGCTCACCCTGGGAGCAGGGGGCCCCGTCCCCCCACTCCAGTCTCTCCACTAGCAGCCCACCTGGTGCCGGAGGATAAGTTCCTGTTTTTACCCTTACTCCCCCACCCACAACTGACCCAAGTTTCTTCCTCTTTCCTTTGTCTTTGGGCCATGCCCAGTGATGCTCAGAGCTTACTCCTGGCTCTGCACTCAGGGATCACTCCTGGCGGGTTTGGGGGACCATCTGGGATGCCGGGGATCGAACCCGGGACAGCTGCGTGCAAGCCAAGCGCCCTCCCCGCTGTCCCATCACTCTGGCCCAACCCAAGTTTCCTTGGCCTCCAGACCCGAAGGAGCGGCCCTACCTTTCCAGCCGCAGGCCACCACGTGGTTGTCCTTGCCCGCGGCCTGGTAGTCACAGCACAGACTGTGCGCGTCCACGTGCCGATAGAACCACTCGGGATTGTCGAAGGCGCTCTGGGTCAACAGCAGATTGGGAACGGGACTGAGTGGGTGTGTAAAAGGACTCCCACCCTGATGGGGTCCAAGGGGGCTGTACGACTCTCTTTCAATCAACTTGGGAGGGGCTGGGCCAGTCTGGGCAAGGGAGTCCCCAGGAACGAGAGACAGCCTCGCCGGAGGCTTGAAAATATGGGGCCTTCCTCCCGCCTGCGGAGTGGCGCTGCCCGCTGACCTCGCAGTGCTCCCACAGACACAGGAAGCGGTCGGGGATGTCGGGGATGATGTTGCGGCTCTGAAGGTCCAGGATGCAGGGGCTGAGGTCGGCCTGGCTCTGCAGGGCCTGCTGGCCCCACTGCTTCAGCTTGGTGTGGTAGCAGTGAAAGTAGACGTGGCGGACGAGGTCGGAAGAGCTTTCCAGAGAACAAAAGCCACACTCCTGCCACAGGCAGGAGAATTCTTCCTCTGCAGAGAGGGGTTCGGAAGGAAGAGGTGGATTTTGCGACGTCCAGCTCGACCTTCTCCCCGCGGCACTGCACAGTAAGGGAGGAGGCCAGACTCGACCGCTTTGCCAGGAGTTCATTCAGCAACCACCAGCAGTGAATGGCCACCAAGTGCTGGACTGGCGGCGCTGGGCAGGCGCGATCAATGGACAGACTCCCGGTCCCTGCCCTCTAGTTGCTTTCAACCAGGAAGGGAAAAAGTCAATCAAACCCAAGTCTGGACAGGTCAGAGAGAGCTTGCTGGGCTGAGGGCATGCTCTGCATGCAGGAGACCACACTGCACAATCCTGCACTGCAGGAGTCGCCCAGAGCACTGAGTCGGGAGCAGCCCCTGAGCATAGCATAATATTGCAAAAAAAATACTGACTTAAAAATAAAATACAGGGCTGGAGCGATAGCACAGCAGGCAGGGCTTTTGCCTTGCACGTGGCCGACACGGGTTCAATCCCCAACATCTTATATGGTCCCCTGAGTACCACTAAGAGTAATTCCTGAGTGCAGAGCCAGGAGTCAACCCTGTACATCGCCGGGTGTGGCTCAAAAAGCAAAAATATAGCAATAATAAATAAGCAATCACTAGTATAAATATGAAATGACAGCCCGTCGTCAGGCCTATGAAGGGGAAGATGCCACCCATGGTTGTACAGAAGAATTAAAGAGTCAGCAGATGTGTGGGGGTCTGTCGTGGAAGCATCTCTGTGTGGGGGGTTGCCGTGGAAGCATCCCTGTGTGGGGGAGGGCTACCATGGAAGCATCCCGGGGGGTTGGAGAACCCATAGAGCGTCCTTGTGTGGGAAGCTGTCGTGGAAGTGTCCCTGTGGGGAGAGCTGCAGGGCAGTTATCTAATCTGGGTGCAGGAGAAGTGTGGGCAAGGCCCAGTGCCAGGAACCCAGGGCCAGTAGAAATGGTGAGTTAGCACCGACCAGTTTCTGCTGGTCTCAGGAAGAAGCTGCCTGCCAGCCCGGGACACCGTCCCCTCTCCCTTTCCGGCCCAGGAAGTCTTCTCCAGAAAAGCCCATCAACTACTTTCTTTTTTGTCTCTTTTTAGTTTGGAGGCCACACCTGATGGTTCTCAGGGATCACTCCTGGCAGTACTTCAGGGAACCATATGGGGTGCCAGGGGATGGAACCCAGGTCTGCCACATACAAGGCAAGCGCCCTGTTAGCTGTACTATTTTTAGCACCCACCCCGCCCCGCCCCACATCAACAATTTTCTAGTCCATTTCCATCTTTCTTTTTTTTTTTTTTTGCTTTTTGGGGTCATACCCAGCAATGTACAGGGGCTACTCCTGGCTCCACACTCAGGAATTACTTCTGGCGGTGCTCGGGGAAACATATGAGATGCTGAGAATCGAACCCGGGTTGGCCGTGTGCAAGGCAAATGCCCTACCCTCTATGTTATCGCTCCAGCCCCCATTTCCATCTTAATGATATCTCTTACTCAGTCCCCCGTATGTTTTTTGTTTTCCATGGTTTGAGGGCCATGTCTGTGGCTTAGGGGTTGCTCTGGGGACCATGTAGGGCTGGGGACTGAACTTGGGGCTCCTACATGTAGAGTATGAGCTCCAGCCTCTTGAACCCTCTTCTCAACCCGCCTGCCTTCCCACTCCATAGTTTCAAGGTTTTATATGGTTTTACTTTGGGGAAAGTTTTTCTTTCTACTTAACATCGAAAAGGGGAAAAAAAAATCAGATCACATAATGTATATTTAAATTAGAACCATATAATTTCTTTTATTTCTTTATTTATGGCCACACCCAGTAGTGCTCAGGGCTTACATCTGGCTCTGAGAGAATCCTGGGCGTGCCTGAGGGACCAGCTGTGGTACTAGGGATTCAAATCAGGGTTAGCTGCAAGACCAATGCCAGACCCCAGGCTGGAGTGCTAGCACAGCAGTTAGTCAGGTGGTTGCCTTGCATGCAGCTAACCCGGGGCAGATCCCATATTGTTCCCCAAGCACTGCCAGTAGTGATCCTCTCAGCGTTGAGCCAGAAGTAAGCCAGAAGAAGCACTGCCAGGTGTGGCCCCAAAACAAACGAACAGCCATCTCCAGCCCCAGCATTTGGCTTCTGAGAGTAAGAGCTCAAAGTCATTAGGCTAAGAAGAGAATTTGGGGGGGGGGGGGGGGGGCAGAGCGTTTGCCTTGCAAGCAGGTTCAATCCCTGGTCCCTCAAGCACTGCCAGGAGTAATTCCTGAGTGAAGAGCCAGGAGTAACCCCTGAGCATCACTGGGTGTGACCCAAAAAGGAAAAAAAAAATACAACAGAATTTGGGGTGGGAGGAAAAAAAGACTGGCCTGTTTTCAGAAATGTCACACTGGTTTCAGAAACAGGAAAAGCATGATGTTAGGGCAGGGCCTCTCGCCATGACGGCTCCCAGGGGCTGCCCCTTACCCATCAGGTCGTCGTCGTCCTCCCGCTGGGCGGGGCTGCGCAGGTGCTGCTGCAGGTGCTGCTGCAGGTGCTGGAAGAACTCCTCCAGGGCCCAGCACACGAACGAGCATGAGCCCCACTCACACTGCAGCTCCAGCTCCTCCTTCCGGGGGGCTTTCCCGGGGGGTGGCATGGCCTTTACCCTGGGGGGAGGAAGAATACAAGGCTCAGGGCGGGCCCTGAGCACCAGTGGGTGACCCCCCCCAAATGAGAAAACAATACACCCAGGAATTTCCCCCCCCCACCCAAAGGCACAAGGGGCCCACTTGGCAGGCAGACTGTGTAGACCCGTGAGAAAGCCTGAGCTTCCCCCATCAGGATGGACCATCAGACGCCATCGGACAGTCTCCGGAAGAGAGAACAAAAACAAACAGGGCAGAAAGGGTGCCAAGTGCTGAGCTAAGACTGAACAGGCATCTTCTCAGGAAGCTGCCAGGAAGGAATTATTCCTAGGGGAGGCCAAAGCGATGGGCCACAGAAGTGACCAGGGCCAAGGACCAGCACTCGAATCTGGGACCTTCTGTCCACTGCCACGAGCAGCGAGAAACTGAAGTCTTGGCACCCAGATGTTCCCGTCTTCGAAATGAGGATCACGGAACCTTTTGTCTTTTATTTTCTACTATTTTCTACTTTATGCCAAACTCTGGGCAAGGCGCTTTTATTCACGCTGTCACTTAATTAGTACAAGGCAAACACCATTGCAAGCTTCATTTATAGATTAGACCTGGGGCTTGGAGAAGTTAACTGGCTTGCTCAAGGCCACAAAGTACTCGGCTGGCAGAACAGGTCAGACTGACTCCAAAGTTCACCCGGTCAGCAGTGGCTGGCAGTTGGCTGGCTGGTCATCCCTGGACTGGTGATCCTCAAAACCTGAGGCTTCCCTCACTATGTCCCAGCTAAGTCCGCACCCCCCCACTTTCAAAGGACCCCACAGCAGCTTCTGCCAGCCCCCTTGGGCAGTTTACCCGACACCTCCCTCTGCTCATAGCCTTGGAATTAAATCGGAAATGACATTGGATTCCAAGGCTTATCTGTCCAGTACAATTTCCCAAATTCCTGGGGGAAGGAGGGCACTGGCAAGCCCCAAGGCAAATGGGGGTGCTTCCTATTTGTTCGCTTAGAGAGTGGGTATTGGGGGACTGCTGAGTGACATTCGTCAGCATGGGCGCCTCTGAGCTGGTGATGTGGGACAAACATCACCTCGGCTGGCTGAGGCACTGAGCAAACATTTGAGGGACTTGGAATCGCAGCACGGGCTCTGCAGCCCCCTCTTCTCTGAAGCCCAGAGACCTGCCGCTTCACAGGGGCACCCCAAGTCGGACACAGGCAGGGGAGGAGGGGAGGTGATGCTCCAAGTAACACTGCAGGGAGAGTGGACTGGAGAGGCGTGACTCACCCCCCTGCTTCCCAATGGGGGGACCCTGGAGTGAGTGGCTGCATTATCACGCCTTTTGGCTTTCCGGGGGGGGGGGGGGGGTCTGGGGAATGATTCTAGAAAGGCCTTCACTGAACACTGAGGGGGAAAAAAAAAACAGAAAATGACTCTGGAAAGGCCTTTACTGAACACCAAGGGGCAAAAAAAACAGAAAATACCAAACACATGAACCCCTCCTGACCCACCAGCACCTGCTTTTGTGAACTATGGGCTTGTGTTTCAAACCTGGTCTCTCCTATGACCCTCTATGACCCTCTGCGTGTACCGGGGCAAGGCGCCGCTCCAAGCCCAACTCTTGGGGACAAAGGGAGACACTTTCCAGCATCAGGGTTCTAGGAAGAGTCAGGAAAGTTCCAAGTCTTCCTATGTGGTTCTGTGGGCCAGGCTCACGTCCACTGACCACAACTACTCCTGCGGGTCTGCCCTGAACAAGCCCCCTCCACACCTCATCTTACTCTGTCAGAGCCAGATTCGAACCCAAACCCCGTGCGCTCCTGCTCTGGCTCCCTTGGTCATCGGAGCTGCCCCGAGTCATTTTCCCTAGACACGCTCCAGCCCCAAGAAACATGCAGAGCACTTTCCCTGACCCTCAGGCCCAGAGGGCCACAGCTTAGTAAATTGACTCTGTCCTCACCCCTGCCCATGCGATGGTACCCGCACAACAGTAAGATCCTCACTCCAAGCCACGAAGGCCACCTCCAGGGACCAGCCCCACTCCAGGGAGCCTCTGAGGCAGCCCAGCCCCTTGGTCACTCCTGCCTCCTGGTTTTCGAGCTGCTTCTGCAACTAAAACTCTCAGCCCCTAAATGCTCATGGTTGTGTGAAGTGCTCTATTCTGACCCTGCCAACTGGACAATACCAGAGACTTCTCAGGAGAAACCAAGGGCACCCCTCTGTGTCCCTAAACTTTGCCTAAACACATTGCTGAGAGACTGGTAGCTGAGGGTCCAGGAGCCAGGCTCACTGCACATCTAGAATGACTTCATTTCTAGGCAAAGGTTCCCTGACTGCTTCTGTTACTGTCCCTGTCTGTTTTTTTTTTTTGTCCCTGTGCTTGGGAAGCCATGGGCAGAGTGATGGTCTGCCTGCCGCTGCTCTTTCCGGAGGCAAGTGTCAACCGGGGAGCACGGAGATTTCACCAGGGACCAACTGTAGGACGGCTCGGGAAATGAGTTTAGTTTCCCATTCCCATGATTTTGCATTACCAAGAATAATGCGACATCTACAGGGCATCTACTCTGTGCCAAGTGTGGCACTTCTGGTATATACATACACATTTGCAGGCATTCGTACAAATGTGTAAAACCCCACTGACACCACAGCCCTCTGCTAGGCACTCTTAGAAGCGCCTTCAAAGTGGAGGAAATGGGACTAGTAATTAGCTTAAGGAATTCATCAAAGGTCACAGCTGGAGCGTGCCTTTGGGGAAAATGATGGGCTTTGCCTCCACTCCCCCAGCATCTGCCTGAACCACATCTCCCTACTGAGTCCCTCCTTCGCACAGACATCATATTGTATATCCAGCATCCAGGACATGTTTGAGTAAAACATCAGTTTGTCAGTTTCTTCCCAATTAAGTGGTGAGCTCCTCCAAAGGCTAGCTAGTGCTGTTCTTGCTGTATCTGCAGCCAGCCTAAATCTCCCAGCAGGAGTTCTTTCCTTTTCTTTAGGTTTTTGGGCCACACTCAGTCATGTGCAGGAGTTACCCTTGGCAGTGCTGTGGAACCGTACGGAATTGAACCTAGGTCAGTCCTGCGCAAGGTAAGAGCCTCACCAGCTGTACCATCTCTCCGGCCCACCAGGTTTCCTTTTCATATTTTAGTGGAGCCATGATTTTTTACCTCTGGACAAATTAACTAGCTTTTTGCACCTGTTTCCTTAACTGCAGAAGAGAATACTAATATCCAACCGTCAGTGACAAATTCAAACGATCTGTTAGAAAGCTCCCTCTTGCCATGTGACCTGTGAGAAATGACTTAACCTCCATTTTCCGTGTAGCATAACTGTCACACTGGTATCACTGAATCGAGGTAGGAACTAGATGAGGCTTATGAACTCTCTTAGCAGAATCCAGGACTAGGGCTCAACAAGTGTCAGCACTTGCCTCTAAGGGTGAGCCGGTGGCGGCGAGATTGCTACAAATAGAACAAAAGCACAAGCCTGAGATTCCCAGGGCTTCAACAGAAGTCACAGTAGCAAAATTCGCAAACTCTAGGGGCTATCCACTGTGTTGCAAGACATCGAATGCACGCTGAACAGGAGGGACCCCGGCCTTGAACCTCCCCCCACACACACACACACCCTCATCCCCAATTTGGCCGGCGAGATAAGAGGCTCACGAGCGATCACAACCACGAAAACAAAGCGGCAGGAGAGGGAGAGAGAGATCCAAGCAGGGAAGTGCCCGCAAGGAGGAGGCGCAGGGAAGAACTGCTGGAGACTGGGTGTCGGCGGGACCCCGCGAAGGACGCGCAGAACCCGGGGAGCAGGAAGGAGACAGTCGCCGCCAGATAAACCCCACCTCGGGCTGCCGCGTCCCCCTCCAACGTGGCGGTGTCCGCGCTCGGCGGCAGCGAAGCCCCAAAGAGTGGCGGCAGGGGTCCGGGCTGTCCGGAGCACCAGCCGGAGAGCCCCAGCGCTGAGCCTGGCCGAGCAGAGCCAGGCCCACGCACCCCACCCTTGGCACAGCCCCGCGATGCCCCTCAGGGAGCTCCGTTCGCAGCCCCCAGCTCACCGCGTCTCAGCTCCGGGCGATCCTCCGCTCTCCTCCCACCTCCGACCGTCTCCGAGCTGGGCGCTTGAACGACGGCGCGCGCCAACCAATCACCGCGCTGAGATCCTTCTCGCAGCCAATCCCCGCCGCCATGGTCGGATCCCGTGCGCGACCAAAACACGGAAGGGGCGGGAACGAGGGGCGGGCCTTCGGGGGAGCGGAAACGCGGCTGCGCGGAGGGAGGGCAGCGCTGGGCCTGAGCCGGCCTCCCGCAGGCGGGGCTGGGCGCGTGGGCAGCGAGGAGTGGAGGTCGCGGCTGGCTTTCTCAGCACTGGCCCCGGCTGCAAAGCCCCATCTGTAGCCCTCATCTTCTTCCTCTTCTTTTGTATTTATTAATTTCTTTGACTTTTTGGGTCGCAGCCCGGAGGATGCTCAGGGATTACTCCTGGCGGTGCTCTGCAGCGGGACCCAGTGGGATGCTGGGGATCGAACCCGTGTGCTCCACGTGCCCGACCCTTTGTGCTTTGACTCCGGCCCCAGCTTCTTTCTCTTCTCACCTCCCTTTTTTTTTTTTTTTTTTTTTTTTTTTAGTTTTGGGGCCACACCCGGCGATGCTCAGGGGTTACACCTGGCTTTGTGCTCAGGAATTACTCCTGACGGTGCTCGGGGATGCTGGAGATGGTCGAAGTCTGGTTGGCAGCGTGCAAGGCAAGCGCCTTACCTGCTGTACTGTCCGGCCCCTCCTATCTTGTAAATGTCGCTTCCCACCCCGCCCGACCAAACCTCTGCCTCCTGTGTTCCCAAACTCTTGGATGACTGGTTCATCCACCCGCCCCTGCAAGTGAGAAACCCAACAAATCAGAAGCAGGGCAGTGAACCCTGAGTCCTCCCTCTCCCTTCGCCTCTAGTCCTTTGCCAGGTCCTGTGGACTCTGCCTCCTTCGAAGCGCGTTCACATTTATCTCGGGTTCTTAATCTGTCAAACTCCTAATCTTGTTTACTAATGACGCCCAATCCGGATTTCTAATCTAATTGATTTTACTGCTGTGCATTTTTACTTCCTCCAAACTGTTTCCCACAGCGCACTCAAAAGTGAACTTTCTAGAACAGACCTAATCCAACAAGCAGGCTCCTTTCAAACGGAAAGGCATTGTTCTCAGGGGGAAGCCCCCAACCCTTGCGGTGCCCTTTATGCTGCTCCATTGTGTCCCGAGCCCTGCTCACTTCTTGACCTCAACTCCTGCTCTCTAGCCCAAAATTTCTTCCCATCGCCACTATATGGAGTTGCTTTTTTGTGCTTGGGAGAATATAGGTGGTGCGGGCGTCTAACTGGGATTGGCCACATGCGGCCTCATCATAACTCAGTACTGTGGCCCTCCCACATTTGCACGATCCCTGCGATCCCTGCTCAGTCTTTTCTCATGGGAGATGCTTTGAGAAGTCTCTGACACCCCTTGACTGTATTCTCCATTACTCTCTCTCATTAAACTGTTTGCCTGTGTGCCCCAGGTTTAGTGCGGTGAGAAAATGCCTGGCCTGCATTCTTCACCTTTCTAACTCTATCACTTTGGCAAAAGGGCTGAAACTCGACATAATTTGTTAAATTGTGTACCTTAGTAAATTAGAATAAATATCAATCGCAATTGTAATCCTATGTATTTATTTATTTGCTTTTTGGGGCATACCTGGTGATGCACAGGGCTTACTCCTCGCTCTGGACTCAGAAATTACTCCTGGCGTGCTCAGGGGTCCATATGGGATGCTGGGAATCGAACCAGGGTCTGCTGCGTGCAAGGCAAATGTCCCACCCACTGTGCTATCGCTCCAGCCCATGTAATCCTGTTTTCTAACCTGAAAATAGTCCTAGACAATTAGAAAACACAATGGTCAATAAAAATTTAAGAAAATTTGAGGGCTGGAGCGATAGTACAGCCGGTAGGGTGTTTTCCTTGCAAATGGCCAACCCGGGTTTGATCCCCAGCATCCCATATGGTACCCTGAGCACCACCAGGAGTGATTCCTCAGTGCAGAGCCAGGAGTAATCCCTGTGCATCATAGGGTGTGACCCAAAAAGCAAATAAATAAATAAATAAAACAATTTTAAGGTGCCATTAAAAATAGAAAATTCAGAGCCAGAGTTAAGGTGCTTGCCTTGCATGCATCCAACCTTGGTTAGATTCCTGGCACCACATATCATTCCCGAACACTGCCAGGAGTGACTCAGAACACAGACCCAGGAGGAGCTCCTGGAGACTGAGATGTCATCCAAAACCAACAACCCCCACAAAACAGCAAGTGCATAGTAAAATCAGAACTTTTTGTTCAAAATTTGTTGCTGACAATTGTAAATTAGTTTTGTTCATTTTTAAAGTAGGGATTTAAAAATATAATTCAAACATAACCTAAAATATAGTTCACTAACTTTATTCATGCAAAAGGTTATGATAGTAATACTTCACAAAATATCTCTTGAGCTACACTTCTGAAAATGCTCTTAGCTTTCACTTAGCTCTGCTCATTCACAGAACTGTTCAGACAAGTTTTTTTTACAGAGCAAAAACTTAAGGATAGTTCTGGGATCCACCCATATGTTTCCAAAATTTGAGGCAGTGTCTAGCTGTCTAGCATAGTTTACTTCCATTTCAATCTGCTTCTCTTGAAAACCAGCTACAGTTTTTTTTTCCCCCGTGGGGCGGGCCACATCAAACAATGCTCTGGGTTAATCCTGGTACTGCACTCCGGAATTACTCCTGGCAGTGCTCACGGAACCAACCGGGATGCCAGGGATCGAACCTGGATCAATCATGTGTAAGGTAAATGCCCTACCTGCTGTACAATCTTTCTAACCCCTTCCAGCTATAGTTTTGGCTGGCTAATTCAGATTTGTTCCTTAAAAGTGCCACACAAGCTTAAGGGTAATTCGTACTCATCAAAAGCTGTGGCTGGGGCTGAGCGATATACAGTGAGTAAAGCACTTGTCTTGTAGAAGATCAACCTAAGTTCGATCTTTGGCATCCCAGGTGCTCTCCCAAGCACTGGCAGGAGTGATCCTTGAGTGCATAGCCAGGAGTAAGCCCTGAGTACCACCAGTTGTGGATACGCTCCCCACCCTCCCCAAAACAAAACAAGACAAACAACGCTGTGTCTGTCTTCTGGAAGTGTGGAGTGGATAGTTGATTAAATTGTTTTGTATTTCTTTTGTGTTCATGTCTGAAATCCGTGTTTGAAATGTGATCAGGCTTCCTCCTACAAAATGTGGTTCCTCCGAATTATGGGCAGCCCGGCCCTGAAGCTGAGAAGGATTTATGGTTATAACCCGCTCAATCCACAGGTCCTAGGGGGATTGGAATGATTGCATTCCTGTCCACTGAAACTTCCTTGTGAAACTGTGTTTGGTGATTTTATATTGGTAAACAATCTGCTTCTCTAAGAACCACTCGAAGTTGCATTTCTTAGATCTAGGGAAATAACCTGATAAATCTGAGTCTCTATGCCTTGAGCATATCACTGTGTACAAATTATTCATACTGTGTGACTCTTAAATATCTGTTGTCTGTGACTGGTATGAATAGGGATGTGAAGAAATTGGTAAACTCAAGCTCCTTACCCAAGGCACACGATCTGAAAACCTGTGCGATGGAGGTGGTTCTCGTTGGCAAAGCTGAAAGTGACCTTGAATGATTATTTAGGGCAGTGTTCTACCTGCAGACAGGCCAGTCTTACATTCTGATCCACAAACTGGAAGTTGTAACCAAGGTGGTAGATTAGTGGTTTTCAACCTTTCTCCCCCTGTGGACCGCACTCACACGGGCTCTGACTGGTGATCTAGGACCTGGATTAACAACCCTCCTTCACTTCAGGATATTGTAGCTCAGAAAATAAGTGGGCTGCTCAAGGTCAAGTGGGTGTGTTTCTAGCTTGCTGCAGGTTCCTGGCCCCAGTCCAGCACTCTGGCTTCCTCAGCAGCTTACCTAGTCCAAGTCCCTCTAAGGTCCCAGAGAACAGGAACCAGGAACAGACAATTTGCTCCTACCGGTAACTTCCTCTATTTCCTGTGAAGAAACCCTTGAGAGGACTTCCCCTCCCAGTCTACAGCTAGCACACACTCAGCACTCAGCAGGGTAACTTGGCAGAGTTTCTCTTATTCCAGCTCCCATTTACAGATGAGAAAACTGAGGCATGTGAGGGTTAAGAAAACTCACCCAAGATCATGTTGGTAATTAGTTGATCTGGGACTCCAGTCCAGGCAGTTCAGACCCTGGACTTGAATATATTTTGGAAGGTGCAGCCTGATCAAGAAAGGGGAAAAGATGCCTACATTCAATTTTTCTTTTTTCTGGTTGACCTTTTTGTGTGTGTGGGGGGGGGGGGGAGATGCGGGCACACATTCACAATTCCTCCTCCCTTGCTTTCCCCACGTGGTCTTCCGTCTTAGCAGACCCCGTATGCGTGTGATCAACTCACTTCCCTAAGGGACCCCCTATCTTAGTTTCTTCATCCTTTCTTTTTTGGGGGGAGGGTGACACCCAGCGATGCTCAGGGGTTACTCCTGGCTCTGCGTTCAGAAATTACTCCTGGTGGTACATGGGGGACCATGCCAGGGACCATGGGGGATGCCGGGGATTGAACCCAGGGTCGGCCGCATGCAAGACAAAACCCCCTATCCGCTCTGGCCCGCCTTCATCCTTTCAAGGACAGTCAGTTGCCCAGGTTATAAACTCCAATTTGACTTTAATAAATTAAGTTCCAAGCCATCACACAGCAATGGACGTCATTTCCCAACCGACAGAGGTGCGGCCCTGCCCCGCTCCATCATCGCTCGCTCCATAAGGCCTCTCGGACGTCTCCGGGGGAGGCCGCCCCCACCCCCCCAGCAGCTCCTCGTGCCCTCCTTCCTTTCCCCGCTGCTCACACGGAGAAGGCATCAAAGTACAAAAAACGGTAAGAAATGGGGAGGGAGGGACGAGGAGCAGAGGGGAGGCAGGGAGGTGGGGAGTACCTGCCCCCCCAACCCAGGCACCGGCCCCGCTTGCTTTGTGTGGCCAGTGCCCTCGGAGGCAGACATTGGTGCTGGCTGGAGAGGGGACCTGAGGGACGTGTGTACCCTCCTGGGACAGGAAAGCCCCCCCCCCATGCCCCGGGAGAGATGCCCTCTATCCTCTGGCCACCGAGGGTCCTGGACCACACATATAAATAGAAAAGAGAATAAATAAGGGAGGAAGGAACAGCTGAGGAGCTCAATGTCCCGGGGTCCTGGGAGGGGCCGGTATTGGAGGCAGGCCAACGGTTCTGAGGAATGCCCACCCCGGCCAGGGCCGAGTCCTCTGTACACCCAGCCACCCACTCTCTCTTCTAGGTCGTCAGTAACGGGGCGCCTCTTGTCTGCTGCTGCAGATTCCCTCCCAACTGGCCCCAAGGCTGATGTGGACAGAGCTTCCTGGAGCCCAGAGGGCATCCCTGGCCCTGGGCAGGCGGGTGAGAGTCCAGGAAGGGGAACGGAAGGGAACGGTCGATTGGGTGGAAGGGTTTGGCCCTCTCCCAGCTCAGGAGGTGAGACGGGACCTCAGAGCTGGGGGCTGGGGTTGCCATTGGCCTTGGGTTTGGTTTTGAAGGAAAAACGCTTGATGAGGCGGCGGGAGAAACTGCCGGCCTTCTTACGGACACTGGGTGTTGCCGTGGTGTTGGAGAGGTCGTCGTGGGACTGGCTCAGCCCAGCTTCCTTCTGCCGAGGCCTCCGGCGAAAGATGAGCTTCGTGCCACTGCGCAGGAAGCTCACTGTGGAGGGAAGACGGGAGGCTGAGGTGAAGAGCAAGAAAACACCCCCCCCACCGCCGTTGGACTAGGGCTGGGGGCAGTGAAGACGGGATGGATGATGGCATGGGGGGGGGGGGCGCTGGCTACTGTCCCCGGGGCCAGACTGACCCATGGGCTCTCCACCTCAGAAATCAAATGTCTGAGCAGAAAAAGGCCCTAAAAGCCTGGACCGTCACAAAGGGACTGTGGGCTGACTCCAGCTAGTCTGCCAAGTCCCAGGAGGTGAGCAGGAAGCGAGCATCTGACAGACTTCAAAGAGGTGAATTGGGGAGCGGCCTAACGAGGTGGGGTGGGCGCCACCACAGCAGGCTGGGAGCTCAGAAACCTCATTATCCCCAGGACTGCAGGGCAGCCCAACTCCTCGTTAAATGCACAGGCTGGAAACCCGGGCCAGCGGGAGGCAGATGCTTGGGGCGGGTCCCTTGTCCTGAGGATGCTACTGGCTGTGTCACTGCCCAGAGGCCACTCCTGGAGGGCTCGGGATAGGACTTCTTAGAGAAAGTATGGAAGGGGAAGCAAGGAAGACACACACGGACCCAAGGTGTGTACCGACACCCAGAGGACAGGAAGTGGAGGCAAGGGGACACACTAGCTTTCCCTCAGCCACCGGCCAGGACAGGACACCAACCTCCCCTCCTGCTCCAGTCTGGCTGCACAGGCTGGGGGTCAGGGGGTCCCTGGAAAGAAAGAGGCTCCTGTCCCTGACTGTCAGAGCTGGAGAGGAAGGAGGCCGAGCCTGCCCCACCTTTGTGATCCTTGAGGCTCCGGGTCTCCAGGGCGCCGGTCGAGCCAGTTTCCGACTCCACGTCATCCACAGAGGGCCTCTCTGAAATGTCTGAGCGCGTGGTCTCATCCGCTTCCTGGACACTCGTGGGACTGGACAGGGCATCGGGGGGTCCTGGGGACATGGCTGCTGGGTCCGAGGGAGGGGATGAGGGGCCACCGCTGCTCCCCGCGTCTTCCTGCAGGGAGGCGTCCAGGGAGGCCGCATAACCCAGGGACAGTGCCAACTCATCCTGTGCAATGGGCACCTGGCAGGACGGACAAGCGGCAGTGGGCAGGAGTGACCCACGGGGCTCTCCCCGCTGCTGGCTCCTCTCCCCGGAGCCCGGCCGGTTACCTTGGAAACGCCCGAGATGATGAGCGTGCTGCGCTTGGTGGGCGTCTTCTTGGCTGCCCGCCCACTAGGCTCAGTCAACTGACGGATGGCGGTCTCGGCCACAGGGTCCAGGCCATTGGAGAGGTGGCTGTCTCCTGCTGGGAGTCCGCGGGCAGAGCTTGGCTCTTTTTTTTTCCACCCTGAGCACTCCCAGGGCAGCTCTAAATTTGGTGGGGGGGGGGGGGGAAGGGGCCCTGGGGCCAGCCCACCCTGCCCTTCCCAGGCCCCACTCACGGCTGCTGCTGAGGGAGGAGCCGCCGGGCCCACTCTGGTCACTCAGCACGGTGGTGGTCTTCTCGGTCACCTCCACCTTGGACGGGGAGCGGGAGGGGGAGTCTGGTGGGTGGGGGAGGGTCAGTGAGGCGGGAGGCGCTGGAGCGTGCCCCCCTCCCCCCAGTACTGGCATGACTCAGAGGACAGGGTGGCTGAGGGCTGATGAGTCACGGGTGATGGGGAAGCATGGCAAGTGCCCCTCTCAAGCAAGCGCCCCTCAGGGCAGCCACAGAGGGGGGAAGGGGGGAAGCGCAGCCCTGGGGTGTGTTGCAGGATCCCAAGCTTGGGAGCGGGAGGCAGGACAAAGCAGGCAGGGTGTGGGGAAAGGAGGGAACCTGGGATAAGAGAGAGGGAGGTGTGGCGAGGGCTGCAGGGGTGAGAGGAGAGGGGCATGCAGCCTCCCTCCAGGAGGGAGGGAAGTGGAGGGAGGCAGGTGACAAGGGAGAGAGCCAATGGGCGTGAGGAAGTCGGGGTAGGACCCAGGAAGCGAAAAACAGGAGGGAGGGGTGAAGGCGGGTGGGATGGGGGCTCACCTCGCCCCTCCCTGTCCTGCTCTGGCTCTGCTCACCACCCGACCCCACCCCCAGCTGGGCTCTTCAGTTCCTCCTGTTTACCTAGTTTGCCATCTACCCGGGGCCGGGACTGGACAGTGGTGACTGTGGTGACTATGGTGCCGTCAGGCATGATGGTCCTGTCTAACTCGATCTTCTTAGTCGGGGTGATGCTGGGGCGTGGTGTGGAGGGGGTGGGGGTGCCCAGGTTTCCGGGAGAGCCCTCCTCATAGAGAAGCTGCAGAGGGCAGGAGAGGGTAGAGCCAGGCCTGGAGGCTGCCCCTCCCCTGCCCCCTGCCCTCCACCCCCACAGGAGGGTCCCCCCTCACCTCCACGGCCATGGTGGCTGCTGGGCCCAGGACTTTCCGGGGCCCAGGGGTGAGGGGGCACACTTGTCTTCGGGACAGTGGTCGGGAAGGGGAGCCCACGGGCAGTGTGGCCTGGCCCAGGAGCTCGGCTGCGGAGAGAGGAGGTGCTGTGAGCTGGCCGGTGCCCAGGCCTGGCCCACAGCCCATCTGGAGGTGCCCCTGCCCGGCCCACACTCACCATCGCCACAAACGCCACTCCTCAGTACTTTCAGGGTCAGCTCCCGGCTCTGGGGGCCCAGATCCCTGTGGCCAAGAGGAAGTTGGGGCAGAGGGAGATTAGCCAACTGCATCTCCCCCTGTGCGGAAGACAGGTCAGAGGCAGAGAGAGGAGCCAGGCCTGGTGCTCAGTGACAGAACGCACATGACAGGAACAGGCCCTCGGTTCCATCCCTAGCACCACAAACCCCCAGACTACGCCGGGCAAACAGGATGCTGATGTTAACTGCTCCCACTCAGACTGGCTGCCCTCTCCTCTGGAGGGAGCAGGGATGCTGGGATGAATCCCAACGCCTCAGATGAAGGATGTGCTCTGCCGCTGAGCTCCAGTCCTGACCCCGCCTCTGCCCTTAACATCAGTGGTCTCCAGCCGCTGGTCCCCAGTGGAAAGAACGTGGCTTGAGTACTCTCGTCCCATGAGAATGGGGCAGAGTTGGGATAGAACACCCCCGGCCCCCCTCTTGGCACGCAAGCCCTTCCCCAGTGATCAGTGTCAAACCACACTTCCTGGTTTCAGGCACCGCTGAAAACCCTGCTCCAGGGCTGGAGTGATCGCACAGTGGATAGGGCATTTGCTTTGCACGTGGCTGACCTGGGTTCGATTCCCAGCATCCCATATGGTCCCCCGAGCACCGCCAAGAGTAATTCCTGAGTGCATGAGCCAGGAGTAACCCCTGTGCATCGCCGGGTGTGCCCCAAAAGAAAAACAAAAACAAAAGCAAAAACCCTGCTCTTCTGAGGAGTGCTTTCCACGGGCCCTCGGAGCCTCCCTCTGGGAGCTGCTTTCACCAAGTCCTCCCCGACAGCAGTGCCGTGAGCCTTTGTCTGTCTTCGTTCCCTGTACTTGTCTGCCTCCAGCCTGCCCGCAATGCAGGGTGGGCCCACAGCCTAGCCGGGTCACATCAAGAACGTCAACACCTGGGGCTGGGTTGGACACACCTTGGGGCTCCCGCAGGGTACACTGAAAACAGCTGATTCAGGGCTGGATCGATAGCACAGTGGGGAGAGCATTTGCCTTGCACGTGGCTGACCCGGGTTTGATTCCCAGCATCCCATATGGTCCCCTGAGCACCGCCAGGAGTGATTCCTGAGTGCAAAGCCAGGAGTAACCCCTGTGCATCGCCGGGTGTGACCCAAAAAGCAAAAAAAAAAAAAAAAAAAAAAAAAAAGAGAGAGGGGCTAGAGCAATAGCACAGCAGGTATGGTGTTTGCCTTGCACGCAGCCGACCCGGGTTCGATTCCCAGCATCCCATATGGTCCCCCGAGCACTGCCAGGAGTGATTCCTGAGTGCAAAGCCAGGAGTAACCTCTGAGCATTGCTGGGTGTGACCCAAAAAGGAAAAAAAAAACAAAAACAAGAACAGCTGATTCAGACCAGGGCTATGCTGCCAAGTGGGGGGACCCTTGGTTTCCCTAGGTGAGCAGAATTGTGGTATCACTTCTTACAGGGCCAGGTCCTCCGTCCACTCCACCTCCGGACCAGCCTTGCTGGGTTTGGTCCACTTCTGCTGCATGGGGTGATCCAGCTCAGCCACGCAGCACACTTCCCCGGTGCCTGCAGGGACAGAAACGAGAGGTGGCTCACCTGAACCCCAGGGAGGGGTGCGGGGAAGGGGTGGGCACCTATAACTCTGGCCTTGGCAGTGTCTGGCCCTCACCTTCCAGCTCCCCTCCCAGGTGAGAGGCTCGAAGCTGCCGCAGCAACAACCGAGTGGGTCTGGGGCTGGATGGATGGGCGTGGGGCACCGGGGTGGTCTTCTCACTGGGCACCTAGGAAGCAGGGAGGTCAGCAGAGTGGGCACCACAGGCCGCGTCCCCAGGGTCCAGGCCCCGAGGGCCTCCTCACCAGGCCTCCAGGAGCCGAGCATGCCCGCAGATTGACCAGCATGGCCGGCTGGGTGCTGACGATGGCATCTTTGATCAGCTCCTCAATGGTGGAGATCTCCACTTGCTCCTCACCCCTCTGGAGGAGAAGAGCACAGAGGTGGGGTTCTCAGCTCTGCGTTCCCCTACTCTATCTCCCTCCCTGCCCCACCCCTGCCCTGGCCCCCCCACCCCCCTTACCTCCCTGGCCTGCAGCGTGGGAAGCACCGTCAGACTGAGCTCGGGGCGATCAGTGAAGGCCCAAGACACCAGCAGCCCCTCACCAGGGACTTCCTCCAGGTTAACTTCCAACTGGGGACAAGGGACGAAGGGAATGGGTAGCAGAGCCCCTAGGACCGTCCCCACCCAGATTCCTGCCCAGAGGGAACCCAAAGGGAAAAGGTCGAATCTACCCCCCCCCCCCCCCGCCACTACCACCAGCTCCGTTCCCCACATCCCCCTCCACCTGTGTTGGTGGCAGTGTCAGAGTGACGTGGTAGGTCTCCATGGAGACAGCAGCGGGGGACTGCTGGGTCACAGAGACTGGGAACCGCACCTCCTCGGCAGAGAGCTGGCAATGCAGCACCTGGGACGGGCAGGGCAGGAAGGCCTGGAGGGTGGGCATGGAGGAGGGGCTGCCCGCCGCTCCGCAGACCCCCTGCCCACCTCAGGCCTGGTTGGGGTCATAAACTCATAAAAGAATCAGAGCAAAGACAGATGCTTCTTTCTCCAGAAGAACGCAGCTATGCATGCATGTGCACACATGCACATGATACACAGAAGCGCGCGCACATGTACACACACACACACCCCTTACTTTGCATGTAACCTGAGTGGGAGTCTCAGACTTTCTGACCCCAACCCGGGGTCTCCCAGGCATTCAGACTCCAGGGGAAGAACCGCTGGAGCGGCTGGGGAGATGCTCAGAGGGCTACGCGCTGGCTTTGCATGTGGGAGCCCTGCGTCCAGCCCGAGCAGGGAGATAGGAGTAGCCTTTGGGCAGTGCCAAGCGTGACCCTCTCCCCAAAAGAACTCCCCTCAGACAAAATTAGAATCCTAGGACTTTATTTTTTTTTTAAATTTTATTTTACTTATTTTTTTGCTTTTTGGGTCACACCTGGCGATGCACAGGGGTTACCCCTGGCTCTGCACTCAGAAGTTACTCCTGGCGGTGCTCAGGGGACCATATGGGATGCTGGGAATCGAACCCGGGTCGGCCGCGTGCAAGGCAAACGCCCTACCCGCTGTGCTATCTCTCCAGTCCCAGAATCCTGGGACTTTAAACAACCCTCGCTACCTACCTCCACCCCAGTCCCCAGGGCCCTAAAGCTGGCAGAACCCAGAGCCCCTTACCATGGTGTGCTCTGATTGGTCTACGCAGGTCACGTGACTAATGCTGGTTCTGGGTGCAAGTTGGGGCACCTCATCAAAGGCAATTTGGATGGAGCTCTGCGGGAATAATATGGGCACAGGATCAGGTCTTGGGGCTGGTCCACTTAGTGGCTGGCTGGGTCTGACACTGCAGGGCTCAGCTGCAAGCTGGCTGCTGGCCCCTCCTTGGCTCAGGCTTTGGGACAGGAGGAGGTTCCCCTGAACCCAGCCCCTCTGGGACCTGCAGAGGCTGCAGGCACCAAGAGGGCCAGGAAGCTGAGTCCCTCTGACAGCAGGTTAGCTTCAGCTGGAGTACCAGGAGTCTCCATCCTCTCCCTCACCCCCACCTGATTGCCAGAGAAAGGAATGCGGAGTGAAAATGAAGGTGCGAGTTGCCACCTGTTTTAAGCACTGGACTGGGAGGGACATGGAGGTGGTAGGGGGAAGGCTTTAGGGCCACCTGTTCAAGATGAGAACTGGAGAAACAAGGCGAAGCCTTTATCCTGAGAAAGGGGATGTGTTCTGTTCTCCAGAGCAGAACTCAGCCATCTTTTTGGAGTGCAGACTAGCTCTGCATGGCAGTGGGGAACTTTCCTGGGGGAACTGGGAATACATGCGAGCTCAGAGGGCTTAAGGGTCCAGAAGCCTGGCTAATTCCTCAAGGCAGACAGCAGGGTGAAATTAGGGAGCAGAAAGCCGCTTAGCTTAGAGCGTGCCAGGGCTTCCAATTTCTCCTGGAACCGTGGAAGCATCTCCTGCAGACCCATTCGGAGAGCAGAAAGGAGAAGGGCATAAGCAGGGCCGGCAGCCCTTCCTCGGGTCTCCAGAGGGGGAGAAACAAATCCAGAGAGCTTATTTGCCTGGCAAACTGGGGGCAGCCACTTTCCCTGCTTTGAGGGTTGTCTCTTAGGAAGCTAGGCCTGGAGGGAAGGAACCCCAACTTCCCACTCCACCCCCAGCAAGCAAGGAAGGTAGGCCAATGTCCAACTGAGTCAGCTTCCAACCGAATCATTCCTGACCTAGGGAACAAGGTACAGGGCAAACTGGGTGGAGGTTCAAGGTGTAGACGGACAGATGCCATCTGGCTTTCTGCTTGCCAGCTGGGCAAAGAGAACAATGAGGTGTGTGGCCATTTCTGGTCCAGGCACCTGGGCGTGGAACAGGGCCGGAAGTGGCGGCTCCTTGAGAAAGGGGAGATGGACTCTGAGGGCAAGGAGGGATTACTGGGCAGGGCGGGAGAGCAAACCCATAAGGAGGCCTCTATACCTCCCACCCACCTCAGTCTTGTGACTACGTTTCCTGTCCCACTTCCTGGGAGGTCAGATGCCCCTGGCGCAACGGGAGGAAGTGGGCTGGTCTGATGTGACTGACCCTCAGTGGGCAGCTCTAGGCCCAGGACTGGGAAGGCCAGCGATGGTCACTCAGCTTTCTACTTGATACCTCCCCTAACACATGCGCTGTGGATGGAGATGGCAATGTGTTGCAGGGCGAGAGTCCTGAGGGCACCAAGGGATAAGGGGGCTGACTGCCTGGGGCTGGCCACGCCAGGGATGTGGGGCACAGGAGCCAGGCAAATCCCCGCTACAGGTGCACCTGGCTGCTTTCTACTCCGCCCCCTCAGCACAACCAGCACCCAGGCAGGCGGAAGTGCCTGCAGGCACGGGGATTAGGGTTGCTATGAGAACAGCAATTCGTGCAGGGGGTTGGAAACCAGGGGCTCTAGCAGAAAAGAAGTCAGGCTCGGGGATCTAGCTACAACCCTCAACCTCACCTGCACCCTTTCCTCTGATCCAAGAGGGAGAGAACCTCGGGGCTCTGGAGCTGACCCCGACCCCCAACCCCCACGGGTCTTCCTGACACTGCACTCCCACCGAGTCAGGACCCCAGCCCCCCGCCCCCGGGTGCTGGGGCCAACTTACCCCGTCCCTGCAGGCCTGCTCGTTCAGCGCTCGCACCCAAGCCCGCTGCCAGTTCTCCCGGAAAGACTTGAAGGCGAAGAGCGACGCCAGGAGGCCCCGGACTCCGGACTCGGCGGGGGCGCCCGCCCGACACATCCGCAGCCGCAGCAGCGAGCGCCACACGCCCAGTTCCCGGAGGGGGCCCGCGGGCTCGGCGGCCGAGGCGGGTCCCGCGCCCCGGCCCCCGCGGGCCCGCGCCTGCCACACGCCCCGGGCATACTGCAGCAGCCAGCCGAAGACGGTGAGCAGCGAGGCGGCGAAGAGGACCAGCAGGGCGGCCCAGCCCACGTCCCGCTGGCCCCAGCCGGGATCCATGCTCCGCGCGGGCTCCGGACGCCGTCCGGGCTCCGGCTCAGCCGCTGCCCCGGGGGAGCATGGCCCGGGCGGGCCGCGGGGCGGGGGCGGGCTCCCCCGGGGCTGGGCGCGCGGGCTCCGGAGCTCTCCGCGCCTGGGTGCCTGGGACTAGTGGGTGCCAGGGATCGAGGGCAGCGGGTCCGGGGGGACCGCGACGCCGGGACTCCTCTCTCTCCGCGGTCCCTCCTCGGCCACTCCCGCGGGCGGACCCCCGTGGCTCGCCGGCCGGCGCCCGACTCCTCCCACGGCGCGGTCCCGGGTCGGGTTCTGCAGGGACTCGGGGGCCCGCGGGCCGGCACCGGCTCCGGGAGGGCTGCGTGCGCAGAACTGACACTGACAACACGGCCGGCGCCCCGCCCCCACCCGCCCTTAAAGGGGCCGCACCCGCGCTGGGCGTGGCCTGGCGAGCCGCGCGCTCCGGCGCCCGAGCAGGACCGGAGGGGAGGAGATTCCAGGGTTGAAAATAGGCGGGATCTGCGAGCACCCCGCCCCATCCAGGATTCAGGGTGCTCCCCCATCGCCTGAGCTGTGGGCGAAGACTAGGCTAGCGCTTCCTCACTCACCCGCCGTGCCGCGTGTCCACAGTGCGCACGCCTGGGGATTAAGGAGGTGACCCCCAAGCAGAGTATCATCCTCTTCTCCCAAAAGCCACCGCAGCTTCTCCGTTCCCCCTTCCCGGAGGAAGGAAACTAGGTCCCGGGTAAGCAGGGGTCGACGATCGCTCCCGATCGCCGACCTTGGCAGCACTCCAGCCCCAGAGTGACAGGAGAGAAAGCAGACGGGTACCTGCGAAAAGAAAGGTTGGAGCAGAACATGGAATCCTGGCGCCGGCGCCGCCGCCGCGCCCATTCCCGGGAACCAGAACTCAGGAACACTCTATTAACCTCCTTGCTGGTGTGGATTTGTTCCGGAGAGATTTCCCAAGCCTGCGGCTGCTTCTGTTTTTAAAAATACTTTATTTCCCTAGTAACAGCTCCTGCCTATGGAGCACGTGTAGAGGGGGTGGTAATGAGGGAACTGGCAACGGCAGGCATGGACTATCAGTAGATTCAGCCATTAGACCATGGCATCAAAACCTGTGCTATCTGGACAAGCACCCCCTCACCCCACAACCCACCACCAGAAAAAAAAGAGGTACTATGGCTCAGGTTGCTTAAAGGAAACAGATTCTATCTTTGTGGGATGGGGCTTGCCAGTGCTTTCCTTCCTCAAAAGCAGGTGGCACGGGCCTCTGTGCCTTGCCTGAGTTTGGCAAGGCTGACAGGGAAGGTGTTAACCAGCGCGCCCCCAAATCCAGTGGGTTGTCTGAGTAATGCACACGTGGTGGTAAACAATGCCTTCTGAAGAGTGGGCTTGCAGAACTAGCAAACCCGGCAGGTCAGCTACAAGGTTTCTGAGCCAGAGGAGGTGGGCGAGAGCTTGGGGTGTCCCTGTGCTCTGAGGAATGATTGGGGAGCGGGGGAGGTTACCTTGCTAGGACCTGCCCATGCAGCATCTCTAGACTTCAGGAAGACCAGAGAGCCCTAGAGCCTGCATTTCTAATTTCTAGGGGAGGGAAAGGCAGGGAAAGATGAAGGGAGAATCCAAGGATGCAAGAAGAAGCTAGCGGGAGCAAGCCAGGCAGGAAATTGTCTAGGGGTAAGTAAAGTTTCACTGTGAAGATCCGGCTCTGGGCAGGAAACCATTCTCCAAGCCCTTCTGACACCCCTCACCACCACCCCTCTCACCCTCTGGATTCTCCGTGCTTTGAGCTCCTCAATTGACCCTCTCAATTCCTCCACTGAACATGGTTGGCTGCCACCAGTGCATAGTCCAGAGTGACTTGAATTTTCCTAATTAGCCCTCCCAATTGCAAGGACACTGAATACTTAGTATTTGTGATGTGAACTTCATTCTGCTCCACTGTCTGTCTGGTTGTTTACATCCACATTTCTTTTGTTGTTTGAGCCACACTCAGGGCTTTGTGCTCAGGGATGATGACTGGTGGGGTTCATATGTAGTGCCAGGATGGAGCCCAGGTGGGCTCCATGCAAGGTAGGTGCCCTTCCCCCTGTACTACCACTGGGTTCCTACATGTCTGCTTTTCTCACTCAACAGAAAGGTGCTAAAGAGACCAGGGTGATAATATAGCAGGGAGGGCGTTTGCCTTGCATGTGACCAACCTGGGTTCACTTCCTGGCATCCATAAGGTCCCCCAAGCACCGCGAGGAGTAATTCCTGAGTGCAGAGCTAGAGTAACTCCTAAGTATCGCTGGGTGTGACCCCCCCCAAAAAAAAAGAAAAAAAAAAGCTGCTAAAGAGTGGGGAACTTGGTGGGGCCTGGAGCGATAGCACAGCAGGTAGGGTGTTTGTCTTGCACGCGGAAGACCCAGGTTTGATTCCTGGAATCCCATATGGTCCCCGAGCACTGCCAGAAGTAATTTCTGAGTGCATGAGCCAGGAGTAACCCCTGTGCATCGCTGTGTGTTACCCAAAAAGCCAAAAAAAAAGGTGAGGACCTCGGGCCAGAGAAATGGCTCAAAAAGCTGGAGCACATGCTTTGCATGCCAGAACCCTGGGTTCAATCCCTGGCACCACATGGTTCCCTGAGCACCTCCCAGAGTGATTTCCTGAGCACTCTCTACTTCCCCCGAAGAAAAATAGGACCTTGTGTTACTCATCTCTTCCCTTGTAGTCAACCAAGCTGATTTAAATATGCTGAAGCAGACCCAGGATGCAGCTGAGTGGTGGAGCACTGGTCTTGCGTGACTGAGGCCCGGGTTGGATCTGCAGCACTGAAAAAAGAAAAATACTGACATAAACTTCTTGGAAAAAACAAGTGCATTTCTTCTTCTTTTTTTTTCTTTTTGGGTCACACCCGGAGATGCACAGGGGTTACTCCCTCCTGGCTCATGCACTCAGGAATTACTCCTAGCATTGCTCAGGGGACCATATGGGATGCTGGGAATCGAACCTGGGTTGGCTGCAGGCAAGGCAAATGCCCTACCCGCTGTGCTATTGCTCCAGCCCCAAACAAGTGCATTTCTATCATGCTGCATCCCCATAGGATTGAAAGGGCTTCCAAGCAGACTATTAAAAATTCATTTTTAATTTTATTATTTATTTTGGTTTTGGGCCCTGGCCATGCTTAGGGCTTACTCCTGGCTCTGCACTCAGGGATCACTCCTGGAGGGGCTCAGGTACCATATATGGTAGCAGGAATCAAACCTTAGTAATGTAAGTACCCTACCCACCATACCAACTTTCCAGCCCCTCATTTGTAATTTTAAAAAATATTTTAATATACATGTCTAACACTAAGAATTTCTATATTTCTTCTGTCCTTTGAAAAATCACTTGTCACCCTGAAGTAGTGGGAGATTTTTTTTTTTTTCTATGCCAGGGGTCGGGACAGGTGGAGATTGAACGAGGTTCAGCCAAAGCAGTCACGCAAGGCAAATGCCTTACCTCCTGTATTATCTCTTTGACTTGGGAATGGGAAATCACACGGTTCGTTGAAACTCACAGTGAACATGACAAGTATCCACATGTTGTGATGGTAACACGTATGGAGTAAAGGATGAATTCTTTGTGTCTTTGCTTTTTTTGTGGCGGGGGGGTACACCCGGTGATGCTTGGGGTTATTCCTGGCAGTGCTCAGGAGACCACATGGGATGCCGAGGATCAAACCCAGGTTGGCTACATGCAATGCAAGCACCCTCCCTGCTGTACTATCCCTCCGGCCTCCCAGTATCTTTTCTTTGAACAAGTTCCCCCACCCTCTTCCAGGATGCGTGGTGGGGGCAGAGGGAAGGGGGAGACTAATGATCTCGGAAGGAGACACAAGAGGTCCCAAAGCTAGGCTGCAAAGGAAGATTAGCGCTGGTTTCCTTCCGAATCAGAAAGGGATAGACAGGCTGGCCCTTAGTCCCCTGGGAGTCTCAGCCAGCTCCTGATCAACAAGCTAACTGAACACAGCTTCCTTTGGGACCCCACAGAATCCTCCTCACCACCTGCTCCAGCCTCTCTTCCCTTCTCTGGAAGGCCCTTCCATTACTGAGGATACTGTGCTCCCCCCACCCCTCCCCTGCTCAGGACCAGCTGCTTTCTCCCCATATGCTCCTATAACCTAGGTCAGGCCCAGACTCAGTCCGGGTAATGATGCCCATGTATGGATAGACCCAAGGGGACAGCCTTTGTAAGGGAAAACACTTTCCCCGAGGGAATTTCTAGTCTATTAGGTAGGCATGCACACATATACACACACCTAGGAAATCAACACCAGAGGGATAATAAATACTGAAGACGTGATCAGTAGTATCAAGTAAATGATGGAGACCACAGAGTATCTTTGATGCATATTTTTGTTGTTAGTTAGGATCACCTTTGAAGAAAGGGCATTGCATACCTGTTTTGAGAGTCTTTGACCCCACCCTGGCGTCAGGACCATGCCCTCTTCGAAAGAGTGGACATTTCCTCAATTCTCCGTGGCGACTTCCTCTCTGAGGATTAGAAATCATTTGCCACCATCTTAGAGCTAAGAAAGGCACCAGCTGATCCGGTCCGACCCCTGACCCAGCTAGGTGTGTTCCCTGAGCACAGAGCAAGGTGTGGACCCTTTCCCACACACACACACACACACACACACACACACAAAACAAAAAAAACAAACAAAAAAAACCGCTAAGGGAAGAATTAGAATGAATAGCGTAGGCACTGTTATTTGCACGGACACAGGTGCCAAACATAAGGCATGATGGTAACATGTACGGAGTTCAGTGTAACCTGGAGAAAAAAGCCTCAGATGCACAGGGCGCCAGGCACCGGGACCGAGTCTCCCGCTTCCTTAACTTTATTCCTTCAACCGCAGCCTCCCCGCCTCGTGGGCACAAAGTCGTGCCAGGATCTAAGGAAGTCAAGGACCGGGTTAAATCCAAGACCCGAGGGCACTTCCAGCCCCTTTAGGGATGAAGGGTCCCGCTGGGCCGGTTGCCCGGCAACTAATTGCTACTGCCAGGGCAGAAAGTGGGTGGGATGAAGGAAAAGGACTTGGATCAAGGACACGAAAAAAATGGCGTGGGCGGGCTTCTCGAAGGTCTCTGCTCTAGGATGCACGGGGTCTTCCAAAGACATTAGAATGAGAATGCCGCCTTCCGATTGTGAAAAACGGGTCTCTACCAGGAGACAGCTCCGCTGCACAGCCTCGTCCCTCTCGCTTCCTCCCTCTGCTCCCAGTAACCATCTTCTGGGCTCCAGAAGCACCGCAGGGGAGCAAACCCGGGGCTCCTGACCCTTTAAACGTGACCTACGGAGGCCGAAAGAGCTAACCCTGACGTGGAACAAGGAGGCGTTCGCATCTCCGCCACGTGGTACTCGGAGGCGTTCATCTTGGAACCGGGCAAGGCAAAGTTTTTCCGCGGGTCGCTGTATAAGTCAATGGAGAAACCAGAGACGTATCCGTCCTCGTTTGTCGTTCCGTGATTGTTGCTTCAATGCTTCCGGGATGACGGAATGGTGAAACAAAGCCCCCAGGGCCTCTCTTTTGCCCTTATCAAAAATGGCCGCCCCGCCTTCAGCGGGCAAGCTGCTCCCCGGACTAGAACCGGGCGGAAGCGGAGTTGGGCAAGTACTGCGGGGCGGGCCAAGGTTGCTTTGGTGGAGACTAGTGGAAGCGCCCCAAGGGAGGGCTGGATTTTGCTCACACTGGTGCGGCAGGCGGCTACTCCTTGCCGAGGCTTCAGGGCGTCTGCCCGGCTGGCCTGTTACTAGAAGGCAGCGAAGCGGGAGCCGCCGCTGACCATGTGGGTCCTTCCGGAAATGCCGCTGCCGCTGCTGGTGAATTTGATCGGCTCGCTGCTGGGATTTGCGGCCACGCTCACCCTCATCCCCGCCTTCCACGGCCACTTCATGAACGCGGGCCTCTCTGGCAAGGACCTCAACAAATATGACCAGCAGCGAATGTGAGCAGCGGCGCACGGGGTCCGGGCTGAGAAAGGGGGATGCAGAGACTGGAGTGCTTGGCTGCGCGCGGGGTCTCTGCGCGCTAATCCAGCCGAGAGCCGGGACCCCTATGGGAGGGGAGGGACAGAACTGGCCAGGGATGAGGGAGGGCAGGGTGGGGACTCTGGGGCGTAAGGGAGACTTTAGCAGCCGTCCCCGCCCCCCCGAATTCGGTGACAGTCCGGCTAGCCCTAGTGAGTGACCACGCCCCCTCTCCTCTTCCCCCTCCGCCCCTCTTGCTGCTGGGCCACAGCCCAGAGGCCCAGGGAGTGATCAGCGGTGCGGTTTTCCTTATCATCCTCTTCTGCTTCATCCCTTTCCCTTTCCTGAACTGCTTTATGGAGGAGCAGTGCAAAGACTTCCCCCACCACGAAGTAAGTGGTTTGGGGGGGTGGGGGCAGAGGGGCTGTTTGGTGATGGTGCCTGGAGGCGGGAAGCTGGGGACCTAAGGAAGTTGGGGGCGCCCGACTAAGGAACGAAGGGAAGGACTGGAGAGGTCTCCTTGGAGCAGGCTGCAGCCGTGACTGCGCGAGCCTCCCCCAGTTTGTGGCCCTGATAGGTGCCCTCCTTGCCATCTGCTGCATGATTTTCCTGGGCTTCGCCGATGATGTGCTGAACCTGCGTTGGCGCCACAAACTACTGCTGCCCACCGCTGCCTCCCTCCCGCTGCTCATGGTCTATTTCACCAACTTCGGGAACACTACCATAGTGGTCCCTAAGCCCTTCCGGTGGCTTCTTGGCCTGCATCTGGACTTGGGTGAGTAGCCTCGCCCCAGCTGCTCTGTGGCCCCTAATTCCTGGCACCCTTGCCCTAACCCATTCATTATAGCTTTCTTTCTGGCGCCCCACCTTTTTCTCGAAGTGTCCCAGCTTCCTCCCGGTTTCCTCTCGCCTCATTTCTGTGGACCATTCCCTCTCTCCTCTGTTCTCACCCCCTTTAAGATGTCTGTAAATCCTCGCTCTCCTGCTGGACACTACTTGTCTTCTCTCTCCCTGCAGGGATCCTGTACTATGTGTATATGGGGCTGCTGGCAGTGTTCTGTACCAATGCCATCAACATCCTGGCAGGGGTCAATGGCCTGGAGGCTGGCCAGTCCCTAGTCATTTCTGCATCCATCATTGCCTTCAACTTGGTGGAGCTGGAAGGTAGGAGAAATTTCAGGGTAGGAGAGAGAAGTTTTGAGTGTTACTGGAATTGCTGGATTCCTGACTCTCGGGGCATTCGGAATAAAAGCAATATTTGCATGATTGTAGGTGAGTAGGTGAATGAACTTAGACGATAAGTTCATTGCATAGGCCTTGGAGCTATCAGATATAGGAAACAAAAATAGCAGCTCTGTCTTTTTTGGGGACTGGGGGCCATGGGGTTTGGCTCATACCTGACGATGCTTGGGAACTCGAACCAGCTTGTTGCGGCTGCAGCTGCATGCAGAGCAAGTGCCCCACCTCTTGCGCTATTTCTGTGGACCCCAGGTTTTTGAAAAATTATTTTTTGGTCATTCCTCGCTTGGTGCTATGGGCATAACCCAGGCGGTACTCAGGGACCCTGAGGTGCCAAGGTGGAACCCAGGACTCCCACATGCCTGTACTCCTATCCTTTGAGTCATCTTCCCGGCCCATCCCTGTCCTGTAGAGCTTGATCTTCATTTGCACTAACAGGTGTCCCACGGTCTTCTATTGAGAGTTTTGCAGGGCCTCAGCTTAAGACAGGCTCATCCTATGTCCCAGGAAGAAAGAGACAAACACCAGCCCTCCATCACCTCCTCTGAGCTTTGACCAAGTACCTCCCCACCCCACACTTGGCCTCCCAGGAAAAGCTAAACTCTCCCCCTTCTGGCTAACAGGAGTGATTGCTGCTTCTCTGCTAAAACTCCAGCCGCTCCTTGGGTCTTTTATTTTGGGGCCACACCCTGCTGTGCTCAGGGGCCACTCCTGGTAGTGTTCAGGGTGAGTGATGCCAGGGATCAAATGCAAGTGTCTTCCCAGTTGAACTATCTCTCCAGCCCTTCAGATCTTTTATTTTTTTCCTCTGATATCTGATAATGTAGGGGATTGAACCCAGAACTCCATATGGGCAAGGCTTTACCACTGAGCTACCTCCCCAGTCCTTAGATGAAAACAATCAAGACACACAATCAGGGCACACTCCTGGTTGTCAGTTTCGAGTCCAGGGCAAAACTTGGCCTTGTTGAGATTGTTAAAGGGCTGGTCGTGTGCTTTGCATCTGGGAGGTCTGTGTTTTTTCCCTGGCACTATATGGTCCCCTGAACACCACCGCGGGGTGTGGCCCAAACACAATGTCTCTGCCTCGTTTCACCCTCCCGAGAATTAACTTCTCGAACCAGCTCTCCTAATCCCCCCTTACTGAAGCATCCTGGGGTTCCCCAAGCTGTGCAGGGTTTCGGAGTTTCCTCGTTCTAAGAAGCGCATCAGCCCAGCTATGTCCCCAGGTGTCTCACTGATAAGCAGCCCCAGTTCTCATTAGAGTTAATGGGTCTCTTAACACTCCGGATCCTTGACCTTGTCACCACCCTCTTTACAGAAGAGGAAACTGAGGGTCAAGGTCACAGCTAGGAAGCAAACCAGGTATTCTGACTAATCTGTACGGAGTTGAAGACACAAGCTGGTTTAGGAAACCTTTGTGAAAGAGGTGAAATGGAGACCCCCCAGGGATTTCAAAGTGTAGGTGGGTTCTGTGGTTGGGTTTTTAGGCCACACCAGTGGTGCTCAGGGCTCACTCACTGCTCTGGGGACTGTGTGATGCTGGGGATTGAACTCAGGGCTCTAGAGTGCAGAGCACATACTTTAACCCTTTCAGCCCTCTCCCTGACCCTGCTAGTGAGTTCCTGGATGTGACTGACAGTATAGTGACAGGAGCAGAACAGGACAAAACTAGGGCTGAGGTACGGAGATAGTGGCTGTCCACTTCTGCATTGATTTCCCCCTTCTCCCTTGCTTCTCAAGGTGACTACCGGGATGATCATGTCTTTTCCCTGTACTTCATGATACCCTTCTTTTTCACCACCTTGGGACTGCTCTACCATAACTGGTAAGGAGAACAGTGGATAGCGGGGGCAAGAGATAGCAGTTCTGATCCTGATGCTGACCCGTTTCCTAATAGAGAAGCTAAAGCCGGGGCACCCGTTTTCTGGGTTTCCAGGTGTTAGTATTCCGAAATTGTTCTGCCTCCAGGAATATTTGTGAATGAGTATTGGGAATGAAAATATTCAGGGTTCTGCGGCCTCAGGCCTGAGCACTGTTGGGCAAGCTGGAGTCTGCGCAGGGTCAGGGCTAGCCTCGTGCCCCGGGGATGTGCCGTGGAGAAAGGATTGTTGAGGGCTGTACCACCAGTCAGACCCTGTCTCCCACACAGGTACCCATCCCGGGTGTTTGTGGGTGATACCTTCTGTTACTTTGCGGGCATGACCTTCGCCGTGGTGGGCATCCTGGGACACTTCAGCAAGACCATGCTGCTCTTCTTCATGCCCCAGGTGTTCAACTTCCTCTACTCGCTGCCTCAACTCCTGCACATCATCCCCTGTCCTCGCCACCGTATGCCCAGGTAGCCACTATGGGGCTCGGAAGGAACATTCTGACTTCCGGAGTGCGCACAGGGCAGGGCTCTGCAGCGACTAAGAGATCACAGCGTGTCTGGGCTCGGGAATCTGTGTTCGCAGCACCTTGAAGAGCACACTCACTTTTTTTCTCAGCATCTTCCCCTCCTCCCCCATTTTTGTTGTTGTAACTGGCTTTCTGTTTGGTTTGGGGCCGTGCCCAGTGGTGCTCAGGCTTTGCTCCTAGCTCTGTGCTCAGGGATCACTCCTGGCGATGCTCAGCCATCAATCTTGGGTTAGTTGCTTGCAAGGCAAATGCCCTTATCTATCTCTCTGGGACTATGTTATTGTATGGTGAGGTTTTTGGCTAGTTTTGTTGTGAGGTACCAAGCACTATGCGGGGGGGGGGGGGGGTCATTCTTTGTAGTGTTCAGGGACTAAACCCAGGGCCTTGCATGTATAAGATACATGCTTGAGGTTTTTCTTTGGGGGGGGGGGCAGGAGAGGGCCACACCTGCCAATGCTCAGTCCTTGGGGGTTACTCCTGGTGGTGCTCAGGGGAACACATTGTTGCTGGGATTGAACCTGAGCCTCCTGCATTCTGCGTCTGTGCTCCAACGCTTTGAGACATCTCTGGACCTGTGATCTCAAGTTATATCTCCAACTTTCCCCAAACTGCCCGTTTTATTTTTATTTTTTTGCGGTGTCAGGGATCAAACCCAGGATCTCATATGTACGAGGCATGTACCCTTCCCACTGAAGTACATCCCAGCCCTGAACACGCAGTAGTATGCAGCAGGGTGAGAAACAGCTCCCAGGATGACGCCATACACTGCTCCTCCCATACATAAACCACCTCGAGAAGAGTTCTTGGAATATGGCTCTGCCACATCAAGCTCTCTTCCCTCTGCAGACTCAATACCGACACAGGGAAACTGGAGATGAGCTATTCCAAGTTCAAGACCAAGAGCCTCTCTTCCTTGGGCACCTTTATACTAAAGGTAATAGGGTTCCAAGGAGGTAAGGGTCTAAGCTGCAATCCTGAGCTCGCGGAATGGGGAAGGGAGGCCTGCCAGGATAACAGCCAGTGGGAGCTGGAAGCATTGAGCAGCTCTCAGCTCCTGAAGCAGATATGTGAGTTGAACCCACTCTGCCCATCTCTGGCCCCTCCAGGTAGCAGAGAGCCTACGGCTAGTGACTGTGCGGCACGGTGAGAACGAGGATGGGGCCTATACTGAGTGCAACAATTTGACTCTCATCAACTTGCTGCTTAAAGTCTTGGGGCCCATGCATGAGAGAAACCTCACGGTGTTCCTGCTGCTGGTACAGGTGCGAACGGGAACAGGAGTTTGCTCCTCTCTGTCTTGCACTGTTCTGCTTCTAACACGAGTATGTTTCTTTGTGCAGATCCTGGGCAGTGCCCTCACCTTCTCTATCCGGTATCAGCTTGTCCGTCTTTTCTATGATGTGTGAGAGACCTGGTCGTTGACTGTCTCTTCAGTCTCCAGGGTGCCCGACTCAGGCCAGCCTCTTTCTGGACCAAGACTACCTCCTGGCCAGGCCATGTTCACCCTTCAATCTCCATCAGATTTTGTCCTGAGCATTTCCCTTCCCCTGTGATGACTGACTGGCTGGACATTGGCCTCTGCCTGTGGCCTTCTTTCTCTTGTCACTCTCCCTCTCCAGCTCGTGCAGGTGGAATGCCGTGACTTTCAAGCTGTTCTCCACAACACTATCCCCATATCAGGCCAGGGGATAAAACCCTGGTTGGGGACAGGAAGAGACACTGGAAGGTGTCTTGATATTGAACTATTAATGAAGTATTCTGATCACTAAGCGCAGACAGGGGCCAGGTGCTCCTAGTGGTAACAATAAAGTGTTATCTTTTTCTTGTTCTGTACTTCCTAAGGAGATTTTCGGGCAGGTTGCGAGGACTGGGGGAGGTACGTCCTGCAAGAGGACATCTCTCCCCTCCTCTGCTTCCCTGTGCCAGACCCCTTCCAGAAAAAACTAATCAGGTAAGGTATGTAGACAAATTATTGGAATCCGGACTCTCTGTAGAAGGCACAGGGACCTTAGATTGCAGTTAACCTGGAGCCAAAGATAAGAATGGGTTTAAGACGCACACGATTCAATCCCTGGCATCACGTGTAATGCTCAAGAGACGGGAGAGGCGTGATCCCTGAGCACAGCTGGGTGTGGGCCATCCCCCCTCAAAAATATTTTTTAAACTTTTTTTGCAATATGGGGCCAAGGGGGAGGGAAGGTGCCGACCTGGAAGGGGAGGCTGAGGAAACGCGGATGCGAACCCTTTTTAAAAATTCTGTGGTGGTGCCTGGAATTGCACCCAGGGCCTCGCACGGGCAGGCTAAATCTCCTTCCTGAGCCATCTCCCCGGCCCCCACTGCCTCGACTCTTCAAAATCGCTAGGTTCGCACGAAATCCCAGACAGCTTTCTCAGGTGGCTTCCGAAGCCACCCGGCTTTGTGTTCCGGCCGTGCTCCGGGCTGTGGAGTTTAAATTCCGCGCGCTGCACCTGGATTGGCCGCGTCAGCGAGCGGAGGACAGACTGCGGGCCCTCTCGCCTCCTCGCCTATTTCCCCGGGCTGAAGGTTTTCAAATCCGACCAATCAGCAGGCGCGCTCGCGCCGCCCGGGCGCCGCACGGAAGAGCAGCGAGCAGCCAACCAGAGGCGCGCTGCAGCGGAAAGGACCAATCAGGAGGGCGCGAGGGGTGAGCGCACGGGGCTTATAAGGGCGGCTTCAGGGGCACGCACGGCGACAGTTGGACTGCGGCGGCGTGCTTCCCTCCGGGCCGTTCCGGGCGCTTCTCTCCTCCTCCTCCGCTACCTCGCGCAGCATGTCGGGCCGCGGCAAGACCGGCGGCAAGGCCCGCGCCAAGGCCAAGTCGCGCTCGTCGCGCGCCGGCCTCCAGTTCCCGGTCGGCCGGGTGCACCGGCTGCTGCGGAAGGGCCACTACGCCGAGCGGGTGGGCGCCGGCGCGCCGGTCTACCTGGCCGCGGTGCTCGAGTACCTCACGGCCGAGATCCTGGAGCTGGCGGGCAACGCGGCCCGCGACAACAAGAAGACGCGCATCATCCCCCGCCACCTGCAGCTGGCCATCCGCAACGACGAGGAGCTCAACAAGCTGCTGGGCGGCGTGACGATCGCTCAGGGGGGCGTCCTGCCCAACATCCAGGCCGTGCTGCTGCCCAAGAAGACGAGCGCCACCGTGGGGCCGAAGGCGCCCGCCGGCGGCAAGAAGGCCTCGCAGGCCTCGCAGGAGTACTGAGCCGCGCGGCGCCGCCGGGACGCCCGGGTCCTCCCGGAGCCACCACAAAGGCCCTTTTAAGGGCCACCCAAGCCCTCACGAAAGAGCTGGGAAGCACCGGGGCGGCGCGGCCCCCCCGCCCCCGCACCGCCCCGGCTCCGGGGGCGCCGCTCGGCCGCGACCCGTGAGGCGATCGCCGGGGGGCTGCGCCTCAGGCCGCCCCGCGCTCGCGACTCCGCCCGCCCGCCCCGGACCCCGGGCGCCGCAGCCTGGCGCTCCCGGCCGCGGGGAGGCTGGCGGCTCGCGCCCGCGGCCCCTCTGCTGCCTGATCCCCGGCCTACCGCGTCCGCCCGCCTGCCCGCCTCCTCGTCCTCAGGCCCGCGCGCGCGGCGGCCGGAAGCTGCCGCGATCGAGCGACCGACCCCCGCCTCTGGAGACGAGCGCCGGCGAGGAGGGAGCACGCGGGAGAGGCCCGGCCCCCGGGGCCACTTCCGCCGCCGCGGCGTGGACGCCAGCGGCGCTCTGACCTCCCCGCCCCCCGCCCCCGGACGCCAGGGACTCCCTGGCCGCATCGCCCCTCTGGACCGGCATCTCGCCGCAAATGCTTGTCCTGGGGAATTTCACACGGACTAGTTTTATTAAAGCATTGGTTTTCTTTTTTTAAAAAAAACCCGAAGTGTCTGTTTTTATTTGGCTGTGTCGCCGAGACGGCGGGGCTGTAACTCACCCACCTTCCCTCAAGGTTACCGGGAGCTGGGCCAGGACAGACTGATCAAGGCCTGCCTGGGAGAACTATTCGGTTTGGGCTACATGCACGGTGCTCAGGTCACTCACGGTGCATGGGAAGGGTCATGTGTGGGGCCAGGGTCAGGGGTCAGTGCCTGGCAGGAAGGGTCACGTATCTCCTTGCCCCGTCCCCTGGACACAAGTCCTTCTGAAGTGATGAGTCGGAAAAGGCCAATTTTACAACCCTCCGGAAATGAGAAGCACCTTCCGCTGATTTATTCGAGTTGTTTACATTCCCAGGCTTTGAGGAGATGATCAATCACAGAGACACCCCCCCCACCCCCAGGAGAGGTGGTCTAGGAAGTCTCTGGCCCTGTAGTTCAATCCTCTAGAGAGGGGCGTCTGTGCCCCAGCACCACTTAGTGGGCAGCATTAAGTTGCCTTGCAACATCCAGGATGTTCTTGGCTCCTTTGTTCAGTAACAAATTGGCCAGGTTGGTGCCCAGGTTTTCGGCTGCAAGCTGGGCTCCTCGGGGAATGTTCCTGGCAGTGATGCCCACCAGCTGTGGATCATCCTCTGGGCCGTCCTCGTGCTGGGTGAGGGAAGGAGGAGAAGGATGAGCACAAAAAGAAGGTTACATGCAAATAGGTGTTCCCCCCGCCCCAGGCCCCCCCCACCACTCCTGCCAGCGGGGGCACCTGTGCAGGAGTGTTGACCGTGGCCTGCATGGTCTCTTGCATGCTATCTGCGCCGTCCAGACTCCAGACTCCTCCAGTCAGGTAGAGCTGGGGAGAAGCGGGACAGCAGGTGGTCTCAGCATCATGGGAGGCCATTGCTTAGAAACCTGGGCTCTTCTTGCTGACACCCAGAATGCACAGGGAGAGGAGAAACATCTGTTTCTGCCACCCCTACCTTCTGCCCATCTGCTTACCTGACCGTCCTTCAGAGCTGTGTGCACTGCCACAGGCACACTGCAGCCTCCTTCCTGCAATGAGACGTTTTCCCTGTGAACCCAGCCCTGGGTCTTCTCCCCACAACACATAAGGAGTTAGGGCTGATCATACTGGCCCCACCCAGTCCCGCTCCTATAGGGCCCTACCAGCTGCTTCAGGAAGGCCCGCTCAGCGATGCAGCAAAGCAGGGTCTCAGGATCATGTAACACGCCCACCAGGTCCAAGATGTCCTGGTCCTTGGCTCGGACTTCCACGCCCAGGGCTCCCTGAGAGAAAAACATCTTGGAACCTCAGCCCACCCCCAATTGTACTCCAGGGTCTAAGATGGGGCCTCCTAAAATCTGCCCCTTCTGGGAACCTTAACTGATGGAAAGCAGAGGCAAAAGTCTGTGTCAAGGGCATAGCAGACAAAGGCGGAGGTGGAGGGGTGGAGATAGGGGGGTATCATTGCCATGTGTCCCTGGGCTAGCCTACCTGACCCACAGCATACATGCATTCTTCGGGGTGCAGGATCTGTGGGGGCAGAGAGGCAGTCAGAAGGGGTTAGGGAGAGGGGCACCAAGAACCACACAGTGCAACATCCAGTAGAAGGGACTTCCCAGATTATAGAGCCAAAGTAGGCGAATTCCCACCCTTCCAGCCCCTCCAGGTTCCCAGCACAGTGCTGGAGGCCAGGTTTTAGGAAAGAGCAGGCGGGAAGGAGCGGCGAGCGGTGCCATGGTACAGCCCCTACCTGGCCCACTCGGTTGTGCCAGCCCATGCGCTGCAGGCCCGCTGCGGCCAGGATGATGGCAGCGAACTCCTGCTGCTCGTCCAGCTTCCGAAGCCGAGTGTTGAGGTTTCCGCGCTGGGGAAAGGAGTTAAGGAACACCAGTGCTAGGCCCACGGAGCCTAGGGTCTGCCTGCAACAGTTTAGTTGGCCAGCTTCTCACCTCTCAGGCCTCGGCTTCACGCTGAGTGCGAACTCCTGTCCACACTCCAGGCCAAATACAAGTCTAAAGATTTTGACCTATTAACTTTCTCCTACTTATAAATGAGGAAAACAATACAGGGTTGACAACTAATTGGCCTAAGGTAGCAAGACTTCTGAGAAGCCTCCTCCGAACCGAATGTGATTAGATAATCCAGAGAATTTCCGACTCTGCGCACTGGAGCATTTGGGCACAAGACTATTTTGCAAATTAGTTTTACAAAATGTACTTCATATTATAAAAAATCAAAACACTTGGGGGTATACTGGGGTTCTTGGTGGTGGAGAATGGGCACTGGTGAAGGTATGGGTGTTTCACTGTATGACTGAGACTTAGACCCGAAAGCTTTGTAACTGCTCTCACAGTGATTCAATAAATAAAATTATAAAAAATGAAAAAAAAAAGGGGGGCTGGAGCGATAGCACAGCGGGTAGGGCGTTTGCCTTGCACGCGGCCGACCCAGGTTTGATTCCCAGCATCCCATATGGTCCCCTGAGCACCGCCAGGAGTAATTCCTGAGTGCAGAGCCAGGAGTAACCCCTGTGCATTGCCAGGTGTGACCCAAAAAAGCAAAACAAAAAAAAAAAAAAGAAAAAAAGGTGGAGTTCATGCAAAATTCAATCAGCTAATCAGTGGCTGAATAAATAGCCGTACTCCTACATAAAAAAAAAATCAAAACACTGTAGTAAACTACAAAAGAAAGATAGCGGGGCCAGAGTGATAGTACAGCAGGTAGGACATTTGCCTTGCACGCGGCCAACCCAGGTTCAATCCCTGGCATCCACATGGTCCAAAGGTTATTCCTGAGTGCAGAGCCAGGAGTAACCCCTGAGCATTGCTGGTGTGACCCCCACCATTCTCCCCTGAAAAAAAAAGAAAGATGGGAGTCAGGGAGATGGCTCAAAGGGCGAGAGCACATGCTTTGCATGTAATTCAATATCAGCCAGCACATGGTCCCTTGAGCAGAGCAGAAGTAGACTGAGAACCATCAAGTGTGCCCCAAAACAAAAGTGAAGGGATTAAGGATGGATGGATGGATGGATGGATACAAGGATGGATGGATGGATGCATGAAAAGAATAGACAGCTTTTGCCCTCCCCACAGTGTACCCCAGAGGGAGCCCATCCATCTCAGGGCACCTGGAGCCCTTTAGACCTTCTTCCTTGGGGTGGCTGTCTTCCCTCCATGGAAAGGATACAATACTCTTGAACTCCAGATGAGGGAACTTTCTCTGCAGCTGGGCAGCTCTCCGCAGGGAGCTCGTTCCCACCACGCTGCACAGACAATTTTTTTTATGAGCTCGAACCCTCAATATGCCCTGGGCATTCCTCCTCCACCCAGTCTTCCCCTTCTGAACAGGGGTCCAGCAAGACCCTACTCACCTCTTCTCTGGTAAGGTTTCTAGCGTCTTCCCAACAAATCTGGGGTGAAAGACAACAGCATCATAGGGGTTCTCCCGCCTGAGGGTAGAAGGAAGGTGACAGAATGAGGGAGTGCAGAAGGAAAAACAAAAAAGAAAAAAATTTTAAATGAACAAAAACCCAAAATGAGAATTTTTTGGGGGGGGTCACACCCAGCCGATGCTCAGGGGTTACTCCTGGTTTTGCACTCAGGAATCACTCCTGGAGGTGCTTGGGGGACCATATAGGATGCTGGGAATTGAATCTGGGTCGGCCGCGTGCAAGGAAAACGCCCTACCCACTGTGCTATTGCTCCAGCCCCGAGAAAAATATTTTTTAGAAAAAAAAAAAGGCAGAATGGGGGTGTGGGGCTGGGTACCATACACGGTCCCCCGATCCCCAACAGGAGTGATCCCTGACAGCAGAGCCAGGAATAAGATCTGAACTCAGCAGAGTGTGGTCCTAGAACGTCCCCCTCCCCCAAAAAAGAAAAGGAGAGATCTGTGATCCAATCACTTCTCTCCACTGCCAATGAACTGGCATTTTCTGAGTTTTCTGTCACACAGAAAACTGGCAGGGCAGGGAGATGCCCTAGAGGCAGAGGACCAAGTCCTGAAGGGTTATTAACAAGAGGCCAAGAGGCTGTGAGGCCTCCTTTGTGGGAGGACTCTTACTTGCAGATGGCACCGATGGTGAAGCCGGGAGGAAGGACGGTGGGCAGATCCTTCAGCGAGTGCACGACCAGGTCCACCCTACACAGCAGACAGAGATGCTGGGAGAAGGGCCAGTGCAGGCCCCACCTGCTTCCGTCTCTGCTTCCCAGCCACCTGGATAGCAGTTTCCAACCCTTCAACCACCTGGGACCAGCCAGGTGAACAGCAGGTCTTTCTGAGCCTGAGTCCCCTCACGTATGCTCCTCCTCCCTTCCCAGCCAAATTTATTTTTATTTATTTATTTATTTATTGCGCTTTTTGGGTCACACCTAGCGATACCCAGGGCTTATTCCTGGCTTTACACTCAGGAATTACTCCTGGCGGTGCTCAGGGGGACCATATGGGATGCTGGGAATCGAACCCGGGTCGGCCACGTGCAAGGTAAATACCCTACCCGCTGTACTATCGCTCTAGCCCCCCAGCCAAACTTTTAAACGTTTTTGAATTTGGAGGGTTATACTTTCCAGGGATCAAATTCCAGGTTATACTCTTGGAAGAGGGGCCCCCGCACATGCTCCAACCTGGGAGCTATCTCCCCCACCCCAAAGTCTTCCTTCCAAGCAACCAGAGAGCTCAGAAGCAGGACAATCTCCTTTCCTAAGGACTGAAAACAAAAACACCCATGATGTCCACTCTAGCCTCTGGGAGGGTTTAAACCTAACACCCTAGCCACCATCCACTGAAGTCTGATGCCCACTGGGGTTCTGCAAGACCGGGGTGGGGGTGAGGTGACCAGCCTGGCCTCAGTTATCCACTCACTCGTTCCTCTCCAGGGCGTGCTCCAGCTCCTTGGTAAACAAGCTCTTCTCTCCAATCTACCAAGCAGGAAAAGTCTGAGTGAACCTCACCCAAGATGAAAAGGGGCGGGAAGACACAGATTCAGCAAAAAGGGG